AAGCACGAGAAAAAAATCGCAGACAAATTGAAGGCAGGAGCCAAGCAGCGAGCCAGCACCAACAATGCCCCACCCCCACCCACCCCCGTATACTTACAAAATTTGGAAGTAAATTGGAGAGAGCACGCTGGGACAACTCACGCGCGCACACGGGGCACAACGCGACATTCCACACGGATGGAACAGACGGAGCCGCTACTCGCTGCACTGCCGTCGCCTGGCAAAGCCGGGTAGGGCACCTCAAGGCCCCGCTCCCCCGCCGCCCCCCCCCCCCCCCCCAAAAACGTTTGTGGGATCAACCGAAGCTCACCTCGACGAGTCGTGCATTAACATGCGTGGATTAGGGCACCGTCGCCCAGCTGAGTTAAATGGACTCATTGTTGGGGGGTGCGGTGGGGGGGGGGGTGCGATCGGTTATCGGCGTTTGAAACATATTTGAATACATTCCGGGAGTTAATGTTTGAAACGGTCTTTGTGAAGTTTAACTAGCGTATGAATGGGAATTGCCCCCCCCCCCTTAAAGAATACGAGATTTGCACGATGATCTGAATTCCTGCATGCGTCATTGAGGCAATGGATATGCTAACTGCTGGATTTTTTTAACGTTATTCCAAATGTGCGTTTAGTTAAAAGTCCAAGTGATTTCCTGCTCAAATGAGCATTGGCAGCAGTGCTCTCCTGTTTACAGCCCTGCATAGCCAGGAGGTAGGACATTCCAAATCCCTCCCTATGAAGATTCATAGCAATCACCACCCCCCCCCCGCCAACCCCACTCACCCCGAACTGCGAACACTTGGCAAAGCGCCCTCCTGATAAAGAGACAGACTGCCAAACACACTGCCAAACAGCACGGTAAGCCAGTCTGCCCGTGCGCTCGTGGCTTGACTGCCCCGTCGTCGGCAGACGGGAGGGAGCACACACACACACGTTCACGGTGCTTGCCACGAGCTACATTCACCGGCAAAGAGCGCCACCCCCCACCGGTTAAACGGCAGAGATGTCCCGTTAATGGGGGGGCACTTTGGTGGGCGAGATAGTCAACTACCTCGCCTGGTACACAGGACGGCGTGGGTTACGTTCCCGACCCCTGACGCCTGCTGCTGTATATTTGGAGTTTGCAAATTCTCTCCCTGCAGGTTCGCGTGGATTTTTTTCCCCCTCCGGTTTTGCTTGTTTGTTTGACACTTGGGAGCGACGCAGCGCCGACTGCTGTCCAGCAGCGGCAACTGCGGTGGACAGAAAGCGCGCACGCCGTCGGGCACACACACGCGGCTGTGTGCTGTGTGTGTGTGCCGGAAGGGCGGAGGAACTGGGGCAAGGGTCCAGGCTAGAGCAGGAATCCCCAACCCCCGGGCCACGGACCGGCCCCGGTCCGTGGCCTGTTAGGAACCGGACCGCACAGCAGCAGGAGGTGAGAGCGGTGAGTCCACGCGTGGAACCTGCCCATGATTTTATTATTCACCACTTCCGTCCGCGCCTATTTCCCGCACTGCGCACTTGTCTCAGTCACAGTGTTGGTAAGCCCACAAGCTCTAACCTCTAGTAGCCACAATGAGTAAAAACACAAACGTCGCTGGAGAGCTTCTTTGAACAGGGGGGAAAGACCCAATGATGACCCCCCCCCCCTCTCCCGGTCCGTGAAAAAAATTGTCTTCCACGAAACCGGTCCCGGGTGGCAAAAAGGTTGGCGGACCGCTGCCGCGTAGAGCTCACAGGGAGGGCCCTGGAACCCTCTGGTGGGTTCGAGAAGCGAGGCGGGGCCAGGACGGAGCAAGTAGAATAAAAGCAGCGGGGAGCTCCGGGCTGTCGGCTCTGGGAGTGGAATCGTCTCGCCGCCATTCGCCCGACCATTGGCGAGGCCGGGCAGTGGTTGGGGCTGTCTCGGTCGACGCCGCCGTCGGTGCAACGCGACCAGGGCCGTGTCCAGGCCGGGCTGTAGGGCAGCGTGATCGAGAGAGAGAGAGAGAGACAGGAGGCCCGGAGTTGGTGTGGACGGGATAAATACCTCGTCTCCGACAGAGTGTGTGCGCCGCACGCCGGGAGCAAGGAGGACACTACACATGTAGCAACGTGCTTTTAGAGCATTTGGCTGCTATACGTGTCCACGCGATAACCACTTCATTGGGGCTATCATTCGTGGCCAGGTCGCTTCTGAAATCGAGCTGCATATAGCTCAGTGGGCCTTAACCACAGAATTAAAAAAAGCAGCGGTAACACATTCGATTTTCCCTTTTGAAAGCACACTTGTGACGCTCGCTAACGTTAATTGCTATTAATTTTAAGTGCAACGTTACTAACAGCTTAAAAAAAAAACCATATACAAACACATGTTGTGTTGTGTTCTATATTCCTATGTCAATCCTGGATACACAAAAGGGCTGTGTTGGTCGGGCATGAGGATGTTGGAAGTTGTTTCTCCACTTCTTTCACTACGATACCCCCAAAAGTTATTCTGAATTCGCGTATCAATCGCGAATACAAAATACATAATTCATAATAAAAGGTTTTTTTGCGTTAGATCGCATAATTATACATGTGTCGGGTGGTGGCGGGTTGACACATCTAATCTTACGCGATTTAACCCAAAAAAAACCTTCATGAATATTGGTCGCGAAAGCCTATGTGTCAAACTAATAAATCGCCCCTTGAGCAGAAAACTCAGCATGTATCATGGGCCTTAAAATATAACATTAACTCTATATGCACTATACTGCGGGAGTATTAACCACCAAAATACGTGCCGTCTGCTTCGAAGTGTACGTTAAAGATCATGTGGTGTCATGGGGAAGAGTAGGGCAATTGTGTGCCGGGCATCATGGTCCAAACGCATCAAATCTGAAACTTAAAACTCGATTTGGAATTCGCATAGCGACAATCGCCTCCTACCGCTGCCATCACCCCATCTCCCGTGAGAACCTGCCAGGGTCCTGAAAAAATAAAGTAACGAGGCTTGGCGAGGCTTTCCCTGGGTAAACAACGAGGAACGTAAAAGTCACGGAGGTGGAAAAAATAATCCAGCAGTGGAACTGCTGAACCAGCGAGAGAGCCGTTACGGCAAGTTTTAACAGTCACGTAAGCTGTTACGGCAAGTTGTAACAGTCACGTGACTGTTACGACAAGTTGTAACAGTCACGTAAGCTGTTGCGGCAAGTTGTAACAGTCACGTAAGCTGTTGCGGCAAGTTGTAACAGTCACGTAAGCTGTTACGGCAAGTTGTAACAGTCACGTAAGCTGTTACGGCAAGTTGTAACAGTCACGTGAGCCGTTACGGCAAGTTGTAACAGTCACACAAGCTGTTACGGCAAGTTGTAACAGTCACGTAAGCTGTTCCGGCAAGTTGTAACAGTCACGTGACTGTTACGGCAAGTTGTAACAGTCACGTAAGCCGTTACGGCAAGTTGTAACAGTCACGTAAGCTGTTACGGCAAGTTGTAACAGTCACGTAAGCTGTTACGGCAAGTTGTAACAGTCACGTGACTGTTACGGCAAGTTGTAACAGTCACGTAAGCCGTTACGGCAAGTTGTAACAGTCACGTAAGCTGTTACGGAAAGTTGCAACAGTCACGTAAGCTTTTGATTTAAAGTTTTCGTGACTGCAGGGATTCATATTCTTGGTTCTTTCGGTAAAGTCACGTAGAAGGGAAACAATAAAATAATAAAAATATAAAACAATAAAATTCTCACGATGTTTCGACTGCAACACAAGCAGTCATCATCAGGTGTGAAAACCACAGCAAGAATTGTCTTACTGTGGTTTTCACACCTGAATTTACTTGCTGTGGTTTTCACACCTGATGATGACTGCTTGTGTTGCAGTCGAAACGTCGTGAGAATTTTATTTGTTTTATATTTTTATTATTTTATTGCTTCCCTTCCACGTGACTTTGCCGAAAGAACCAAGAATACAATCACGTAAGCTGCAACAGCTCTCTCGCTGGACCAGCAGCAGTTCCACTGCTGGATTATTTTTTTTCCGCCTGAGGACGACCGCTTGTGTTGCGATCGAAACGTCGTGATTTATTATTATTTTTTCTACCCACGTGACTTTACCGAAAGAACCAAAGAGTATGGATTCCTGCAGTCACGAAAGCTTCGAATCAAGATTGAACGTAAGAGTCTCAACCCCGTGGCTTTCGTGGTCAAGAGGCTGCAGCGCAGTCGCGTGACCCTTGCGTGGGGGGCAGACAGGCGGTGCCTTGCCCACCGCCTCCCCTCTGATGGCCAAAGCCACGAGTTAGGACCCTCGCCCCTTACAACTACCATGAGATGTTTCAGCAAGCCCTCGACCCGCAGCTTGGTGGCACTACGCATGTCGACAAAGCCGCGTATCCTGCACCTGGGCGTGTTCCGTGTCAGTCCGAGCTTACCGAAGGTAAAGCCGCATCAGCCAAGACCCCTATCGCTAGTTGTGAAGATACAGCAGGCGCGAGCGCGCGCACACACACACTTGCAGACTATTAAGATAAACACAGGGTAACGGCAGTAGTGGAATGCCCGGTAATAAAACTACTTTGAACAGATTTCGATTTAAAGCTTTCGTGACTGCAAGGATTCATCTTCTTTGGTTCTTTCGGTAAAGTCACGTAGCTCCCATGTACATTGCTAATTATTTGGTGGCGATGTATTGACAACGGTGCACTCAGGGGCGGAGCCAGGATTTTCAGCCCGGGGTGACATTCAACAAATTTTAATTTCAAGAATGATTAAGAGAGTCAGGCTTGTTGAACTAGACGCCATCGGTTGGCGACACACTCTGACGATGCAGTTGCACGGAGTCCGTCAGACCGAGTGTCGTACACTTATACGCAGAATGTTTCAGATTTTCGATTTTTTTTCGGGGGTGACAATTGTCTACCCTGTCACCCCCCTGGCTCCGCCCCTGGGTGCCCTGATACAATTCACAAAACTCAACACGTTCGTCAATAACTGATGTGTTCTGAAGGACCATTTCCCTGAACTTCGTCTATCGTTTTATTCGAAGGCAATGTTATTTTTAAAAGAAATGTTACGTTTATAGGTTTTGACAACTCCATTAACTGCAGGAGTTGAAGTAATCAATGTTTCAATCGGAATTCAGCTGTTTTCACAACTCCAATCCTGCGGAATAACGTCCATTCACCCTTCCACATCGACCAACGTATACGAATGTAATGCACGTCGTAAATGAAAGCACAAATTTATTTCCTCAGAACCAGATGTCACCCCAAAGAACGATGCAAGTAAAAAACACAATAAGTTGCTACGAAAAAACTAACCACAACTTTATTACAATCCAAGTTAAACTATTATTGTGAGCACAGCACAATCGTGTTGGCTGGGCAGAGGGCTGGAGCTGCTCCACGTGATCATGAGCAGGAACGCAGATCATTAAATAGTTTTAAATGGCCAAGCATTTGGCATTTATATCAACTGAAACGGATTCTACTCACTACAATACAACGCATTGAATTGTGCACGTACTAATCGATGTTTTATTTGTATATGCCAATACCACTGTAGATTCAATGTGCACCACAAGGGCCGAAACGAAAATATTGCTTCGCGAATTTAAATGACCACGGAATTAGTGACATTTCGACGGTGGCAGGGATCGGTGGCAGTTGGTTGACTCCACCGTCGATGGCGGACGTGCACGAGTTTCCGTCACGAGCGATGTGCTCGCACGCGTGGGAAGGCGGCATTGACCAGGCCCCTTGCCGAGCTGAAATTCCCAAACCGAAGGCGTTGTTGGGGCTGAAAAGTTGTGTTAATCGGTGGCTAAAACGGCCGCTCTCGTTGTTCACTGGCCGACGCTTAAAATGTAGCTCTTTTAAAGCCACTTTTTTGAGACTTTATTTTCTGTAAGCCATTGCAAATGCCGAAACGTGGTGGTGTGGGGGTTACGACCTCATTTGGTGGGTTGGGTCCTCTCAACTGGGAAGACAGGCGTCAGTGCAACACAACACGTGCCTTTTACAATCCCTTACCTTTAAGCCAAGCACCTAGATCGTTCAGCTGTGCACGCAAGGAGATGTTCATGTCCCTTTTGCTGCTCGTCTTTTTACACCACATCCCTGCAGTGGACTGAATGCTTCACAACATTCGGGACAAGCGCCACCTCGTTTTGCTTCCAGAAAGGTTTCCCCACCACTGCCAGCCGTTTATCCAGATTCCAATGCTGGAAACGTTTCCAGGAAATTAAGCCCCCTCAAGATTGAAATAAAGACTTCATCTCCGGACTGAGGACAAATTCCACGACCGGCTGGTCTAAATCACATGATGATATTTCTCTCGTTCCGTATATTTTCTTTGAATAAACTATAACATTTCAGGAGCCCACTCTCTGCTGTATCCACAGCCACATTATCTGGTTTATCTTGGCCACATTTACCGTATCTCAATGCTTTCATGCTGTGCTGTGGGGGGGGGGGAGGGACCCACTTCCGGAACAATACGCAGCCGAACGTCACTCCGAACTTCCAAAGCGTGAGGTTATTTTTCGATTCGATGGGGACCTTCAAAAAGAAGTGTCACACGTTACACACCGAAGCGGTTTTGTGTGCGCGTCGCTCAAAATGCAACTTCTAAATTTCAGACTTCGCTTCGCCGTGTGTGAAAGCGCAAAACGACGACGAAATGCTTTTAAAAGACACGGTGGGGGCGAGGTGATTACAATGCAATGAGACACACGTGTTAAGAGGTTAAAACAAAAAAAACAACACAGTACGGCAAATGACAAAAGACTAAAACACCCACAAGCAATGGCTCATTCAGAAATCTAAAACATCTCCCCCATAACCCCTAAAATATGTTTTGTTATTCAACGACGTGAGCAATGCAAGTTATATACCGAATGTAAACCTGTCCTGCTCGTTGGTAAACAGATGTTCATGCTGCTCCGGGTCACTGCACACGTGGTTGCTGCGTTTGAACGCCGTTGAAATTTGTCTTCGTAGAGAGAGTTTTTTTGTTGCATTCTCGAGCTGCTTTTGAATATTTCCGTAGCGTGTAATGTCTCGTCGTGATTTCTTCCTCCGTTGCGGTGTTCTCGCGTCTCTGCTTCTCCGTAGTTTTTATTTTTGTCACTTTCGTTTCCTCTCCTTTTCGTTGCAGGCGAGCGAAAGAGAGACGACAATCACGTGACCTTTCTGCAGGCACACACCAGCGGGTAGATCTGCTCTATGGCCTGCGCAATCAGGGACACGTTCGGCGCTGTCGGCAAGAAAAACAAAACATTACCGTCACTGATCAAGCATCACGATCAACTTCAACTTCACCATTCACATTCTACCCACGTGGTGCTCAATAACAACTTCACAGTCTATAAACTATTTAATCCTTTTTTTTTTTTACCAGGTAAGACCCACTCAGCTATGTAGCTCTTTTTTTTCAGAAGCAAGCTGGCCACAAATGATAGCTCAACGAAGTGGCTTATCACGTGGAAATGTATAGCAGCCAAATGCTCTAAACGCACGTTGCTTCTAAATCTGGAGGAAAAAACTGGACGACCCGGAGAAAAATCCACGTGGCCATGGGTAGAACATGCAAACTCCAAATATGCAGAAGGCGTCAGGGTCGGGATCGAACCCACAACCTCCTGCATACCAGGCGAGGGAGTTAACATCTTGCCACCGCGGCGCTTTCCTTCAGAAAGTCGTTTCCCGAAGAAGAACGGAAAGGTGCGCGTACTTGGAATCGCGTAGAATCGCGGCGACAGACAGAGGAACACACGGGTTAGTGAACATCGCGCGGGTTAAACACGCCGCCTTGACTGTCAAGAACAGTGGGCTCAGGCGTGACCCGCAACCAAGTCGCAGCCGATGGAGTAAACGCTCGAGAGGACGACCACCGTGTGTCGACGCTGTTAAGTTGTTAACTTGCAGGACCGTGAGATGGCGATGGCTTGGGAAAGCCTTGATCCAGGCAAGTTGATTTATCATGGGTGGTGATAATAATAATTGCAACTTGTGATGCGCACGGTATTCGTTCACTCTCAAAAGTCACGATGAACCACAGACAACCAGAGACGAGCAGGAAGGCAGCCACGTGATGAGCCGGAACCGACAACTGCCCAAGCTCTGTGGTCCTTGATATATTAAGGTGTTATCGGCCAATTAATTAGTGTTCATTCGTGGGAAGAATTTATAATAAAGGTTTTTGGGTTAGAACGCGTAAATATATCAATGTCGTAACCTGCCAAACCACCCAACACAGCCAACCAGTAAGGTTTGTCACGTAGGCAAAACGTGCAAATTAGTTACTACTTCAGCCCACCGGTTGTGTGTTGGAGAGTAAATCCACAACATTTGCAATTTGTGGGAAGAAACTGAAGCTTTCGGAGAGAACCCAAGCGTGCGAGGGGGGGGGGAGGAAACGTTCTATCACATACTGACTGAGCAGATGGAGTTCACATTCTGGCTGCACTGCCTTCTCCTGACAAGCCAGGGTACAACACCTCCTCCAGGCTTGGATTACAGGCCCACGTGCATGGGGCCACCATTCAACACTGCCAGGCTAGATGACGCTCCCCCTTGCTGGCAGTTTCAGGGTGTAGTTATCGCAACCGTGTTGAGAACATTATAAAGCGATAAAAGCATGTGAATAATAAACGCTGTCCCGATGGAGTGTGAAAAAAAATCGGAGGTGGTTTTGCTCGAAGGTGTCAAGGTTAATTCTGACATTTCGTCTTCCAGAGGACAGTTTTCTAACCTCGGGGTTATACAATGCTTTCTTCAAGCATTTCAAATGACTATTACACAAAACGTATATGCAAATGGACCGAATTAAACAAACGGGTCCGTTTTCCCAAATTTATTCCAATTATGCTATCAGCACCATGTCATGAGATCAAGCATCCAATCAGAAATCTCAGAGAAGTGCACTCCGTGTGTCAGATAATGGTCACGGATGAAATTTTTCACAGGATCTCTCCATAAAGAGCCTTAAAAGTAGCCTTGTAATCCAACTGGGACACACGTGTACACACACGGAATCTCTATCTCAGACTCAAAACCGATTACGTCACATGTTACCAATAAGCAGGCACATGCAGTGTGTAACGACCATCTATACATGAACGTAGGGGGATTGGAAGGTATTGGAATGCGTGCCGCTGTGGATCGCGAGGAAAGGGCGCTTCAAGCCAAGCCAGAGACGCTTTGCAAGCACGGAGCGGTACCTGTGAGGGTGATGCTGCCCGTTGAGAAGATCTGCAGCGTGGCCGACAAGGACTTTATCTTGTATGTTGCGGCCGGGTGCAGCTCCGGCTCATAGCTATGGTCACACACGAGACAACAAAGGGACATGGCACGTTGTTGTCGAGTGGTTCCGAGTCTGTAAAACTAACGGCAGTGGCCCAGATCTACCGAGGCCAAGCTGCAGATAAGATGATTCGGACGTGAATTGTCCGCCGCTCCACCTAGGCGTAAAAGTGCGTCTTCATGTCCAGGGAATTTAATGAAATATATTTGTGTCCGGCATGTTTGCTCATGACGTCAACAAAATACCCACCGTAAACATCTGTATATATTTATTTGCATTTTACGTGAGTATCTATATATCTATATATATAAAAGGGAAATTTGTGAATGTGTGTGCCTGTTCGAAATGTTTAGCATACTTCCCGACATGCAACTAACTTGAAATTTGGCATGTTGGTAGCTTCCAGAATGTACACAATGCAAAAAGTATAAAAATAGACTTTTGTATTTTGAAGGGGGGGGGGGGGGAGGCGCAATAATGGATGTAATATTTTGCACGGCAAGTGAGCGGTGACGTCACATCTGTGATGTCACCCGCATGCGGCAGCGTCACGCAGTGTGCCTGCTGACGTCACGCATTCCCCCCCACCCTCCGCGTTTAAGAAGCCCTCTTGACACTAAAGTCAGTGTGGCAAGCTAACGAGCAGAGCGGGGAAAGGTCATCACAGGCAGTGATTACAATAGAACCCCATGCTATGTTGAAGGTTTACCAAACACACACAGCCTGCTGTAACACAGCACATCGCACAAGATTCACCCTCTAGGTCAGGGGTAGGTAACCTTTCCAAGAAGAATAAGAAGAGCCATTTTTTTAGTTTCTTGACCAAAATAGTTCGAGAGCCGCATCACACGCAGCGCTACTTGCACACAAACACAGCAGCAGGTATGCAGCAGATGGCAAACACATTCTGACTTAAATAAACAACATTAAATAGATGATGGAATAAACTGCATCTATTTAAATTTCGACTCGCAGCTTTCGTGACTGCAGGGATTCATATTCTTGGTCTCTTTCGGTAAAATCACGTAGAAGGGAAATAATAAAGTAATACAAATTCAACAATAAAATTCTCACGACGTTTCGATTGCAACACAAGCAATCATCATCAGGTGTGAAAACCACAGCAAGAGAGAGGAAAAAAAACGTTTTTCTCAAAATTTCTTGCTGCGGTTTTCACACCTGATGATGATTGCTTGTGTTGCAATCATCGTGATAATTGTATTGTTTTATTTTTATTATCTTATTATTTCCCTTCTACGTAACTTTACCGAAAGAACCAAGAATATGCATCTATTTAGTTTTTGCCCCCCTACGTTATTCTTTAACAATATAGTTTGACCGTGCATGTTCTTTTCACCAAGGCAATCCATGGTGTCCCATTCCCTGTCATATTTAATACACTGTTTATTATCTTTGTGTTAAATGATGCTTTAAGAATTTTTTTTTTTCTTTTATAAAAACCTACTGCCAAAGAGCCGCGAAAGGGGGCAGTCAAAGAGCCCACCACATGCGGCTCCAGAGGCCGAACCCTGTGCTAGGTTTCATGTTTCCTCTGAATGAGTGCAGTCCCGTCCACATGATACCCCCACTGAGTGTCATGCTAATGCAATGGGTCAGCCATGTTGTCGCGCTTAAGACGTCCCGCAAATTAAACCTTGGGGGCAATACAGGCAGTATACATCACCACTGAACGACTCCTCTGCTGATTTGTTTGAATCTTGCTATGCTCTTCATGCAGTCTCGAAGTAATCAACAACACCTCATTTTAAATATCCACTATTTGATACATGCATCACGAGTGCAGGAATTTACTTTAATGAGTGACCAGATTCGACGGAGAGACCAGGCAATCGTGTTTCTAACATGGCCAAATTCAATATTAATCATAAGACATATATGGAAGACCCAAAGAATATAAGACATATACTTTACTCAATTGAGATTCACTGTATCAGATTAGCTATATACAGTTTAACACGTAGCAGGCTTTCGCGACCAATATTATTCATAATAAAGGTTTTTGGGTTAGATCGCGTTATTTATAAATGTGTCATAACCCTCCACCACCAGACACGGCCAATCAGCAAAAAAGTGTCACGTTGACAAAAGACAAATAGTTCACTACTTTAGCCCACCGGTGTGTTGAAGAGTGAATCCACAACATTTACAGTTTGAGTACGACGTTTCGCTGGTAATTACATCCAGCATCATCGGGCAATTCGCCAGAATGGTAAAGCCCTCGCTTGCTCCCTGTTTTAAATAGAGCAGCAGGGTGACGTCATCATTTAACTCATTTCAGGTGCAGTGATTTGAGACGGAGGGGGGGGTATTGTAATTATATAATCGATTGGTAATCAGTCAATGGTTATGATTAGTAATGAGTTTAGATTAGTAATTAGTTGTAATGTGTGTTATTGTAATTATATGCTACGTTAGTAATCCGTTAATTAGTATGAGTATTATTAAATAATACATATTACAATTCCTTATAGGGGAAACACATACTAATTAACGGATTACTAACGTAGCATATAATCACAATAACACACATTACAACTAATTACTAATCTACAACTCGTTACTAATCATAACCATTGACTAATTACAAATCGATTATATAATTACAATAACCCCCCCCCCCTCCGCCTCAAATCACTGCACCTGAATACGTTAAAAGATGACGTCACCCTGCTGCTCTATATAAGACCAGGAGCAAGTGAGGGCTTTACCATTCTGGCGAATTGCCCGATGATGCTGGATGTAATTACCAGCGAAACGTCATACTTAAACTGTAAATGTTGTGGATTCACTCTTCCAACACACCGGTGGGCTAAAGTAGTGAACTATTTGTCTTTTGTCAACGTGACACTTTTTTGCCGATTGGCCGTGTCGGGTGGTGGAGGGTTACGACACATTTATAAATAACGCGATCTAACCCAAAAACCTTTATTATGAATAGCTATATACAACATAAAAGTTTGGCTTCTTCATGACCAGCAATTAAAAAACGGCAATGTTTTGTGTAATCCCAGCTTATAATGCTATATTGTACGTACAGTAATACCCCGGTTTGCGTCGGGGATGCGTTCCTGAAAGGCGCGGTGACGAATATCGAAACGTCAATCAAAGCCATTCACAGGGGAGCTGGAAGAGAATGCCGAGGTGACGGGCACGAGAAAGGACGGACGATGCTGTCAGCGACGTAATCGTGGGTTGAGGCGACGCAAATCAGGCAGCGGTATTCATAAAGTGACGACGTGTTTGCGAAACCACGTAAGAGGGGGGGGGGAGGGCGACGTAAATCTGGGTATTACTGTGCTAATCACAATCCAACATAGGCATTGGATGTCTTTAAGCAGCATACCAGTTAGTCAATCACGTGACCATGTATAGGAAGTACCTGGCTATTGGTCGGTGTGTTTTGGTGAAGTCCACAAGACGGATCTCAAAAGGCATGGAGCAGACGGCCAGCACATTCACCACCTTGAAGGCGCAGAATCGGATCTGTGTTTGAAACAAACACAACCATCAACAGCGCAGCCTAAGCAATACATGAAATTACAAGTCGAGAAAATAATAAGTCGTGGAGTTATATCTCACAGGAAGGTACGATACAAAAAACAAACACCTCCTGTAGACATTTCAATTTTATTTTAAGCACGTGACAACTCAAGAGACCAGGATAGTCTCGTTTGCAAGAGGTCACCAAAACGACAAAGTAAACCAAATAAAATAACGTACCGGCACTGAAACAAATAGAAATCAGTGCAATAGTCAACTGTGTCACATGAGAAATCCAAAACATTGCACAAACATAAATAAATGTTGAATAATAAATCCCCTTCAGCACAAGCCAGCTAGGGCAGATCACTTCCAAACTGATCATAGTACAATTACAAATAAATCTACATCAACATTAAACAGAAAAGGGGTGACCATTATACTAAAATGTGAATAGTAATGGATGCGTGTCAAAGAAATGAACTTTTAAATACAAGTAAATTAATAGACGCTGCATGCTATGCCCGAGCGAGGCTGTCCAATATGAGCTGAAAGCTTCATTCATGAGCAAAAACACTTGAAAGTTACGACCGAGGGTGCTGCCATGGCATTGAAGAGATATTACCGCCGGGAACGGTGTGTTAACGCGCCATCACTACCGTGCTATGGGATGCCTGACAGGAGTTTGACACATTTCCCCCCCCCCCCCCCACTAATTCCATCACCATTATTTGGGGTCACGAGTCAGGTCCTAATTCTTTTGTGTGTCATTTGTACTCTCAATTCAGTGCATTACCGCCAATCTTAACATTTGTATAGGATTTTCAAATAATTAGCAAAGTTGTAAATAGTCTCTTCTTAAACGTGTGATTGTATGCATTTATCTGTGTGTAAGAATTGACTTTAATCAGTGAATTAGTGTTGTCAGCATGGGACGCCGACTAACCAGACCTGTTTGTTCTTTGGCTTAAACTTTCCGTTAAAATGCAATTATTCAGCACACAGTTATGCCGAATTATCACAGCCTCCTGCTTGAATGCCAGGGCTATTGATGAAAAGAAAACTACCTTTTAAATTATATTTCCTTGAGTGTTTGGAAATTGATTTCGCTGGGTATACAGCCAGTTGTGACCGAAAACCATGTGGATTTGGAGGAAGAAAAAAAAAAACAACACTTCAGTAAATTGCGAGATCATGAGTCTGGCTTACACAAGCCGAAGAGAGGACTTTAAGTTTTATTTGGCGAGGGGGAGATGCAAAGGAGTGTACATAGCACGACCTTTAAACGAGATGGAAGCCAGCATCCTCTCGTTTGATAAACCTTCTGCAAACGCGCACTAAGAATACTCAGGACAGCGTTTCCTGCGGGAAAGTTTTAACGCAAGCGCCGCACCTTGAAGCCCAGCTTTTGTAAACATCGGGCGCACCTCCGCGCCCCAATCTTCGCGTCCTCTTCGCTGCACGGGGGGGGTGGGGGGACAGAAGTCAGCCTTGGCGCTTGACGTAACAAGGGCAAAACCATTCGCGTGCGCGCGTGTTAAAACCACGGGCCACTCTCCAATCTTGCATAAGTGGTGTCCAACCCTCATTCTGGAACTGCAACGGAAATGCTAACCCAGCCATTGGTTGAGGGTGCATTTTGCCCACACATATACCGTGCGATTCCTCATGCAATTCCGGCTTGAGGATGGAAACTTTAAGGAGATGTGTTATTTAAGACACAGCGGGTATTTGAACAAAAGGTGAAGAGGCAATTATAAAATCTACAGCAACTGCCATGCATTTCTACTCCTGCTAGATAAATGCCTTAGATAAGATAAGGTGGTAGCCAAAGGGTTTTAATAATGGGATATACGACGCAGGCACAATCACACCATTACGTCTTAAGTGAACAAAGCCACCACTGACATCAATTTACTTACTCTGTTGTGCAACTGGCACTCAGATGTTGAAAGTAATTCCGTCATCGGGGAAACGCAACTGTTTCCAGTGACACATTCTCAAATTATTTGGCAGCCACCACGTCTACATTAAAAACGCTGCCGCATACGCCTATGCTTTATTGAGGATGCAGGACTTGACCAAGTTTCCCTTCACGTGGTGTGTAATACACATTTTCATATCAGCTGTCCTGCGTTTGAATAGACGCACTCCTACCTTGTGGCTCCCGTGCAGATGACCTTCCCTGAAGACCAGATGGTCGACGTGATTCGAGGTCGTCTGAGCTTCATGAGTACCTTCTGTTGTGCACAGTCGGGGTTTGCACGCGCACACAAACGATCATGCACAGGCCCCACTGTGACCAAGACAAATGTGGCAGCACAGGTTTCGCAGAGGTCACGGAAAGGGCAGAGCTGCCAGGACTAAAGCGAGTCTCATGCAAAACACTACCATTATATTCTTTACCGCAAGAGACCAAAGAATATGAATTCCTGCAGACACGAAAGCTTTAAGTCACTACCATTATATATTTTAAAAAATGTTGTCGACACTGCATTGGCAATGGTGCATAAGAGAAATAACCAAAACTCAACACATTCATAAGTAGCACTACCCGAAAGGAAATACTGTGTACATAATAGGCAACATTTTTGGCAGTGGCCATTCTTAATAGGATATGTGCTATGGGCAATGGACCTTCGACAATGATAATTTAGTACATCAATGTCAGTGTATATGCGTCATGAAGTGGTGACCATTGTCTGAAACGTCACGTATTGCAGTGTTATTGAGGATTTTGTTGAGTTTGACCATTACATTTGCTCTCTACTGCTCCAATTTCAAAAATACTTTATGCAGACCTAAACGTCACTACAATTAATGCTGTATACATTGCAGCGCATATGTATCGATGCAAAATGTTACATTCATCATGATGTAAACCTCTTAAAAGCATATATTCACCACAAATTTGATTCCATTACGTATGTATAGTATTACTCATTTTTAAAAATAAATATAAAGCTCTATTTTGTATAATTCCCATGCAAATAACAGATTACTACTGCTAGATTTAAAGTTCCTTTGGCCACAATGCAAGCTCCTTTGGCCACAATATTGCTCTACAACCAAGCCTGGGCATAACGGCACATGGTTAGGATATGGTAGTACAAAAAGTAGGTTTGTGAACCTGCCCATGCAGGCATGTTATTGTTATGTCTTCGTTTAACAAGGTTTTCTTAAGGCAAAATTCAGTTTCTTCCCAAATGCAAAATAGCCTTATCAAGGAAACCAGCCCAATGCAGGACCCTGTGTTAAAATATCGTGGCTATTAGTCATGCGACAATTCATCAATGAATATTATTTGACTCATGCAAGTGAGAAATTATTTTAAAGATTAATGAAAATTACATGAAAATTCAAAGCTAATGTTCTTTTTTATCTAATGGATCGAACAATAATGTATGCAATAAAACAAGATAATTAATATGGGATGAGAAATGATTGATTCCTGAATCGGAACATCACCCAGAATCATGAAAATTCAGTCATTTGAGCGCCTGTAGTTAAACTAAAAACATTTTTTTTTATTTTGCCACTAAGGCCCACTGAGCTATTCGCTTTTTTTCAGTGACCTGGCCACAAATGATAGCTCAACGAAGTGGCTTATTGTGTAGAAATGTATAGCAACCAAATACTCTAAACGCATGTTTCTAAATATGGAGTGAAAACCCGGAGGACCCGGAGAAAAATCCACGCGACCACAGGGAGAAATGCAAACTCCAAATATACAGGTGTCAGGGTCGGGATTGAACCCACGACCTCCTGCGTACCAGGCGAGGGAGATAACATCTCGCCACCTCTTGCAAAAAGTACATAAGACGTCACACCCCTGACTGAATGTGCACAAGACTGATGGAACCCATGGGCGTGCGCGCTCACCCCTTCGTCGCGCTTGTACATGACATTGGCTCCCTCCAGGGCGATGTGCCTCAGGTCGAGGTGGCAGCGCGTGCGGAACACGCACACCACGTTGGTGATGAGGATGTCGAGAGACAGGGGTTCCCCACCAGGGGCGTCCATGGTGTCGCGACGTACCCAGGTGCTGCACGCGTCGCTCGCTGTGTCAGCTGCGGCGGGCGAGAGAGGCCACACAATTCAACTGGGTTCATGAGAATGAACGGATTAATTCGCATTTTTTTTTAACTCAACCTATTAGTGGCACGGCCTTCTGGGGAGTGCATAATCTCAGCAGCATTAATTCAGCGCAAGCAAATCTGGACCAGTTTCAACATACAAGTGTCATCAGGCTCACTTGAATCAATGACGACGAACTGCCAGACGCCAAAGACAAGGACGACCCTCTCTTTAAATAAAGAGTTCAATGCTAAATTCTACAATAAATGTTACGATTAGCACGGTAGGCTACGTACGGTGCAAATAAGTTTAACATACGTACAGCTGAAAATACTGTCATCGCTTGTACCGCGTGTTGTTCAGAATTGTCTGATGTTTCGATATACATGCCTAAGTTCCGGAACAAGCCCTCAGCATGTGGATCGAAAAGTCGGGCATAATGCTGAACAAGACGTGATTCAACTCGAAACCACAAGGCAGAACTAAACATCTCAACCACGAAAACCTATGCAGTAGAATAATGAGTGATCCGAGTATCTTTGCAGTATCCAGTGAGAACCACTGAAGCATCCCCAATGCTTTCCACCTTTCATCTGTGGAAATTAATTGCACATGGCAAGTAACCTGAGTCACTATGATAACAATGTCAACTAATGGGTACATATTTCACTGGGCAGACTGGATACCAATGTACAGACATAAGTACACAGCATTAGCCTGCATGTGATTTCCTCCTAATTTATTGGAAATATTTAACACAAAAAATCCCCTGTGAGATGAAAAATCTCATTTTCGCAGGTGTCTTGAGAGTAATCAGTAGAGAAAACAGGAGCATTGGATGCCAAACGCACATTTACAACTGTGTAAAACTCACAAAATAAGAAAAATATATAACCAACATTATTCACATAATATGTAAAGCCAGGAAAGTTTGCGCAATAAAAAATTTGACGATAAAACGTGGTTTATTATGTTGCAGATGTCAGGAGCTAAGCTGTGCATTGCTCTATATAGATGGTGTCATGTTCAGTAGTCATCTTATATAATTATATTTTGAAATACTATTTACTTTGACAATGTTGAAATTCTGTACCTAGTTAATGAGCTAGCTCATCAGATGGGTAATGGTTTAGCAAGTCATACCTTTCACTTGATGTTGAGTCACGATCGCTGGCAAGAACAAATCTGGGACATTGTTTCACACTTCACCCACTGCATATTTGTGTTGAAACCCTGCCCTCTTAAAACCTCATGGGCTAAAAGTCAGCCACATGCTCTGTCTGTTGATTAATTGAGTGAATGTAGTCAAGGGATCACTATCATCTAGTTTAAACGCTGCACTCATCGTGATGGTGAACAGCAGAGAAGCCATAAAGATGTGCTGCTGTATGTCCGATGGAGATCAGGGACCTATCTGATGGTGTTTGTGAAAAACCTGCCCTTAACTGTCTTAACAGAACCCACTCTCCCCCCTCTGCATCTCCATCCCTGCCTGCATCATTCCACACGCCTTGAGTGTTTCTCTCCTCCCATTACCATCTCCCCACATCACCACACTTCTGCGTATGATATCAAGTTGATTCCGACATTTATATTTATTTCAGTGATTCTCTTTAAATGCTTGCTGTTTCTGTAATCTTTAGAGACGTGTCATCTGTATAAAATAATTTGTAAAATAATATTAAATATAAAGATTATCTTTACTTAACCAGGTGTGATTCCATTGAGATACACAATAGGCAGATGTGGGTTAAATGGTGAATGCAGATACATGGATAGCGCATTAAATCTACCAAATTTGTCACATGGCCACATATTTTAGTGTGATATTCAACTTTAAACTTGGTCACTTTGATTCTGCTCTTGCTTTTACTGCAATGCAACCCAGTTGCATTTGACCAGCAACTGACTGTTGATGAAGATTAAAAGTTCAAAACAAGTGGAAGAACTGCCTAATCAAAATGCTGCTGGGATACTAAAGAATATGGGAGACATTTGTTAAGAATGTATACATCAATCTGGCGATGGCCAATCTAATTTAGTAATCTTGGTAACGACACGAGACTCAATAAAGGCACTTTCCAGTTTGTGCAAAAGGTGTTAAGTTATTGGTTAAACATCCCAATGTAGAACCTGATTGAAGAAATCTAACAGACTGTCAGCTTTTCCTGGATAAACGTGGCATTATTTATTTTGAGTCATCCAGTCGTAAGTGCTATAAACTCTGTACTCTGTTCTGGATACCACTCATATAACCATTTCTTGAGCAAATGCCACATTACAAACAACACAAACTCACCTTAGAAGGAACAGTAAACCATTCTTATTTGTATCATTATAATAATATGAATCCCTGCAGTCACGAAAGCTTTAAATCAAAATTCATCCTTATTTGTATAAAATTACTATGGTGGAAAAGTGTGACAATTCCACAACAATGTGTTCCTTCATTGACTTATGGCATTCAGGCAATGGTGCAAAAATAAGGGTCTCATTTGTGCATGAATTTTGCACCCATCATACGCTAGAATATTTATGAAGACACGTATGGAGAAGTGTGGTGTAAATGATATTGTAACGTGAACCCATGAGTAAGCTGTCAATCACTAAGACAGGTTCAACGATATTTATTACCTTCGTAGTGCTGGACTATAAAATTTCATGTGGAAGTTCCCTATGCGTTGGTTGTATGCGATTATACATGGCCGTACACTAGTTGCTTGCTGTACTTTCATTCTCATTTACAGTTTAAGACATCGTCCTATCAACGAAAAGGAAAATACACATTCAGATGTGCACATGACTTAACATTAAAGATGGAACCGAATAAACATATCGCTGATCTGGTTGACAAAACTCTTAAATTAAGTTTTCCAAATGCACGCCAACCTTCTCTTGTTCAAATTTGTATTTCATCATTTTCATCGTGGTCCTCCTTCAATAACTATCCCACGAATATATATTCAGTTTTGTTTTCAGCCGTGTCCCCGCGATTCAAATCACATAGTTTGATAAACAAGTTGCACGTGACTTAGTTATGATCCAACAGGTCTTGAGCTCGATTGTGCATTTGCAGTTCAATGTTTCATTGGTAAAGCTGATCGACAAACATATCCTACATTATTTTTTGTCCATTTTTCCAATCCAATTTTCATAAAACCTCGTCACTGTGAATAACCTCGGCAAAAACACGTCCTCATGGCCGACTTCCTTCATGTGTGTAGCTATATGGATCCTTGCAGTCACGAAAGCTTCAAATCTAGAAATGTGTGTAGCTGTTCCATTTATGTAAATATTTCATATCTCGGCCTGCGTTTGTAAGAGCTTCGAAGAGTCTCAGGCTGCGCATAAAATATTAATATTTTTTTAAAATCGACATTAACAAATGTAATTACTGTATATCCAATAAAAACCCATTGCACATTTTCAGATCAAATTCCTACGACAACTCAATAGGGGTCACTATTGACTTGCAAGATCGCATTGAACTGCCTCTATGGGCTCCAGTTACCCATTTAATGTTCATTGAAGCTGTACTGTATGACAAAACACATTCCTACGATAAGCAATCATCGTAATTATCCCAATTACAGTCGCTGTTCTTTAATCACGCACAGCTGTTTGTTCCTCTGCCCTGGGCAGTGGTGGAAATTCCACATTCCCGTGACGGGGGCCAATTTGACCATTGTACGACCGCGACTGTACTTACCCACATCAACGCAATGCTCATTACTCATCTATAATTATAAACGTGAATCATATTAGAAACAGTGATATATCCGTTATTAATTGCGATTCACGCATTTAATAATTTGGCTTACGCGTGCTATGGAAATTTCACATCCCCACGACGCAGCCTCTGGCAGCACTTCGTGAGCAACACGAACACCCGACTCCCAATACGCCTACAATCGAAAACATTCACACGATTCACACCGAACGGTCGCGTAGTCTCAACACCACATGCAAAGAAGCAGCAATCTCAAAGCGCAGGTTGTTCGCTATTTTAACCGGTTACATGCGCCGTCGACGCCACCAGATGAGGGCCTCACCAGAGAAGTCGTTTTAAAACAAACAAACAAAATCTCCACCCCCACACTCCCCACCCCACCCCCGCCATCAAACCGTTGCTCGAACCGTCGTAACAACCACCACTCAGCACAAAAGAGTCGATTAATTAAGCGTCGCCTCCTATTGTGTCTCCTACTCACCGCTCCTCCGAGGCCTGGTGGGTTGTCAATGGTCGGCGGCGATTGGTGGTAGTGAGGGGATGAGTGGTGGTGGTGAGAGAGAGAGAGAGGGGGGGATGGGGTCGATACGCCAGGAGCAATTGACGGTATCGGCGGGCAGGGCCGTGTTTGGTTGCTGCTGCTGCTGTTGTTGTTGTTGTTATTGTTTATTATTTGTGATGTTTGTGTCCAACTCTGCGCGTCGCTTTAACTCGCGCGGAGGCTTCCGCTGGGTTCCGGCCACTGCGCCGCCCCCGACCGCCGCCGCCGCCTTCGCTTCCGGGTCAGCGGCGGCAACTGCGCCGACGGCTTCTACGGTGGCTGCGAGGGCCCTCGGCATTGGGCGTTTGGTAAATCAGGCTAAATGTGCAGGGGCGCTTTAAAAAAAATGTTAACACTTTTTTTAAATATATCGGACTGTCGATTTTGATGGGAAAAGAACGGGCAATAAACCACTGTAACACGACAACAAATGTAATGTTAATAGCTTAAAAAAGTCAAAAGAGTCTCCCACTTGTTCGCCATCGTTGTCAACACGTGGCCTGGGAATCTTCTTTAGGTGGTCTCCAGAGCCTAGAGGAGGCAGCAGCACATTTTCTCCTTTGGTTCTTTCGCTAAAGTCACGTAGAATGAGAATAAAATAATAAATTGATAGAATACAATAACACGATAAAATTCTCACGACGTTTCGGCCATTCTACGTGGTGACTTTACCGAAAGAACCAAAGGAGATGAATCCTTGCAGTCACGAAAGCTTTAAAGCACATTGTGGCATTGTTGCAAATTCTCAGAAGTGTTTAAACAATTTTTTGACAGCACCCTGTATATGCAGGGTGGTTTAACGCGTAGGTTTTCGAGATCAATATAATCCATAATATATATTTTTGTTAAATCGCGTAAATATAAAAACAGGATTTCTCCACAAATCTGGCTGTTCGCCTGATGATGGCAGTGATAATAACTGGCGAAACGTCGTACTCAGATTGGAAATGTTGCGGCTTGGCTCGTTTTCGTGACAAACCTTACGAATTGATTGTGTCGGGTGGTGGCGGGTTTAATGATACATTTAAATTTACGCGATCTAACCCAACAACAAAAAAAACCCTACAGTATGGATATATACAGTGTACGAAAAATGAATATACACGTTAATCGACTTGTAAGTTTTAGTTTATTAACGTGTTATGGTATTTATGAGATTGTCTCGAATTATTTTTAGACTTAAAACTTTTCGTGACCGCGGGAATTCATATTCTTTGGGTCTTTCGGTAAAGCCACGTAGATAGCAAAAATGTCAAACAAAAATATATCAGGACTTTTTCATCGCAACACAAGCAATCGTCATCAGGTGAAAAAAACAATTTCGCCCCTTTTTTCACCTGATAACGATTGCTTGTGTTGCTATCGAAACGTTATTTTTTTATATTTTTTCTATCTACGTGGCTTTACCGAAAGACCCAAAGAATACAACTAAACATAAACAGCAATTGTAAAGAAATGCGTTTTCCATCTACAGGGTGGTTCAGATTGATTGTGATCCACAATTTATTGACTCCGAATTTGTTTTTCCTTTGCGTATTCATTTCTGTTTAAATAAACCTCAATTTTTGTATTATGTTTTAGAGAATTACATGGGGGGTCACAAGGCATCTGCACAGACCAATTCAGACCTTCATATTCTGTTTCTTTCGATAAAGTCACGTAGATAGAAAAATAATAAAAATTCAGTGAATAAAAAAACCCACTAATATAGACTGTAGCCTGGTTCTTAATCGGAGTGAGTGTGCTGACAGTCTATAATGTAGACTGTAGCCTGGTTATTAACCTGAGTGAGTGTACTGACAGTCTATAATGTAGACTGTAGCCTGGTTATTAAGCTGGGTGAGTGTACTGGCAGTCTATAATGTAGACTGTAGCCTGGTTATTAAATTTGGTGCGTGTACTGGCAGTCTATAATGTAGACTAGCCTGGTCATTAAGCTGAGTGAGTGTACTGACAGTCTATAATGTAGACTAGCCTGGTCATTAAGCTGAGTGAGTACTGGCAGTCTATAATGTAGACTGTAGCCTGGTTATTAAGTTTGGTGCGTGTACTGGCAGTCTATAATGTAGACTAGCCTGGTCATTAAGCTGAGTGAGTGTACTGACAGTCTATAATGTAGACTAGCCTGGTCATTAAGCTGAGTGAGTACTGGCAGTCTATAATGTAGATTGTAGCCTGGTTATTAAGCTGAGTGAGTGTGCTGACAGTCGATAATGTAGACTAGCCTGGTTATTAATCTGAGTGAGTGTACTGGCAGTCTATAATGTAGACTGTAGCCTGGTTATTAATCTGAGTGAGTGTACTGACAGTCTATAATGTAGACTGTAGCCTGGTTATTAAGCTGAGTGAGTGTACTGACAGTCTATAATGCAGACTGTAGCCTGGTTATTAAGCTGAGTGAGTGTACTTATTCTTGGTTCTTCCTTATTCTTAGACTTATTCTTGGTTCTTTCGGTAATAAAAAAAACCACGACGTTTCGATCACAACACAAGCGATCGTCTTCAGGAGGATAGAGGGGGAAAGTCGGGCGGCACTTGTTCCACAACCATTTATTTAACTTTGAAAAACAGTTGCCTGCAGTGCAGTCGCGAAAGCTTCAAATCTCTCATCGACATCAGTTCATTTCATTTATTTTGGTATAGCCCTGTGAGCCATTCGGCTCTTGAATCGGGTGCAACCGCAACAAACACAAACAACATGAACAAGAAAAACATCTTAAAGTGACTACGCGCAAACAAAACAAAATCTAGGAAAAAACAGCAAAGTCTTCCAGAAAAAGCACCGTGTATCAACGCCGTGTGCAAAAAAATCCCAGTGGGATGCAAGTCAAACAATATTTATCTGTTCATAATAAAGGTTTTTTGGGTTAGATCGCGTTATTTATAAATGTGTCGTAACCCTCCACCACCCGACACGGCCAATCAGCAAAAAAAGTGTCACGTTTACAAAAGACAATTAGTTCACTACTTTAGCCCACCGGTGTGTTGAAGAGTGAATAATTCACTACTTTAGCCCACCGGTGTGTTGAAATTGTGAATGTTGTGGATTCACTCTTCAACACATCGGTGGGCTAAAGTAGTGAATTATTTGTCTTTTGTCAACGTGACACTTTTTTTTGCTGATTGGCCGTGTCGGGTGGTGGAGGGTTACGACACATTTATAAATAACGCGATCTAACCCAAAAACCTTTATTATGAATAATATTGGTCGCGAAAGCCTACGTGTTAATATTTATCTACAACCCCTCTCTCTCTGCCCCCCTTCTCTCTATTTAAGGCCTCGACACAGAGGCGTTGTTTGTCTGTGTGCCTATGTGTGTGTGTCTCTCTCTGTCTCTGTGTTGTCTCTCTGTCTCTGTGTTGTCTCTCTCTGTGTGTCTCTGTGTTGTCTCTCTCTGTGTGCATATGTGTGTGTCTCTCTGTGTGTCTCTGTGTTGTCTCTGTGTGCCTATGTGTGTGTCTCTCTCTGTGTGTCTCTGTGTTGTCTCTCTCTGTATGCCTATGTGTGTGTCTCTCTCTGTGTGTCTCTGTGTTGTCTCTCTCTGTGTGCCTGTGTGTTGTCTCTCTGTGTGCCTCTGTGTTGTCTCTCTCTGTGTGCCTATGTGTGTGTCTCTGTGTGTCTCTGTGTTGTCTCTCTCTGTGTGCCTATGTGTGTGTCTCTCTCTGTGTGTCTCTGTGTTGTCTCTCTCTGTGTGCCTATGTGTGTGTCTCTGTGTTGTCTCTCTCTGTGTGCCTGTGTGTCTCTCTGTGTGTCTCTGTGTGCCTATGTGTGTGTCTCTGTATCTCTCTGTGTGTCTCTGTGTTGTCTCTCTCTGTGTGTCTCTGTGTTGTCTCTCTGTGCCTATGTGTGTGTCTCTCTCTGTGTCTCTGTGTTGTCTCTCTCTGTGTGCCTATGTGTGTGTCTCTCTCTGTGTGCCTATGTGTGTGTCTCTCTATGTGCCTATGTGTGTGTCTCTGTGTCTCTGTCTGTGTCTCTCTCTGTGTGCCTATGTGTGTCTCTCTCTCTCTCTGTGTCTCTGTGTGTGTCTCTCTCTCTCTGTGTGCCTATGTGTGTCTCTCTCTGTGTGTCTCTGTGTTGTCTCTCTCTGTGTGCCTGTGTGTGTGTCTCTCTCTGTGTGTCTCTGTGTTGTCTCCCTCTGTGTGCCTATGTGTGTGTCTGTGTTGTCTCTCTCTGTCTATGTGTCTCCGTGTCTGTGTTTTGTCTCTCTCTCAAATTTAGCAATCTTTGGAAGAACGTTAATCAACCAAGTAGGGTTTCGATTTAAAGCTTTCGTGACTGCAATGATTCATCTTCTTTGGTTCTTTCGGTAAAGTCACGTAAAATGAGAATAAAATAATAAATTGATAAAATAAAATAACACAATAATATTCTACCAGACAGTCTCGCCCCCTTCACCTGATGAAGGCCGCTTGTGTTGTGGCCGAAACGTCGTGAGAATATTATTGTGTTATTTTATTTTATCAATTTATTATTTTATTCTCGTTCTACGTGACTTTACCGAAAGAACCAAAGAAGATGAACCAAGTAGGGTGTTGACTATTGTGTTAGCCGACTCTCTGTGTTGTATTGCATTATATTTCTAAGTTTACTAGGTTTGTTTTTTTCTCATTCATTCGTACCTGATGATGATTGCTTGTGTTGCAATCGAAACGTTGTATTCTATTTTTTAAAATTTTCTTTCTACGTGACTTTACCGAAAGAAACAAAAAGACTATCTATTTGCCCGTATTGAAACGGCTGTACGCCGTATGGACCTGAAAATTATATTTCCCTGTAACAAGAATACGGGGTAAACCGTATGGGTTGACACGGTATGTAGTCGTGTAGTGTATCATGTAGTGTATTGTATAGTAGCAAACCTGTCAACCCCTTATCAGTGCCCTACCTTATTACAAACCAATTTAGACCTTAATGGTCACCCCGTGCCCCTTATAAATCTCAACGTTCATCCTACAGAGCCCCATCACAAGGGGGATACACACAAATACTCACCACTAGTACACTCACCACTACAAACCTGTCAACCCCTTATCAGTGCCCTACCTTATTACAAACCAATTTAGACCTTAATGGTCATCCCGTGCCACTTATAAATCTCAACGTTCATCCTACAGAGCCCCATCACAAGGGGGATACACACAAATACTCACCACTATTACACTCACCACTACAAACCTGTCAACCCCTTATCAGTGCCCTACCTTATTACAAACCAAATTAGACCTTAATGGTCACCCCGTGCCCCTTATGAATCTCAACGTTCATCCTACAGAGCCCCAACGTTAATCCTATACGCCGTATGGACCTGAAAACCCAACTACAATAATACGAGCTTAAACCGCATGGGTTGACAGCTATATATATATTTTTTAAAAATACAATAATAAAACACCAGCTGTTGGGCCACCACGTCACAATCACACAAAGATTAAAGGGGGGGAGGGGCCGCAATCGGGCTGACTCCACCCCCCACCACCACCACCACCACCACTCGCGGACGCAAAGGGGCGCGCGCCCATTGGCTGAGCCGCGAGCACGTGACGCGGCCACCCGCGCCGTTGCGAGGGCGCTCGGCGTCTGGGTAACGGCGTCAGCCACCGCCGTCACCGCCGCCCTCTGCTGAGCGAGACGACTAATCACTCGACTAAGCGTGCATTATAATTGATGATTGCTTTAAGAATTTTCTTCAGAAAGAATCCCGCGCACGGTAAACGCGGTGTCCGGTGGTTTTCTAAGCGCGCGTGTGTGTATGTGTGTGTGTGATGGTTGGTTGGTTCGCGCGCGTGAGGGAAGAGAGGGCCGCTAACGGGAGAGGTCGCTAGAATTGACCAGGCCCACCCCACCATTAGCCGTCAATAGAACATTGACGGTGAAATGTCGTCACTGTTTTAGTCGCTTTAATATATACACGTGTGTGTGTGTGTTTCATGTCAGCATACATCCCGTGGATTTGTTGTGTGTATCTGGAGTCAATTGTCGTGGGTCGACCGGTATTGTTTTGGAACGTGTGTTAATTACATGACGTCACGCACCTAGGGGGGGGGGGGTTGAGAAATGTGACGTCGCATCAAAATGCGCAACTTTAAGTAAATATAGACAACACGTTTTACTTAATTAAATAGAATTGTATTCTTGGTTCTTTCGGTAAAGTCACGTAGAAGGGAAACAATAAAATAATAAAAAAATATATAAAACAAGAACCAAGAATATGAATCCCTGCAGTCACGAAAGCTTTAAATCAAAATTAAATAAAATTGTTCTAACACTAATTTGCTTCGCTTTCATTATTAACTATTTTAGTATTTAAATTTACTAAGGTCACCTTTTATTCCACGAAGGAACATTTTGCTTCTCCATTGGATAATGGAGAAGAATTACATTTATAATTTTTTTGTAATGATTGCTATTAAACATTTTGATTCTAATGATTCTACCAGGGCTTTTCATTCTGCGGAATGAATATGTGATTGTTATAATTGTACTCTCTATTTTGCTTCGTTCTACAAAGTTTCAAGTATTTTTTATAGTTATAATTGCATTTAATATTTTATAATTATAAGATAATTTCAATATAATATTCTGAACATCTGCAGTTTTATATTCTTGGTTCTTTCGGTAAAGTCACGTTGCAGGGAAACAATAAAATATATATAAAACAATAAAATTCTCACGACGTTTCGACTGTAACACAAACAGTCATCATCAGGTGTGAAAACCAACGGCAAGAAACATTTGAAAGAAGTGGCGGTTTGTATTTATTTATTTTTAAACGTTAGCACCACGGATAGTTTAAGTTAGACGTTGAATATTTTCAAGTGAATTTTATGCTAAATTTCAGCTTTCCAACGCCTCCTTTATAATAAATGTTTTCTCCTACAACATCAGAGTGCAGCGCCACATTAAATACGCACTACAATGACAATAGTTTAAAGCGATTTGAAGCATGTTTTATTTTCAAAATGGAAATATGGTTTTGGGGGGGGGGGGCAGAGCTTTGTGACATCATATTTGAGGGGGGTTAAATATCGTCCAAAATCCCGTGACGTCATTTATGGACGGCCCCTACATATAAAATATCTATCCCTCATAACTGAGGGCTGCTCTCACGAGGCCGCGGTGTTTCACACACACAGTTGTGCATCGTAGTCTGCAGATGCGTGCATTGCCCTTGTACTGGCGTTGTTCTCTGGTCTGACACCGGTGAGACTTGGGCCTCAAGAAGGCTGTTGTTTCTGGTGTAGGGCAATCCGTTTCAAAGACACTGCCATATATTAACAGAGCATGTTTGTTTGCACGTTCACCACAGCAAGGATGTGTGGTTAATGCGGACTTCTTTGGTTCTTTCGGTAAAGTCACGTAGAATGAGAATAAAATAAAACAAGAAAATTCTCACGACGTTTCGGCCACAACACAAGTGGCCGAAACACAAGTGGCCTTCTTCATCTTCAGGTGAAAAAGGCCACTTGTGTTGTGGCCGAAACGTCGTGAGAATTTGATTGTTTTATTTTATTATTTTATTCTCATTCTACGTGACTTTACCGAAAGAACCAAAGAAGATGAATCCTTGCAGTCACGAAAGCTTTAAATCGAAATTTAATGCAGACTTGATTCCGTGCCAAAAGATTTCTGTTTGGTGTGTGAACCTGATTTATTTCCAGAAAGGATAAAAACCTGTTCTTATTTTTTCATACTTTGATACTGGCGAAAGAGTCACATTTTGTAGTCTGCAGTATTTTAACCAACATATGAGGGGAGGGGTGATGTTACTATGTGTTTTTCCCCAATACAAAAAAATGTTGGTGATTCAACAAAAGTTGGCTAATTTCGACTGACGCTGGCACACAATGGGCTGCTCTTTTTTCCCAGTAACGTACACTCTTAAGCAGAGACAGCGTATGTGTGTTTAATGCACCACCGTCTGTGTTATTAACCAGGGTGGTCGTGGTTTCGAACCGTCATGTCACACTGCCTTTTCACACGATTATGAAGAAACCATTCTAAAGTTGCATTTCAGCATTAAATCATTGCACATTCTTTAAAGTTCATGGGCTTATTTTTTCAATGGTATATTTTAATAATGTTTTACCCTTTATATATTTGATGCACTGCTCTTTTGCAGTGCACGTTACATTGTACTGGTAACAGGGTATTACTACTGTACAGTAGAATGGTAATACGTTTTAGGGAAAAAAAATCCACAATAGATTCACCTTCATTAATTAATATTAAGAAACATCCAGTCTAGACCACATGGTGTGTGCTTTAATGTGATTTCAATCACATCGACATTGATCGCCCGTGCGTGTTCCATATTCTTATAACAATAAAGCTGTTAAATATATTTGCATGTAAAATATAATACATACACTGCAAATATACATCACTTTGCGATATCAACTAAATGTTATAGTCTTTACTATGTTAATTTATATTTAACTGTTAGTTAATTCCTATTTCACATGTATGTCCATTGACATTTAAACTCCCGTGTGAATTTATAATACGCGTTGGATAACGTCCACTTGGAGTTATAAATGTGATCTAAACCGGCAACAGTATGCCACACCTCTCCATTATTTGACTCGATGTATGACGGAGTAAAGATAAACACGGGCAATTTTTTAATGGATTAGAAATAAATCCGAATTTAAATAGACCACGCTTGCACACATTCGAACAGGCACTTGACCAGTGATACTTTCATCAACGATTAACATTTTGGTTGTCGTCTCTTTTATTCTAGTCGACAACATGTGAAATATTAGTCGAGTCTTAGTCGGTGGCTTTCACTTGGTCATTTTCTTGCTCTATGTGACTAAAGCAGTCAAAATTGGAGTCCCCTCTTAGTTATGTAACGTTGGTGTGAGGGGCTCACAGTAATCCCCCTAGATTATCAAGGCCAATTAGTGAATTAAGTTTATCGTTTTGTATATTTATCCGTTTACCTTTTTTAATCAAACGTATGCACTGCTGTCACTAATAACATTACTAAATTGTCTTGGTCTGTGTGTTCATTCAGACTACAGTACTTACTTTAATGTGATCATAGTCATGCTGAATTATTTTGTGGGTGATCATAGTCGTCATCATGCTTATTAATTTCTGTTCACTCATAGTCATATCATGGACTAAAATAAAATAAAGTGTTCGTTAAATATTTGTCACTAATTTTATGAACAAAATTAACACAACTCGTTGGTTCTTTCGGTAAAGTTATGTAGGTATAAAATAAATTAAATCACGACGTTTCGATTGCAACACAAGCAATCATTTTTTTATTTAAAGCTTTCGTGACTGCAGGGATTCATATTCTTGGTTCTTTCGGTAAAGTCACGTAGAAGGGAAACAATAAAATAACACAAATATAAAACAATAAAATTCTCACGACGTTTCGACTGCAACACAAGCAATCATCATCAGGTGTGAAAACCACAGCAAGAAAATTTGAAAAAGTGGCGTTTTTTTAACGTTAGCACCACGGAATTTTATTGTTTTATATTTTTATTATTTTATTGTTTCCCTTCTACGTGACTTTACCGAAAGAACCAAGAACACAAGCAATCATCATCACGTGTGAAAGCCACAGCAAGTAAATTTGAAAAAGTGGCGTTTTTTAATGTTAGCACCACGGAATTTTATTGTTTTATATTTTTATTATTTTATTGTTTCCCTTCTACGTGACTTTACCGAAAGAGCCAAGAACACAAGCAATCATCAGGTGGGAAAACCACAGCAAGAATTTATTTTTGCTGAAGTTGGAGAGAGAGTTGCCGTGGTAAGAGGTTATAGAGGTAAGAAAGGGGGGGGGGAGAGAATTGCCGTGGTAAGAGGTTATAGAGGTCAGAAAGGGGGGAGGGGCAAGGGGGGAGAGAGAGTTGCCGTGGTAAGAGGTTATAGAGGTCAGAAAGAGGGGAGGGGTAAGGGGGGAGAGAGAGTTGCTGTGGTAAGAGGTTATAGAGGTCAGAAAGAGGGGAGGGGTAAGGGGGGAGAGAGAGTTGCTGTGGTAAGAGGTTATAGAGGTCAGAAAGGAGGGAGAGAGAGCTACCGTGGTAAGAGGTTATACAATTTTTTTTCTTGCTGTGGTTTTCCCACCTGATGATGATGATTGCTTGTGTTGTAATCGAAACGTCATGATTTCATTTATTTTATTTTATACCTTCCGTGACTTCACCGAAAGAACCAAAGAGTATGGATCCCTGCAGTCACGAAAACTTCAAATCTAAAATTAACACTGCTCGACAATTACTTCACACGGTGAATGAGCAGATGACCATCATTACCACTGAAGGTGAAGATGATTGAGAGTTTGAGACCCATTGACAATTAGCACAATTCTTGTTACATTAATATGGAAATGTATTGTCACTCAGATCTTTCTAGGTGTAATCACTGAAGACATATCTTCATCATGGAGTGGAGGTCATAACAGCTGATGCCATGCCTATTGGTAAGAGTGAATTATGTTAAGGACGTTTACTGTAAGAGTGAATTATGTTCGTTTTGTATGTTTTTGCATCACTTACTTTGCAATTAAAAACAATTATGTAGAGTACAGTAATGTTAACAGGTCCATATTTTTCAGCTTTACTTAAGTATGACAATGTTTTGCTTAATGTGAGTGTGAACTATAAAAAAAACACGCAATGCTGTTTTATTTCGAATTTTAATTTGGAAAATTAATTACCCATCCATGCAAAGGGCTGTTATCAGCTTGTATAGTAATACAACTATAATGCAGTTGTCCCATTTACCTTTACTCACTACCATATTCCCGATATATACACACAAAAAATCCACACTGTGGGAAAAGCAAAATGGCTTGGTAAAATTTTAATCCTTCAGCTCGTTACGATGTACTGCTAATAAGCACAACGGTGATAGCCGAGCTGAGGAGAGCGATTTTGAACGTCAATTTGCAGGGGTGACAGCGGAGGGAGGCGAGGTGCGCTCTCAAAAGACGCGTACGCGCATCGAGGAGGTCCTCAAGTCCTACGCGGGCGGCCAAATCTCGACCGAGAAGAAAATGAGAAAGAAGAAAGCGGCGGAGAGCGACGCTTTCGTCGTGAGTGACCCTTTTCATGCTAAACTAAAAATGTTTTTTTTTTTTTTTACCATGTAAGGCCCACTGAGCTATATAGCTCTTTTTCAGAAGCGACCTGGTCACTAATGATAGCTCGACAAAGTGGCTTATCGTGCAGAAATTTAAAGCAGCCAAATACCCGAAACGTATGTTCATTCTAAATGTGGAGGGAAAAAAACTGGAAAACCCGGAGGGAAAAATCCACGCGACCAATGGGGAGAACAAATATACAGGCCTCAAGGTCGGGATCGAACCCACGGCCTATATGCCAGGAGAGGTAGTTAACGTCTCGCCACTATGGCACAACACTGTACAATAATGCAGCCATGGGAAATAGGCGCAGAACAGTGCACCAATTTTGCGATTGAAATGTATTTGTACGCTCTCAATTTATGCATCAAATATTGTGTGTTATTATTGTTGTGTAAAACACGCAGAATGTATGGTAATATTCTGCTCGGGATAATGGATTAAACCAAACTGTCTAAGCAACATCAAATATGAAACGATGCAAATGAGATGGTAAAAAGATGTGTAAAAGATTCATTTTGTGACCCCCAAATAGGAATTTCAGATATGTAGGGAGGATTGGTAAAGGCTTTAGAATGTCAATTAGTGCTTTTAATATAATGATTATTGTCTGCAATTTAAAATGAATGCAACGATTGCAAGAATATAATGTACATATATTTAGATATAACCATGCCCTGGATTTCGAAATTAGGTAGATATGTGTCAAAAAGAGTGCAGTAATTAACTCGTACAGTTTTCATACCTATTCATAGTCATGTGACCTTACTATGAAGACCCATGGCTGGGGTAGAAAGTGTGCTGTCCCCCAGAGAACAATGAGAGATGCTGCATCGCACGCTTTCAGATGTGCTTCTGCGGCCGTCTGGAATGCCCATCCGGTATTAGGATGCCACTGGAGCTATGCACTTTTAAATCTAGATTGGAAACTCATTTCATTACAATTGCCTTTTGTGTTTAGTTTGTTGTCCTTTCCCCACACCTCCGATAAGCACGGTTGGCGATATACAGTAAAACCTTGGATTGCGAGTAGCTTGGTCTGCGAGTGTTTTGCAAGATGAGCAAAAATTTTAAATAAATATTAATTTGATAAACGAGCGAGGGTCTTGCAATACGAGTAGTACGTATACGCTTTGTCTGCCGAGCATCACGTGATCACAACTGATATACGAGTGCTTTGATATACGAGTGCTTTGGATTACAAACACGTTTCCAGAACAAATTATGCTCGCCATCCAAGGTTTTACTGTACGGTCCAAAAGAAGTTCAATATACATGCATGCTATGATGTTAACTATCTCGCCTGGTATATAGGAGGTCGTGGGTTGGTTCCAACCCTGACGATGCCTGTATATTTGGAGTTTGCATGTTCTCCCCGTGGTCGCATTGATTTTATCCGGCTCCTCTGGTTTTGCCCTCCACAATTGGAAATATTCGATTAAAGTATCTGGTTGTAATACATTTCCAGATGGTAAGACACTTCGTTGAGCTATCATATGTGGCCAGGTCGCTTCTGAAAGAGAGCTATATAGCACAGTGGGCCTTACCTGGTAAAATAAAAATAGTTTCTAAGTAGTTTTCTGTACTTTGTGTGTTGACTGTGTTCGTTGTATTTGCAGCTGGAAAGTCTACGCAGGAGTCTGGACCTGCAGAAGAGCGGCGACAATGAGGAGACCATTCTCCACAACACCTACAACCAGGTAGACATGCATTTAGTTGACTCATATACAAGCAACAACAGATGTTACGATGGCGATCTAATAACAACCACGTTTTTTTGCGATGATGGAGAAGATATTTTCTCTGCATATTGTTTTAATGAACTATTTTAAACGACAATACACATCAGTGTTCATTAAATACAAGCCGTTCACTGCATACCATTAATGTGCATCAACGTGGCATATTGTGCATAATGTTGTAGTAAATAAATAAACGGACAAAATATGTAATATCACGAGCAAATAATACAGGATGACATTTGGGTCCATCAGCCAAAAAGTCTTTCTGTACAAGTGTCTCCGCATTCTCTTAAGTAGGAAAATTCTGGACCAGTTTTTGACATCTCAGTCTCAATCAGGAGGGTGTGATCTGTTTAACAAATTCTGCTGGGTTGCCTGGTATTGTAGGCAAGAGACAGATATCTTGACTTGTTTGGGTCCCCCCCCCCCCATTGTTTTGTCTCATGTGCTGCCCAGGAGCAGCAGAGCCCACGTTTCAACAAGAACAAGCAGCGGGAGCGGGTGCCCACTGCCAAAAAATCTAGCAATGTCATGGCCGAGGACATAGAGGCCACAGACGCAAAGATCAAAAAGAAGAAGAAAAAGCCACGGCAGTTGCCGTTGCTCCCTCCAGATGAGGACGACCCTGGAGGCTACACCACCAGCCAGGTCTTTACAATATCGGACAAAATCAAGGTATTGGAAACTGCTAATTCATTTATCTCTGATTCTGGTCCCAATTCTGACTTCAATTATCATCTCTACCAATATTGTTTGTTGAGTTGTACACCAGGTGATTTATGTTGCAGTGCTCATGCTAATTGCTGCAACCTGGAGAATTGTAATTCAGTTGAACTCTTAGGCCTTGTGTTTATTGACACCGCTTATTAAGTTTCTTAAAAGTAAAGGTGCAGCTTGGCAATAGCTAGCTGATGCTGTCACTGGTGTAATGTGTAATGTGCACTCACGCCTACTTTACTGAGGGCGATATTGGCACGTAAAGTAAAGATTGATTGATTGACTAAAGGGTTTAAGGAGGCCCCCCTGGCAGGTAATTTGAGCAACTCTTCATACTCTTCCACACACGCGCCCTACTGATTAACTAAGTGTGGTGTTCTTTCGGTAAAGTCACGTAGAATGAGAATAAAATAATAAATTGATAAAATAAAATAACACAATAAAATTCTCACGACGTTTCGGCCACAACACAAGCGGCCTTCACCTGATGAAAGCCTTCACCTGATGAAGGCCGCTTGTGTTGTGGCCGAAACGTCGTGAGAATTTTGTGTTCTTTTATTTTATCAATTTATTATTTTATTCTCATTCTATGTGACTTTACCGAAAGAACCAAAGAAGATGAATCCTTGCAGTCACGAAAGCTTTAAATCGAAATTTAAGTGTGGTGTACCCATTCATACTGCTGGGTGAAGAGAGGCAGGGGGATTCGAGAGACTCAACTGCTATGCTAGGAGATCGAACATTCGATTTCTTTATTGCAAGTCTTGTGCGTTCATTTTGTGCCACGGCAGCCTCTGTTACGTTTATGTAAACTTTTGAAGTGATTACTATTGGCTCCAGAAACCGTACATGTTTCACTTCACCCTTGCATGAACCAAGCGGGAACTGTCATTGGTAGGATGTACTATGATTACTGTTAGTTGGTAGGTGTCCAAAGCATAAGTCAAGTGAAATCTTAATGAGGCAGCATATCTCCTTTGCAAGGGGGGGATTATAACGTGTCAAATAATGTAGAAATTTTGATGCAAAAATACATTTACGACAAACAGCAATCGTACAAATCCGTAATGTAATTTAAAGTTATCTAAATTCAAAAGGAGCGGTTTATGATAACACTTACAATCTGAGTATGACGTTTCACCAGTAATTACAACGAGCTTCATAAAATTGATTCAGATTGTAAATGTTGTCGCTTGGCTCTCCAACACACCGGTGTGCTGTATTAGTGACGAATTGGCCACGTTCTGTTTACGTGACAACCCTTACTATTTAGCTGTGTCGGGTGGTGGCGGGTTTTAACGACACATTTATATATTTACGCGATCTAACCCAAAAACCTCTATTATGGATGATATTAGTCACGAAATCCTACGTGTATACCGGTTTGTCTGCCGTTACATCGGTACATAAACACCAAACTCTACCCCTGTCCAGGAGGATAAGCAGCAACTGATTCTAGAAACCAGCACACCCAGCGATGACCAGCCCAAGAAGCCCAGAAAGAAAAGAGATACGATGACTCAGGGTGAAGAAGTTGTCACGAAGATAAAAATCAAGAAGGAGCCGACCCTGAACAACGAGACGATAGAAGCAGACAGGTCAGAATGGCTATTTTTGTTTTACAAAATGACACCTTTTGCCCTTTATATGTTGTGCACAGAATAAGAATAATAAGAATGCTAATGATGTCTAGTTTTACATAATGCCTTCTTGGTTCTTGGAAATTGCATCTTACAATTGCCGAGGAATCCCAGACCAGCTGGAAATGCAGCCAGGCAGTGAGGCAGCATCAACAATTGTCCAAGCTCTGCAGTCCTCTATTAAAATGTTTTCAGTCAATTAATGAGTGTTTATGCGAGTTGGAGAAAATCGGAGCACCTATGGGATAAAATAATTACATAATAAGATACATTTAGTGCCCGCTTTAATCACGCGATGCGCGCCTCTTTATCAATGGAATAACTTGGCTCTTAGGATGACGAACAAACACGGGTAATTGGAATTTCCAAGGATTAGGGGCTGTAGATGACAAAATTGTGGATTCGATGAGTTCTAACAAATTCGACAGCTCATCTGTGATGGCTGAAATACATATTACTACTTGATACATGTAAAATTACTTATTTCAAAACAACGAGGCATGTTTTTCTCATGTAATTTGGTTAATTTGTACTTTTGTGCTTTTGTATGCATTTTGTTTAGAACCATGACCCTAGCTGACCTGGACAATAGCCCCCTGCCAGCGGTTCGGAGGGCAAAGGTTAAGTCGAGGACGCCGTCCAGAGGAAGGGAGGCCCGCACGGCCGAGGCCTCCCCCGAACCACCGGCCCCTCGGCCACGGCGGAGCAGGGAGGGTCGCGCGAAGAGCAGGGCGGCCATGAGTTCAGATCGCCCTGACGAGGAGGTCGTCGCACTCACCGAGGAGGGGGAGGAGGCCGAGAGGCGACCGAAAGCCGCCAAGAGGACCAAGAAGAAGAACGCGAAAGGTGAAGATGAACACTGAACTATTTATTTTTACTTCACCAGGTAAGGCCCAGAGCTATAGAGCACTTTTTTCAAAAGCGACCTGGCCACAAATGATAGTTGAACAACGTGGTTTATCACGTGGAAATGTATAGGGACCAAATACTCTAAACGGACACTGGGTCGTCCAGACACAGAGGGAGTGTTTAGAATGAGCAGCAGAGGAGCCGACCTCTTGAGGCCCAACTATACGGTGACATATATAAACAAGAGTGCTAACCACAATGCCACTCATCCCCTTATTCTCACGAACAATACTTGGAACAAGGAATTTATATACTTATTGTGTACCTATGACCATTGCGCAACGGGGGCAAGCTCTCAAATCCCGGTGCGTTTCCCTCCTCGCCCTTGGCGACCTGCCGTCTCCTGACGAACGCGTTTGACGGAAAGCGTGGCGGTGCTTTGATTTAACACGCAGCGGTGGCAGGCGGCAAGGAAGCCTCGTCAGCGGAGGTGCCTCAGGAGGCGCAGCGGAGAGAGGAGGACGAACAGGCGTTGGGCGTGGTCGTGCACCGCACTGACCGCCTGGCCTCTGATCCGCTGCTCGCATGTGCCCTGGTGCGCGTGTACGTGGTGGACGCTGCCACGGGGCAGCACGTGCACAAGGAGGACAGGTGGGAGGGGAGGGAGTGTTGCGGGGGGGGGGGGGTGGGGAGAGCTCAGTATCACGCCGTCTTTGTTGTTGCCGTCATCGTGACCACCGCAGTCGGCATCATCATTGTCTTCGTAATCATTGTCATGATCGTCATAATCCTCGCAATCATGATCGTCATCATCACATTTGTCATCATCTCCATTGTCATTACCATCATCACTATTATTGCCATAATCAGAATCATCGCAACACTGCGGGTCCAGCATCATCGTCTTAATTGTCATCATCGCTCTCGTTGTGTCTTCCAAAAGATGTTTGTGCATACATATGTTAAATCTTGACTTAAAGCTTTTGTGACTGCGGGAATTTATATTCTTTGGGTCTTTTGGTAAAGTAACATAGATAGGTTGACGACCGCTTGTGTTGCGATCGAAACGTCGTCGTTTTTTGTTATTTGCTTTGAACCTATCTACGTGACTTTACCGAAAGACCCAAAGAACATACATATGTTACTCAGTGATGTGTTTGAATACATAATTCAACTTGGAAGGATTTTATACGAGACAGCATTTTTTAGACGTTAACACAAGAGATTTAACACACATTAAAGAGTCAGACATTGTTATTTTCTATCAGTGTACATTACCTCCCATTAAGCAGTCCCAAGCGAGCGACCTCTCACACGGTTTCCCTTTCCTGCGTCCCGCTCATGGTGGCCGCGTGGCAGCGAGCAACCTGCCGCAGCGCCCAGCCAGCCGGGCTCCTCCGACTCGGAGCATCCTCTGACCACGCAGCCATGCGACGTGCGCGCTCACCGCTCGCTGCTCCCCGAGTGGGAGGAGCAGGTGGTGTTCAACCACCGTCTCGGCCCATTCCTCCGCGTCGAGCCCGGAGCTGTGCGCGTGCTGCTGCTCTTCGAGGTGGGTATGCATGGTGGCAGCCGGTGGCTTTTGGTGATGGCGGTGGTACCCCGGGGTGGCGATGCCAACCTGGGGTAAAGCCTTGGACTCTCCTCTGCGAGCCGGCCCCTCAACACCGATTGCCCCAACCGCTGGAGAGTTTGAGAGGCGGCCTCGTTGGCTCGTGTTGTAGGATTTCATTCTGATGATTTAGTGGGCCATACAACTGGTTGTAATGTGTCTGCTGTGGTCTCTGCAGGCAGGATTCGTCCACTAGGGGCGTTGGGGCGCTGCCCCATCAAGCAGCTGGAGATGAGAAATTATTTTTCTAAGAAAAAATTACTTTTCTATCAATAGTTCTGTGTTCATTTTTGTTTTAAATATAATGATTCTTTCAACTTGAATTGCCTTATGAAGATAACATTTTTACTTGTTCATATTAGAAACCGCTGCAACACCACAGTGTGATTTGTGCCTTGGGGAGGTCTCAGGGTGGCTGAGTGAAAGATATCCCTTCATGCATTGCGATTAGCTTCGTATTTTAGCCAAGCCGTTTGAGACCCATTCAGGGTGGTGAAAAAGGCACCCATGGCTGTAATTACTATGTCACAACGCTAGGTTGCACTGTGCCAGTGTTGAAGGGCTTTTGTAGTGTGGACTTGGAAGGTCATGGGAACAGCATTTTCGTATTGTTTCTAAATGCCGACCGTTGGTAGATAAGACAGTTACAGTATATCACTTTCACGGAAGGCCAATAACACGACGAAGTTTTTCTTTAATTATACCACCATATTTTCAGAGGTCACTCACAACAGCCCCACCTAGTGGACATGGCACGAGCCGCTACTGCTGCTCTGCTTGAACGTGTATCAGGTTTGATTTGCTGTACTTTTTTGTTTGTTACCCAGGCCTCCTTCATAAAGGAAATTTGGTCTACTCTTTAATCAAGGTTATAAAGGTTTAACGCAGTTATAAAGGTCATCTGTACTTAATTAGGTATGTCATGAATGAAATTTCGATTTAAAGCTTTCGTGACTGCAATGATTCATCTTCTTTGGTTATTTCGGTAAAGTCACGTAGAATGAGAATAAAATAATAAATTGATAAAATAAAATAACACAATAATATTCTCACGACGTTTCGGCCACAACACAAGCGGCCTTCATCAGGTGAAGGGAGCGAGACTGTTTGGTAGGACAGCGCTGGAGTGAGAGAGCCACGTTCAGATCACGGCTTTTAAGCTGTGTGAGAGGAACAAAGAGCCTTAGAGTCGCGGCATCTCTTCAGAAAGGTGAGAGACTCGATTAGTTGAGCCTTCTTATCCCGAAGTCTGTTGAATGATCTTAAGGATGTGTGGAATCCCTCCCCGTAGAGGCAGTTAAATTTCGATTTAAAGCTTTCGTGACTGCAATGATTCATCTTCTTTGGTTCTTTCGGTAAAGTCACGTAGAATGAGAATAAAATAATAAATTGATAAAATAAAATAACAATAATATTCTCACGACGTTTCGGCCACAACACAAGCGGCCTTCATCAGGTGAAGGGAGCGAGACTGTCTGGTAGGACAGCGCTGGAGTGAGAGAGCCACGTTCAGATCACGGCTTTTAAGCTGTGTGAGAGGAACAAAGAGCCTTAGAGTCGCGGCATCTCTTCAGAAAGGTGAGAGACTCGATTAGTTGAGCCTTCTTATCCCGAAGTCTGTTGAATGATCTTAAGGATGTGTGGAATCCCTCCCCGTAGAGGCGGTTAAATTTCGATTTAAAGCTTTCGTGACTGCAATGATTCATCTTCTTTGGTTCTTTCGGTAAAGTCACGTAGAATGAGAATAAAATAATAAATTGATAAAATAAAATAACACAATAATATTCTCACGACGTTTCGGCCACAACACAAGCAGCCTTCATCAGGTGAAGGGAGCGAGACTGTCTGGTAGGACAGCGCTGGAGTGAGAGAGCCACGTTCAGATCACGGCTTTTAAGCTGTGTGAGAGGAACAAAGAGCCTTAGAGTCGCGGCATCTCTTCAGAAAGGTGAGAGACTCGATTAGTTGAGCCTTCTTATCCCGAAGTCTGTTGAATGATCTTAAGGATGTGTGGAATCCCTCCCCGTAGAGGCGGTTAAATTTCGATTTAAAGCTTTCGTGACTGCAATGATTCATCTTCTTTGGTTCTTTCGGTAAAGTCACGTAGAATGAGAATAAAATAATAAATTGATAAAATAAAATAACACAATAATATTCTCACGACGTTTCGGCCACAACACAAGCGGCCTTCATCAGGTGACGGGAGCGAGACTGTCTGGTAGGACAGCGCTGGAGTGAGAGAGCCACGTTCAGATCACGGCTTTTAAGCTGTGTGAGAGGAACAAAGAGCCTTAGAGTCGCGGCATCTCTTCAGAAAGGTGAGAGACTCGATTAGTTGAGCCTTCTTATCCCGAAGTCTGTTGAATGATCTTAAGGATGTGTGGAATCCCTCCCCGTAGAGGCGGTTAAATTTCGATTTAAAGCTTTCGTGACTGCAATGATTCATCTTCTTTGGTTCTTTCGGTAAAGTCACGTAGAATGAGAATAAAATAATAAATTGTTAAAATAAAATAACACAATAATATTCTCACGAGGTTTCGGCCACAACACAAGCGGCCTTCATCAGGTGAAGGGAGCGAGACTGTCTGGTAGGACAGCGCTGGAGTGAGAGAGCCACGTTCAGATCACGGCTTTTAAGCTGTGTGAGAGGAACAAAGAGCCTTAGAGTCGCGGCATCTCTTCAGAAAGGTGAGAGACTCGATTAGTTGAGCCTTCTTATCCCGAAGTCTGTTGAATGATCTTAAGGATGTGTGGAATCCCTCCCCGTAGAGGCGGTTAAATTTCGATTTAAAGCTTTCGTGACTGCAATGATTCATCTTCTTTGGTTCTTTCGGTAAAGTCACGTAGAATGAGAATAAAATAATAAATTGATAAAATAAAATAACACAATAATATTCTCACGACGTTTCGGCCACAACACAAGCGGCCTTCATCATGTGAAGGGAGCGAGACTGTCTGGTAGGACAGCGCTGGAGTGAGAGAGCCACGTTCAGATCACGGCTTTTAAGCTGTGTGAGAGGAACAAAGAGCCTTAGAGTCGCGGCATCTCTTCAGAAAGGTGAGAGACTCGATTAGTTGAGCCTTCTTATCCCGAAGTCTGTTGAATGATCTTAAGGATGTGTGGAATCCCTCCCCGTAGAGGCGGTTAAATTTCGATTTAAAGCTTTCGTGACTGCAATGATTCATCTTCTTTGGTTCTTTCGGTAAAGTCATGTAGAATGAGAATAAAATAATAAATTGATAAAATAAAATAACACAATAATATTCTCACGACGTTTCGGCCACAACACAAGCGGCCTTCATCAGGTGAAGGGAGCGAGACTGTCTGGTAGGACAGCGCTGGAGTGAGAGAGCCACGTTCAGATCACGGCTTTTAAGCTGTGTGAGAGGAACAAAGAGCCTTAGAGTCGCGGCATCTCTTCAGAAAGGTGAGAGACTCGATTAGTTGAGCCTTCTTATCCCGAAGTCTGTTGAATGATCTTAAGGATGTGTGGAATCCCTCCCCGTAGAGGCGGTTAAATTTCGATTTAAAGCTTTCGTGACTGCAATGATTCATCTTCTTTGGAACCAAAGAAGATGAATCATTGCAGTCACGAAAGAGTTCAAAATAAGAGCGCGAGTTAACATTCTGTTTGAAGGTTGACTCATTACTTCATTGTTGCATGGTTGATAAAATAGCTACAGCTTTGTGAAAAGACAACGGTGGATGTCAATATGAATGGAGATGTGCACAAGGCACCTAACAAATGGCTTTGGTGTTGGTAATGCTGGCCTTTATGCTTTAGGTGGTGGATCTTGTGAGCATGGACGAAACTCAGACCAACTACTCCGCCCTCCAGACAGACAGCGGTGGCCGGCGGTGCCTGGCCTGGGCCTTCCTCAAGGTGTGCCCCATTGAAACTTTGCCATCAATCAACCTGAGATAGTACATGAGAAAACATATCAAAGTATATATATATAATTGGGGGACAAAGAGACAATGATTATAATTATACATTTGGGAGTGTATTACACTTGAGATTCTGGTTGTGCCGTTCGGCACGTGTGCCGTTAAACAGCTGGTCGGTGCCAACGGTGCGGTGAACGTTGGCGGAAAGATGCGCCTGCAGTTGTTCTACCCGCCGGCTCGGTTTCGTCCCACGGCGGGCGTGTTGCCCGTGTACGAGTGGTACGCGAAGCACGCACGCCTGCGCTACCCGGCCACAATCTACGTCACGGTCAAGGGGCTCCGCCTGCCCTCGCAGGTGAAAAAGTGCCGTCGAGCCAAGGGGCCGCACGCGGCTTCGGAGCCGCAGGTTGCTGACCCCTGGACTAGCTTACCGATGGTTTATAATCATCACTCTCTAGCCAAACCGATGGCTTATGATCACTGTCGGACGAACCGATGTATTGTAATCGCTGTCTGAAAGAGCAATGGTTTATAATTGCCACAATCCATTTAACTCACAAAACCAGTGTCGTATACGAGAAATTAATCGGCAAAAAAAATATCTAGCAGCGTCCTCATGAAAAGAGTCGCTTGCAAGTTTTTGCTTGGTGAGGCAAAGTCTGGTTAAACAAGCATGGAATGGTGCTCATTTCTATTTGTGGTCTTAAGCCAGTGTCATAAATTCCACATTCACATACTGGTCTCTAATCTCTTCTTAGTATGACCACTTTTGACATCCCACAAAGTGGTTCTCGCTTTATTGGACGTCAATATTTGTTACGATAGAAAACTATTTTCAACGATGATTCCCAGTCGAATTCCCCAAAGCATGTCATGACTTTAGCACATACATTTTACCTGGCTTGACAGCACCGCGTGCTCTCCCCGTGTATTTTAACCTCTTCTGTGTCGCGTGCAGCTGGATCCATCTGGGCGCTCCATGATGACGCTGCAGCAGGAGCAAGGCTCCCGAGCACCAGACGAGCAGGGCTCCGGTGCTGCGTCATCGCCCGTGCGCGCCTCCCAGCGTCGTGATGCCCTCAAGTGGAGCCGCCTGCCAGGACAGGTACTGCCACTGATCATTGCTGCCCAGCGGAGTTTTAGAATGTGCTGCCGCTCGCTACATACGTACCTCTATACCAGGGGATGGTCGGCAACCTGCGGCTACTTCGTGGGCAACCTGCGGCTACTCTGAGGGATACTTCGTGACGTTATTTATTAAGGACCACCGTCTCGTATTCACATGCATTGCGGGTCTTGAAAGATTGAGTGTTTTTTTTACTGAATTCGAAAAAAATGGCTCCTCTTGTTATATTGGTTGCCAACCCCTGCTCTATACTATATTATTAAAAGTCTTTCTGGCTGGCTGGCTGGCAAGTGCCCTGCAGTGACGTGACTACGCACGTGGGCATTATGACGTCATCCCGCTTCCCGCAGCGTCTAGCCGGATTCGTGCGTCGTGATGACGTCAAACCTCCTCCGCACACCCTCCAACTCGGCCGTGTATCCTGTTCAAATGCTTAGGCAGCGCGAGTAAATATAAAATTGCATTGCATTGTTGTTTCATTTATTCATATGTATTTTCCTTTTTCCACGTTATGTTCTATACCTTCAATTTTCTTTCATGCTGCGTGTTGTTACTTTTGAAATATTTTCTTCGATACTTCCTTTCACGTAATTATTCTATATTATGCGAATTTTGTATTTATTTTTTGCTTCATACTCAAGTTTGCTAAATTATGTTTAATTTAAAGTTCACTTTGCAAAATAAACTTCCGGATTCAGGCTTCTTACCTGGCTTTTAATTAAGGTTATTTGTCTTCCTGAGGCTAGTGAAGGGTTTACAGCAGTTTTTGTCTGCAGCGGAGCTTAATGAGCATCTACTGCATGAATGGGAGATTGATATAGTTACCTTATTTTAGAGCATAATCCGTGTTGCGTTACCTCCATATAAGAAGTTACAATTTTTGCCATAATCCTGTCTTATATCACAAATAAATATTGTTAGCGGAGGCAGTGGCCCCTTTACTGTATTACAGTCAGGATGGCATTAATAACAAACTTGGTGAGTGTTTTTAATTCACGTGTGTGCACCTCTGCGAACACAGTCCCTTACACTTTTTGTTTCCATAAGGATGCATTTTGCAGTATAAGGCTTTTCGTTAACACATTAAATGAATTGACCGCTGCATGTTTCATTAATTAATTATTCTTGGTCATTATCTGCACAGTTTTTCTCAATTAATGTTGAGAAACATTCATTCCATGGTGTAAAGTGCTTTCAGGCATACAAACAGCATTTATAATCAAATTCATATTGGTGCTGGAGGAAAGTATAGTACGAGGTTTATTGAAAAGACACCTATATATTCTTGGTTCTTTCGGTAAAGTCACGTTGAAGGAAAACAATAAAATAATAAAAATATAAAACAATAAAATTCCGTGGTGCTAACGTTAAAAAAAACGCCACTTTTTTCAAATTTTCTTGCTGTGGTTTTCACACGTGATGATGATTGCTTGTGTTGCAGTCGAAACGTGAGAATTTTATTGTTTTATATTTTTATTATTTTATTGTTTCCCTTCAACGTGACTTTACCAAAAGAACCAAGAATATGAATCACTGCAGTCACGAAAGCTTTAAATCGAAAAGACACCTCTTTGTTTCTCTCTTCCCTCTCACTCCTCTGCTCATCTACATCCACGCTTTCCCCTACACCTCCACTTGCATCATGCCTTGCTTAGTCTCCATATGCTGCTTTCTCTGCCACCACGCATCCACGTCTGTCCCATCCTGCACGCTCTCTCCCCCTGTGCCTGCATCTTACTTCCTGCCTTGTGTCTTAACCTCGTGCCCCCGGCAGACCTGCTACATCCCCAACAAGTTGGCACTGACACTCAAGGTTGGCACGGCCGGCTGCTTCCGCGTGCGCTTCTCTCCGGACGGACGGGCGCTGGCAGCGGCGTGCGTGCACCGCGACAGCCATCCTGTGTTCGGTGAGCGTTTCCCAGCGCCGCGGTGGCGAGATGTTAAATCCCTCGCCCGGTATGAAGGAGGTGGATGGGTTCAATCCCGACCCTGACACCTGCATATTTGGAGTTTGCATTTTCTCCCCGTGGTCACGTGGATTTTTCTCTGGGTCCTGCTGTTTTTCCCTCCACATTTAGAATCAACATGCACTTAGAGTATTTGGCTGCTAGAAATGTCCACATGATAAGCCACTTCATTAAGCTATCGTTTGTGGCCAGGTCGTTTCTGAAATATAGCTATATAGCTTAGTGAGGCTTACCTGGTAAAATAAAAATGGTTTATTGTTTTAGATTATAGTTTCTTTGTTATTGGCTACCCGCAGCGTTGGTCGTAAAACCACAGCCACTGCCCCTGTTGTGGGCAGTGGCCACATCCTACATTTGCAAGGCGTTATAATCATCACTGAAATTTTTTTTATTGTATTCCTACTAGGTTTGTAATCGGTTCAAATTGATTCTTACTATGAGTGAACCACGTTGCGGGAGATTCACAATAGTGGTTGTCCTATGGAGAGGCTCGCCCATGCCATAGGAAGTTGGAATTTCTACAACTGGCGCAGGGCTATAAACAGGAGATTGGCGTGCCATCTCAATGTTTATTTCATTAAAAAACAATCACTGACTTTTGCATGAAGTATCTATTGAAAACGATCCTCATGACAGTGTGTACAATAATTGATTATGATTATTCTAATTCTATTAAAATGTAATATTACCTATAGAATTTCATGGATTTAATAAATTAGTATAAATAAGACACACCGTGACATGGACAATTTGAACAAGATGAGAAAGAATTGATTTTTCAATGTAACGGTGAACTTGAATTATGAATAGAATAGTGGGCGGGATGAATAAATCCAGGGGTTTATAGTCCCCTCTGGAAGGAATCCATGAATCTGCAAAAAAACTCAGAAATGTAAGGATTACCGCCCCCGCGGGTTATGGGAGTTGCCGCGAACTGCAGGGTGCAATGAATTTTAGGATTCAGGGATGATTGGAGTGCGGATCTTTACAAGAAACATAATATTGAGGTAGTGGGACTTGGGGAATCGTTTTATTAGTAATTTTGGTGTAGGTAGTATGCATGGTGGTGAAAATCTTTCCATTCTTTTGTGGTATAACATCTTTAAATATGTACGAATTGTAATTAAGCAGCTTTAACCAATGAAACGTGACCACACCTAGTGACTTCCACCTGTAGTACAAACCACACCACAGGACACGGATTGCGTCAGTAGATGGCGTTGTGGGCTTACGGTAGTCTCACTTGGCATGCTTTGATGAGACACGATTTCCTTAGTAGAGCAGATAACCTTATATTATTCTACCACAATCTGTACGCTTAGTGGACACGATTTCCTTAGTAGAGCAGATAACCTTATATCATTCTACCACAATCTGTATGCTTAGTGGACGTACATGCAGTTTTCTGTAAAATCTGAGTAACCAGTAATGGCAGCGTTTACTGGAATGTGGTTTTATGTGAAAACTCGCATGCGAAACACATTTAATTTGAACTCCTGCATACTCTGGAGCGCAGCTTTGGTGAGTTTATATTTTGTTGGCCAAGGCTCGCTTGTAAACTACACTTATAACATCACGGTGGCCCTGGCAAGACATGTGTTTTGCAAAAACAATAGCGTACACAAACACTACTCATTGCTGTGGAGCATTTTGGGAAAACCAGATATAAGCCATAGCTCAGTTATGTGTCTAACTACAAATAAAACACATTTTTAGTCTTAATAGCCCAAGCAGGATCTTTTAAGCAATCAAACTATGGGCCATCTGGTTCACATCGGCAGTCAGGCTTGTTAAACAAAGGCTGCTAGATTACCGGGTGTTATTGATAAGTATACGTTTTATAGAATAATGTATGTCCAGTCCAGAAATTGCTTAGTTAAACAAATGCTTATTTTGTAACCTTCCTCTGGAAAGACAATAGGCTGATAGAATAAAAACATTTTTTTATTATTATTATTGTGTGGAGACAGTGTATTTTGGCCAAAAGCACGGTTAGTACGGCTGGTTAAGTACGGTGCGCGAAAGAAATTCAACATACATACAAAAGCAGGTTAACAATCAAGAGTTGCTGCATGGAGCATCTAGTTTTCAGGCAAGCTATTGCAAATTTACATTTATTATTTGGTGATACTGCATTGGCAGTGGTGCATAAACAAAAAAACAAAAAAAATATCTGGCTCTACCTCTCTGGCATCACTATGCACTGTGAACAAAGGCCATTGCCTATTATATATTATAAGGAAGCGCTATTGACAAATGTAAATGAATAAATGCGATTTGTTTATGCTAATGTTCTCTGTTCTGTCCACGTGGTCAGTGTTTGAGGTGCCATCGGGCCAGCTGTTGATGGAGCTCCCAGGACACCTGGGTCTCGTGTATGACCTTTCCTGGTCGCATGACAGCTCACACCTTCTCTCGGCATCATCGGATGGCACTGCACGGTAGTCACCCGCCTATGCGCCACCTACTAAGGAAAGAAAAACATCCCCCGTATAGCCATGCAGACTTTTTTCAGCAGGTGAAGCTAGTGAGCACATGTTGAGGCTCGTACAGCAAACAGAAGAGGTGGTGTTGAAAATAACACGTACTCCTGGCTGCCTTTGTCTCCCTTGTATTGATGTTGCCTCTTCAATGCACCAGATGACAATTTGGTAAGCAGGGTTCAGGATCAAATTGCTGCCTGCGTTTATGGCCTAGAATTTAACCAAAGTTGCTGGGATTGCATTGTATAAGCCTCTTTGCTTTTATCTATATTTAAAAAGGGCTCTCCTCAATGGCATATCCATGTTCCTTAAAATTAATTAAAAAATATACACCCTATTTTTTAAACGATCAGACGAGGTATCAAATTATCTATTCTTTAAAGAAAGCGTTATGAGCGTCCCATTTGAAATCTTTGCCTGAACTTTTTTTATTGGCTTGTTATGCACATCAAGGGCATCCATAGAAACGCTAGCTACGTCACAGCACTCAAAAATCTACACAGATAGGTCAGCTGCAGAAACCTCCTTTCTGTACTGCTTCCTACCAGCCACCTCGCAGCCATATAAGTCGGCTATCCCACACATGCGGTGGTGTCTACACGATTCAACAAACCCCGTTGCAGTATTAGACTAGTGTGTCTGGTGTGGCTCACAGAGACCTCTCAGCCAAAGGAACCATGCTCCCATGGCTTCAGAATCTTAACAATAAAGGTGTAATGCGCACAGATTTTGCTCGCTGTCAGAGAGAGGGAATGATTCACAGTTGTGGGAAATCAGAGACAGACGGGAAGGCAGCCGGTTTCGTTGCCAATAATTGTTATAGCTCTTTGGTCCTATATTTGGACGTATGACCAACTGCATTAATGCTTGTTCATACGTGTGCGAGTGAATTTTGAGGATCCGGAGAAAGCCTACGCGTGCGAGGGTGGTAACACTGAAGTCTCCTTGTACGGACAGATATTAATCCACTTGCTTTACTGCCATACCCTTGCAAGCCAGGAGACGGAGAACCTAACAGTCACAGGCAGGGAGGGAGCTTCACGAACATGTGCGATCAGCAAGTGCTGAAATACTGGGGTGCACAGAACTGTTAACTATTTTTATTTTACCAGGTAAGGCCCACCGAGCTATTAAAGCTCTTATTCTGAAGCGACCTGGCCACAAATGGTATCTCAACAAAGTGGCTTATCACCACGTGGAAATTTATAGCAGCCAAATACCCAGCTCACTGCGGCGCACACTCTCGGCCGCCCTGCCCTGCCCTGCCGCTATCACAGCCTGTGGAACGTGGAGGGCCGCGTGCGTGCGGCAGAGAAAGTGCTGCCCCACCCTTGCTTCACGTACGCGGGGCAGCTGCACCCGGGCGCCACCGCTGCGGTGGCCGTGACGGGCGCATACGACGGCGTGCTTCGAGCCTGGGACGTGGGCGGTGCGATGGGCACGCGCGACGGCCGGCTCCTGCGCGAGTTGGACGGCCACCGAGGCTACGTCAACGCCGTGTGCTTCGACGCGGATGGTAAGTGATGCGTCCTCGTGGTCGTCGTCGTCGTCGTCATCATAAATCGGTCGCCACCATCCTTAACCACTTCAGTTTCGGTTCAGAGGAAATGGAGCCAAGCTGGCGCTGTGGTGGGGAAAGTGGGAGAATCATAGTTGCAAGTACAAGCTCATTTTCTGATCAAATTTGCACAACATCATTACTATTATCTATTGTCATATTTATCTGCGTCATCATCATTATCATTGTGATCATGCGTTTGGTAAAATCTGCCTGTGCACTTCTGAATGACTGCCAATGTACGTTTCTGAATTATATTTTATGTTGGCCATCTTATTAGCTGTGCAACTCGTTGGGATGTTGGCAGTGGTCATTGTAAATCATGCAAGTAACACAACATCCGTTTGTCAATCCACTGATCGATAAGTGCCTCCCCACACAATATCAAGTGTAATTTGGCCCTTCTGTGACAATGTGTCATGTGCTCCACTTGCTCAGAACCACCTAGTGTTAGTAAGAGAAAGATTAAAAAATGTTCAAAATTAATTGTGGAAAGGGCAGCTAATTGTACATGATTGTGACACATCCGCAGACAGCCTGCTGTTGTGGATGCACTCACGCATTTCTTCTGCCCACACATTCTAAATTGTCTGGATTTGCTTGTTGATTGACCCATTGTCTGATGGTCGTGATATTAATTAATCTGTGGAATGCCAGATTTCATAGCAAATACACAAATCACAAAAACATCAGGAATACTATAATTCTGAATGATGCATTTACAATACTGATATATATATTTGAATCCTTTTGCTGATGTGAAAAAAATACATGCTCTGGTCGCTATGGTCAAGGTTATTTAATAATACACGCAAAGGAGAAAAAAAAACAAATCCACAGCATAAAAAATGCACACTGCTTCCATCTCACAACCATGAACAGAATGCTTAGAAACTCAAGCAGACATGTTTTACCTTGGTGGGGAATTTTGCAGCAATTCTTTCAATGGGTGCCTGGGGAACGAGTGTGCGCGTGACTTTATTTAGCGTCTAGAGCGGTGTGTTTGCATTTTTGGGCCATACAAAATCCCCACTTGTTTGTTTCACCACAGGCCTGCAGATGTTCAGCGGCGACAGCACGGGAGTCGTTCTTGTGTGGCGAACGTTTGTGAGTCAGACAGCGAACAGCAACCCTGTGCGCGACTGGGCCGTGACCAAGGTACGAGTGGAACGTGTCGAGTAAAGATGCGCTGTCGTACAAGTACAGCGCTTGAGTTGTAATCCACTGCTGGGTGAGAGCCTCTCTCCACACCGTGTGGGGTCGTGAGGGGGTTATTTCACCAAATTCCCACCTCACTGATCAGTGCGGGTTGGTGAAGGCGCGAAGCAAATACATGGGAGCATCGAAGTACAGACAACAATGAATTTTGCCGCAACATTCTCTTCTCCTGTGATATCCCCCGCAGCCTAGAACACATGTTACGCTTAGCAGTTGGAGAGCTCAGGGTATTCTAAATGGCCATGTTGGGGCACTTGGCTAGCACATTCCATGATAAAACTAGATTCTCGTGTGTAGCATATTTGATGGTCTTATCTCACCAACGCACAGAAACAAGTTAATGTAAGTTGAAACACACTCATTAAAATGGAATTGGTCAAACATTTCATTCCAAGACTCAGCTGAAACGAGTCTTAAGATCCCGATTGCGGCTTTTCTGTATAAAGAAAACACATTCCTGCGGAGGGAGCTGCTAGGAACGTTGGGTTGCTCGGTCAATGGCCAGGGTCAACGGCACCACGTGGTGTATTCCGCAAATATGCCCGACTGTGAGGGCGGGCACAAGCCGTCGTGAGTAGGTTAAATGTTGAGTTTTATAAGGGCACCACGGGGTGACCAGCCTCTCCCCACCCAGCCCCACCCCTCCCATCCTCCACCCAGCCCCACCCTCCCCACCCAGCCCCTCCCCACCCTCCCCTCCCCACCCAGCCCCAACCTCCCCACCCAGCCCCTCCCCACCCTCCCCTCCCCACCCAGCCCCTCCCCACCCAGCCCCTCCCCACCCAGCCCCTCCCCACCCTCCCCTCTCCACCCAGCCCCACCCTTCCCATTTTTGGATGCACGATGGACGGATGGACACAATAATCCCCCTGTGGGCTGGTGTAACCAGGAGGTTCCTACCAGTATAATGTTATTTAATTGAATATTTAAAATTATTCAGGCCTACCCCATCGCCGGGTGACACCGTTTACAATACTGTTTTGAGTCAGATGGTCGATGTGGAAAATGTGTGATGAAACCTAACAAATTTATTGTAAAATTCAGAATATTGTATCAGCTCTGTTCATCACGGCAGATTGAAGGCCTTCCTTAAGCATTAGTTAGAGCTGAATTCTGTTTTAGTGTTCATCATCGGCATTGACCTCTCCACTGGTAGATGAAGACCTTTCCACAACTTAACCGCTCACCATGATCCCATAATGCCATGATCCATCTTGCTCCCACACAAGCTGAGCTCATCGCTGTAACTCTGCAGTGGACATTATCCTGGGCATTTTCTGTCCTTTGGCTGTCCCACCACCCCCTTGTTAGTCTTCACCGCTGGCCGGCATCCCTTTTCATGATATTTCCTGCCCAAGTACACTTTTATAAAGAGTCAATGTGCTATGTCTAATTTGTTATCTGATACATGAGTTCTGCTGTCTGTCTGGCATTAATTCCCAACGCGCATCTCTCCACGCTTCTGTGCATACCTTTGAGATGTTCCATTTTTTTATTTCGTTGTGTATGTTTCATGCGTATCTCTGTCTTCTGTTCATAACTGCTGCTAACTCTCAGGTTTTCATTTGTTATCCCATCTCACTGCTTTTACTTTCTTCTTCTTCTTGGTTCTTTTTTGTGCTGTGGCCGAAACGTCGTGAGAATTTAATTGTCTTATTTTGTTTTATTGTTTTATTCTCATTCTACGTGACTTTACCGAAAGAACCAAGAAGATGAATCCCTGCAGTCACGAAAGCTTTAAATCGTGCTTTTACTTTGTTCTATGTTTTGCATATGTTCTGCTATCATGGAAAACATGTGCTTTCTCCTCAGCCCATTTGTTATACATTTTCTCCCAAGTTTGAGATGCAAGAATTCATTGATTTGTCAATTAAATTAATTAGAAATGGCTCTACGATGCAAAATTATTTGAATGTTTTTGGAGTTCAGCCCTATGATAGCTCATTTATCAATCTAATATTGTCATTCAAATATAACTTTTTTAAATAGGATATAAGCCCCCCCTTAATCTGACAGATTGGCAAATGTTAAAATTGATACCTATGCTCACGATACATGCATCATGTATATATCACTATAAATCATTATAAATTAATGACACTACAAATTCCAAATGCAGCAGTGTCAAGCAATAAAAATAAAACATTGATTCGAATCATAAATCATGACAAACAATCAAGGAAACTGAGAATTGTTACATGCCAGTTCCATGATCATTAGACTCAAAAAATGATCGAATGTGAGTAAGGTTTCAAGGTCTGGTGCCAGGCAACATTTCACTGAGCTACCTAACTATTACCAATAGCAGTATTTGAGGAAAGGGACGAACTGAACGCCGGCCATGGTTATGGGAAAAGTCTGTTAATTGTCACGTAACGATGCATTGATTCGTTGGTTAACATTAATGCTTAGACTCCCTATGCACCCATTAAAATATCCACGTGAGACTCATGAAGTGCTGGAGAAGAGGCCGCGCCAGCTGGTCGAGCCTCAGATTCAGGAGGTACAATGCGGGTTCCGTCAGGGCCGTGGAACAATCGACCGGCTCTCTTACCTCTCCCAGATATTTGAGGGGTCATGGGAGTACGCTTCTCCAGTCTACCTCTTGCTTTGTCGACTTGATCGTGTTCCCCGGAATGTCTTGTGGGAGGTGCTGCAGGAGTACTATGTACCGGTGCCGTACTATTCCATGGTATATTCTAATAAATAAAATACGTGACTTTACCGAAAGAACCAAGAATATGAATCCCTGCAGTCACGGAAGCCTTAAATCGAAATTTCTTCCATGGTAGTGAAGCGGGAGTTTATTTCTTGAACAAAGCTCTCGGTTTACAGGTCGATCTACGTTCCACAACCCCTACCTATTTGTCATGACCTTTGGGTAATGACCAAAAGGATGAGATTGCCGGTACAATGGGCCGAAATGAGGTTTCTCCACAGGGTTGCCGGGCTCACTCTCCGTGATCGGGTGAGGAGCTCGGTAATCAGGGATGGCCTCTGAGTCGTGCCAATGCTTCTCCGGATCAAGAGGAGCCAGTTGAGGTGGTTTGGGCACCTGGGAAGGATGCCCCCCCCCCCCCCCCCCCCCCAGTAGACTCCCCATGGAATTCTGCCGGGCACGTCCCACTGAGCGAAGACCCCGGGGCCGGCCCAGGACACGCTGGTGGGACTATGTCGCTCAGCTGGCCTGGGAACGCCTGGGAATTCCTCAGGAAGATCTAGAGTCCGTTGCCAGGGAAAGGGAGGTCTGGACCACTCTACTCAATATGCTGCCATATTGAGTAGAGTGGTTTCTCAAGCAAATTGAGAAACGAACAAAAGAATAGAGTATTCATGATTTTTTGTTAATTATATGCGAATGTTTACATTTAGGTGACACAATAATTTAATAATCTCATGACGCTCAATCTTGTCAATTCAATGAATCACTGGGTGGTGAACTTTAAGGGCCTCTATTTATGAATACATTACTCTGGGGTTTTAAATGTAACTTATATGGTGAACATCTCAAAGCAGTGTAGCAGCTGCACATATCAATGCTGCTAAATGCATAATGGGTTACGCATATAAATTAATCACACATTTACTATTGTTGATGTTACACTAAGCACTTATTGAAAGCAGCCATTCAAGGCCATCTTTATTATGCAGCATATTTCTACAGGAGCCATTCTGCCATTGTGTGATGTGGCCTTGTGAAATTTGGTCTTGAATGGGCAATTTACATAGGTTTTCACTTGGGGCCTGAAATTTTCTGTGGTGGACTGAATTTTCTCCCTGCTGCCCATGCGTTTTTTTTTTGTAGATGTTTGCTGTTCTTGACTTTGTCATGAAACTCATTGAAACTCATGAATGTAATCAAGTAAATTTAAACCCAGGACGATGGTTTGCGCACACCTGTCAACCAGCACTGTGTAGGCGGACTTGATACTGTAGATGATGACTTGTATGCTGACAAACTCCTTTGCCCGTGGCCATAAAGGTGCAAAACCTTAGCTTGCCAGGAGAGGGCAGTGCAGCCAAATTGTAGACTCCACCTGTTCCATCTGTACGGGGACAGAGTGTTGCCCCCCCCCCACCCCCCCGTACATGTGGGTTTTCTCCAGGTTCTCCAGTGTCCTGCCAGATGTAAAGCACGCCTTAATTGGCTGATTACACCCAAGTAAATAGAAGACCGCAGTACTTTGGGGGGCGAATTTGACAAGCATCAAGGACAACCCATGCGGTTGTCCTTGACGCTTGTCTGTGGCTCCTCATGACTGTGAGTCGTTCTCTCCAAGAGTAAGCAAATACTGTGAGCGTTCTAAGTTGAGTGTTGTTATTATTGACCAGTGGCGCTCAAGAGTGTGTGCTTGCAAGAAGTGTCCGGGTTGATTCTGGAAACTAATGCCATGTCTCAGCAGTGTAGTGTCATCAAAGAGACACTCGGTTCTCATCCGAGTTTCAGGTAATTGTCTGCTAAGCTAAGTTCTCAAGTTTAGCGAGTGGATGGTTTTGGCGCAAGCCAACAGTGAACGACAAAAAATAACCAATATTGTAATCTAGCTTTTCATGCTATTTCGCATTTTTACACTGTGAGAATGAAAATATTTGGTTTGATTAACATGAGACAAGAGGGGCATATAGTATTAAAGGATTGCATCCATTATCGGTTAAGATAGCCAATTTGAAGTGACTTTAAAGCTTATTCTTAATGTAATTTTTGGGGGCATATTTTCTAATCTAGATTTGTGTGCTGCTATCTGTGAGAAGTCAGAATAAGAATGTCCTTGTCTTATGGCATGATGCCGATGTTATACTAGGAATATAATTAGGTGAAAATGAGTGAAAAGAGAAGAAATAATGGCTTTGTGTGTGCGTTGATTTTCCTCGCCTCCCTTGTTATTGGAGGTAGCACTCGGGACCAACTGAATGTGTAGGACACTCACCTTTAGGGATATGAGTTGGCATGGGTGGCAGTATGGCTCAATTGTGTGGGTTTTCTCAGAATAGTAAAAAAAAAATATCCTGAGTAAAATCACATTAAAAAAATAAATTGACCAAACAGCCCAAGCACAACTCTGCTAAAAACATACTCTTGTGATTCCTCCCTGAGTAAACTCCAAAGTCAATTCAAAAGTGTCTCTCTACTCACCGAGCTTTGGGTGCTGCTAATTTATATTGGCAGTCTTTTGTGGAAATCTCTCATTTCCGTGGTGTCAACCAGACTCTCTATAGAATGGCTATTGTTGACTTATAATAATTTTATAAACTCAGGATGGGCTAATTCGACCTCCAACCATGTGTTAGAGCTCTGAACCATTTTATTGTGAGCTGTATATTGTCACCACACTCCCACGAGCCAGATCAAACATTGTTGGATTATAAATGTGCTTGGATTGTAAAGGCGCAGCTTGGCGTTGGCCTGTTGCCATGTGCCGATTGATGGTCCCTCTGCTCTTCTCCCCCCCAAATAGGAGATCAAAGAGCCAGACCTCAAGGGGGTGCCCATTAACCACCTATGGGCTCATCCCAATGGGCGCAGGCTGCTTGTACATGCCCGAGACAGCGCCCTGCGCCTCATCGACGTCCGAGTGTGAGTGAATGTGCCCCTTGTTATCCGCGGCATCAGGCGAATGTTATGCCTCATTGGGCTTTAAGCGTAGTTTGCATGCGGTAAAACACCAGTGTGCCAATAAAATACATACACATGCAAGCGGAGAACATTCCAAACTTCACGCGTGTAGATGTACATCGGTAACATACCTACTCTGATGCATTCTTCCGATATCAGGAAGCCACTAAAGATATGCACTTTTAAATCTAAATTGAAAACTCATTTTCCAAGAACTGCTTTTTGTGTTTAGTTTGTTGTCCTTCCCCTGCACCTCCGATTGGTTGGCTACGTACGGTGTGAAAGAAGTTCAATACACACATACATACAGTGAGGGGAAAAAGTATTTGATCCCCTGCTGATTTTGTACGTTTGCCCACTGACAAAGAAATGATCAGTCTATAATTTTAAGGGTAGGTTTATTTGAACAGTGAGAGACAGAATAACAACAACAAAATCCAGAAAAATGCATGTTAAAAATGTTATAAATTGATTTGCATTTTAAGGAGGGAAATACGTATTTGACCCCTCTGCAACACATGACTTAGTACTTGGTGGCAAAACCCTTGTTGGCAATCACAGAGGTCAGACGTTTCTTGTAGTTGGCCACCAGGTTTGCACACATCTCAGGAGGGATGTCCCACTCCTCTTCGCAGATCTTCTCCAAGTCATTAAGGCTTCGAGGCTGACGTTTGGCAACTCAAACCTTCAGCTCCCTCCACAGATTTTCTATGGGATTAAGGTCTGGAGACTGGCTAGGCCACTCCAGGACCTTAATGTGCTTCTTCTTTGAGCCACTCCTTTGTTGCCTTGGCCGTGTGTTTTGGGTCATTGTCATGCTGGAATAGCCATCCACGACCCATTTTCAATGCCCTGGCTGAGGGAAGGAGGTTCTCACCCAAGATTTGACGGTACATGGCCCCGTCCATCGTCCCTTTGATGCGGTGAAGTTGTCCTGTCCCCTTAGCAGAAAAACACCCCCAAAGCATGTTTCCACCTCCATGTTTGACGGTGGGGATGGTGTTCTTGGGGTCATAGGCAGCATTCCTCCTCCAAACACGGCGAGTTGAGTTTATGCCAAAGAGCTCCATTTTGGTCTCAACTGACCACAACACTTTCACCCAGTTGTCCTCTGAATCATTCAGATGTTCACTGGCAAACTTCGGACGGGCATGTATATGTGCTTTCTTGAGCAGGGGGACCTTGCAGGCGCTGCAGGATTTCAGTCCTTCACGGCGTAGTGTGTTACCAATTGTTTTCTTGGTGACTATGGTCCCAGCTGCCTTGAGATCATTGACAAGATCCTCCCGTTTAGTTCTGGGCTGATTCTTCACCGTTTTCATGATCATTGCAACTCCACGAGGTGAGATCTTGCATGGAGCCCCAGGCCGAGGGAGATTGACAGTTCTTTTGTGTTTCTTCCATTTGCGAATAATCGCACCAACTGTTGTCACCTTCTCACCAAGCTGCTTGGCAATGGTCTTGTGACCCATTCCATCCTTGTGTAGGTCTACAATCTTGTCCCTGACATCCTTGGAGAGCTCTTTGGCCTTGGCCATGGTGGAGAGTTTGGAATCTGATTGATTGATTGCTTCTGTGGACAGGTGTCTTTTTTACAGGTAACAAGCTGAGATTAGGAGCACTCCCTTTAAGAGTGTGCTCCTTATCTCAGCTCGTTGCCTGTATAAAAGACACCTGGGAGCCAGAAATCTTTCTGATTGAGAGGGGATCAAATACTTATTTCCCTCATTAAAAATGCAAATAACTTTATAACATTTTTGACATGCGTTTTTCTGGATTTTGTTGTTGCTATTCTGTCTCTCACTGTTCAAATAAACCTACCATTAAAATGATAGACTGATCATTTCTTTGTCAGTGGGCAAAAGTACAAAATCAGCAGGGGATCAAATACTTTTTTCCCTCACTGTACATCCTATGGTTACCTTGCTTTCTTTGCTGGTGGGCATCTTACATGCACAATCTTGTCCTCGTCCACAACCCCAACCTCCCAAGTCGCTGGATCGCGGGCATGAGTCACCCGGAAAGCTGCGCTAACCGTTAGACTCTGGGCAGCTTTCGACACAGCTGTCCTGAGTCGTGGCACCGGCTGTGTCTGTGCAGGCAGGTGACCAGGAAGTTCACGGGGGCCTCGAATCAGCGCGAGCGCGTGCACAGCTGCATCAGCCCCTGCGGAACCTTCCTGCTGTCTGGCAGCGAGGATGGCGTGGCTTACGTTTGGAACGTCGACACGGGTATGGCTTCTGGTCTTGGCCTTCTACGTGCCCCGGTGTGTCCTTTAATCCTGGGATCAAAGCAGGCACGTGCGTGTTGGCCAACTTGTCCACGATAAGATCTGTGATCGGTGTGCTTTGGTTTGTAATATCGACATTGTCATACTAATCTGAAATTCCGATTACCACCTTGACTCAAATACTCTTTGAACATCCTGACTAATTGTACGGAAATGTTATTTTTAAAAAACGCAACCCAAAAAACAAAATAGCTGTTATTTGGTAGATACACGCCTGTGTTATGTATCGCAGGCTTCCAAGATGCTTTCGAGGCTTTGTTAATTGGAAAGAAAGATTTAGAAAGAGGATATTTTGGAGTTTTTTTTAATAATTGCTATCGGTACATCAGTGTCATTCAAGCAGCACTGAAAATGTATTTAAAGTCTTTTTTGTCATTTACAAAGTTTCAACCTCTTGATGGACAGCGTGCAACACAAATCCTGAGTGTGTATCTACGAAATAATAATTGTTTGTTTTTGTCGGTTACATATATCATTAAGTCTTTGCTCAGGTGTTTGTACACAGCGGATTTTAGGAGTGCATCGCAAATTAAACATCGGTATGTTGCTGTAAAAGCTGCGCGGATTTTTACTTGATTGTGCTGTAGTCAAATGTGGGTTGTCTTTCTGCAGCAAATCCCATTCATAGTCATAGGCTAGGAGCACTCAACAGCGGTTTATGTTTCAGGCAGGTGTGTGCGGCAATAGTTTACATCTCTCTTGGCTGACCTCCTCAAGAGGCAGTTGACACCGGCTGACTGACCGCCAATTGTCAGCCGATACTCGGGCCACATTCCTGTCACTTCTCCAAGTCCGTCCTGAATGAGGCTTCTCGAGAGCTCACTCGAAGCGCACCTGCTTAGCCCCGTCTCCTTGCAGGGTCCCCCCCCCCCCCCCTCACATCTGGCAGCCTGCCGCCCTCTTCCTCCCCACGCCCTACCACGCCGGCAGTCTGTGAGCGTAACGTGTGTGCTTGAGCTCCCAGGTCGTCCCTTGATGTCTCGGTCTTCAAAGCGTGGGGGTCCCTCCGTCCTCACGTCTTTTAAAAGTCACCTGCATGGTGTTACGGCTGAGCCCATAGAGTGCACCGTGCTTGGCAGTTAGCGCTGTTAAGCGTTGCCCCCTTTGTACATTTGTGAGCGCTGTTCACACCTTTCTGCTGTCACCTCATGCGTTAGGACCTTTTTTCGAATGGGTTCAACTTCTTTAAATGCCATGTGCATGTATGAGTGTGTGTGGAGAGCGCTGGCGTAGCGGTTAGTGCTCTGTGCTATGAAGCCGCCTTGCAGAGTTCGATTCCCACTCACGGTCAACACCCGTGATGATATCTTAATTGGTTCTGGGGAGATACAAAGGCTGGGTGTGGTGCTTTACTGACCTTCATAGGTGCTCGCTAACAGCACTTGCACCAACAGTCTTTTAAGGATCCTTGTCTCTGTCTTTTATGTGCGAGTGGTGTTGCAGTGGCCACTGAACTGCGCTGTGATCCCAGCTCAATTGGAATTAATTCCTGCCATTGCACCACTCGTGGCAAGTGATATCTAAATAATACCTGGCCTACTGTATGTTAATTCAGCTTTGAATGAGTGTCTGGTCCAGTGTACAAAAGATGGGAGCTGCAAGACAATGGTGGATAGCTGTGCTGCTGGTCACACCATCCACTTGTGCACTCTGCCAATCTTAGTAGGTGCATGTTAACAGCACATGTGTATTTGTGTTTACATACACAGAAAATGCACACACTAACATCGTAATACCCCCTGGTATAATTCATGGCCACAGTATAAAACAGCATTTTTATAATTTTAGAAGGAAGGAAGCGATGAGCCGTAATGCGCTGGGATGTGCATTGGATTGAATTTATACGTATTTTTTCCGGCAGCAAATGTGATGCGTTGAGGTGCATATAATGAGCACCAAGCTTAATGACCTAGGCTCAGAGCTGCTGGTTCCTGGACAGCTGTATTTGCACTGCCAAGGTAATGGCACTGCACCAGAGTTAATAAAAAAAAATCAGTTTTAGTAAAGCGGTGGAAATTCTCTCACCCATTGGCACACGTGCTGTTTGGCCAGCGTGCACGGACACAAAAAGCACAGGAGCGTTGAGCTCATCATCACCACTCGGGTGTGTTTGTGTGGACCCGACGGGGCAAACACAGTTCATCTCTATACCTGGGTGGCCCTTTGGTGTGAGTGGCTCTTTCTCAGGATTGCCACTCTATGCCCACTTATTGCTTACCGGTTCACAGGTACGTTAGCATGTGGCCTTCCCCCTTAGGTTAACGTTGCCAACGGGGGGAGGGGGAGTTAGAAACAAATAAGACAGCCAATCACCTGAGCCCATCTCCTTCGCCCCGATGTCCTGCAGTGGAGGTGTGTGAACTTGAGCTCGCGATGTCACGCCCTTGATGTCCCGGTGACTCTTAGATTATTTGCCTGGTATGCATTTCCACGCGATAAGCCACTTCGTTGAGCCATCATTTGTGGCCACGTCGCTTCTGAAAAATAACTAATAACTCAGTGGGTTTTTTTACCTGGTAAAAAAAATATCTAGTTTATTTTTTTTTATTTAGAGTGATTTGCTTACCTTTCCTACCTTGCACTCCTATCATTGTTTTTGTATATTTGGAACTTTCTGATCTGCCCCTACTCGACATCTCTGAAAAAGAGCTGCATAGCTCATCGGATTTCTCCAGGATAATTACAGGTTCTGATTCTGACTTCAATCCCCGAGCCCATGTGGATTTGGATCATCCTTAAGATTTAGGAGCATCCTTAGGTCTTTAATGATTTGGTTAAGGACAGTCGTGTTTTGCACGATGTTTTCCCTCTATGGACCCCATAGTCTAAAATAATGTTCATGAACATATTCACTATTATGCAGTTTTTTGTTGCATGTGACTTCTTGGTAGAAAAAGCATTTATTTCATTCCACAGCCACTCTTGAATGCGTATGCATATATGTGTGTGTTTGTGCAGATGCCCATTATTTGCTTGTATCAAATGAAAATGTGGCCCTGGTACACAGAATGGCACTGCTTGAATGCTATTATTGAGGCATTTCAATGAAGACCCCAAATTTTGGGTCACATGGGTGAAGTACACCAAGACATGTGCATTCTTGGCTTCTCGAATTCAGCATAGCATCACCTTGCCAGTACAATAACTATAATATTTTTAAAATGAGTCTTATTTTGTTGTTGTGGTGTTTTTCATTACGTTTTTTTATAACCTTGACCTGTAACTTTACTTTATTCTCAGACAGAGAAGGTTGTTCTCAACAGTTTGTGTCGTTTTAATGTTGTTTTTCAATAGATGGATTTCAGTTTTTGCTGCATTTTATTTGTATGACCGTATATACCATACTTTTGGAGAGAGAGAGAGACATAATATGCCCTTGTTGGACATTGCACACTACGCAATAGGAAGCCTATTGCAGCTGAGAACAACTCAGCAGAAGCACATCATGGTCTCGGTCCTGCTGCCTGTCATTTATTTAATTGACTAATCTATACATGTAATACTTAAATGACTAATTAGTAACAAAACAAGTATTATGTCCCTATGCCCAGATGAGCATGAGGTGGTGCTCATATTCTTTCGTGGTTCAGAGCAAGCAGTGAAAATTACACATTCTTGTACTATAGTACAATCGCTGTTAATTTTATAACTAACTTTACCAGGCAAGGCCCACTGAGAAGTGACCTGGCCACAAATAATCATAGCTCAACGAAGTGGTTTATCGTGTGGAAATTTATAGCAGCCAAATACTTTAAACGCACATTTTTAAATGTGGAAGGAAAAATCGGAGGATCCGGAGAAAAATCTACGCGGCCATGGCGGGAGAGACATGCAAGCTCCAAATATACAGACGCCAGGGTCGGGATTGAACCCACGGCCATCCTGTATACCAGGCGAGGGACTTAACATCTCGCGACTGTGGCACTCTACTCACTCAGTGGAGCAGCCTTGATAAGTGGGAGTTCCAAAAGGGATGATGAGGATGGTAATTGTAGACTAAGTTGATGATAGCTATAAACCAAGATCATGTAACACTGGCATAACAAATAACATGCTTTGGATATTATTTTACTATTATTTGTTCCATAACGCATGGCAATCCATCCATATGCTGGTTCATTGGTGATTAAGTGCAACTGTCGTTTGAATTATTGACATACGGAGAGTATTAGATTTGAATACAATTGATCAATTGTTTTAGTCAATGATCGTTCGCATACATTGCATGCTGAGTAACAGAAATGATCACAGGTTTTCACGTGCGAAAACATCGATAGCAAGCTGACGCTTTTATACTGGTTACAATCTCAATGAGCCATATATATTTTGGGCCTTTGCAATTCTCAAATCTGTAAACATGCTTTTCAGAAAGCTCACAGTGTTAACGGTCCTGAAGCTGTTTAAGAGTATCCGTGTTATTTTTTTCCAAGGAAATATCTTCTCTCCTACTCATTGCATGTGTAATGAGCGACTTTTGCGACACGTCGTGTAGAGGGTACTCTTTTCTTTATTCACATTCGGGTACACCACAAGCCAACCTTATCCTCTTCCTTCTCCGAGTACACACGTAGATATTAGCATCCCTACAGGCTACACGTGGTCGATCCCACAGCGTGGTTCCGTCTGCCCACTCCCGGCCTTGCCGCTGGTTGACGGCGTGCCGGCGAGGGTGGTGGGGACTTCGCGGGAGATCTGCCACGTGGCCGAACGACGGAGAGAGATGACGGCGAGCAGCGACCCAAGGCTCCCCACACCGACCATGCCCTCTCATGGAACTTTCTAGCCGGTTCCGGGAGTTTCTCGGCCAGCCCTGCCCTTCACCTGTGGCCCAGATACAGTGAGGGAAAAAAGTATTTGATCCCCTGCTGATTTTGTACGTATGCCCACTGACAAAGAAATGATCAGTCTATAATTTTAATGGTAGGTTTATTTGAACAGTGAGAGACAGAATAACAACAACAAAATCCAGAAAAACGCATGTCAAAAATGTTATAAATTGATTTGCATTTTAATGATGGAAATAAGTATTTGACCCCTCTGCAAAACGTGACTTAATACTTGGTGGCAAAACCCTTGTTGGCAATCACAGAGGTCAGACGTTTCTTGTAGTTGGCCACCGGGTTTGCACACATCTAAGGAGGGATTTAGTCCCACTCCTCTTTGCAGATCTTCTCCAAGTCATTAAGGTTTCCAGGTTGACGTTTGGCAACTCGAACCTTCAGCTCCCTCCACAGATTTTCTATGGGATTAAGGTCTGGAGGCTGGCTAGGCCACTCCAGGACCTTAATGTGCTTCTTCTTGAGCCACTCCTTTGTTTCCTTGGCCGTGTGTTTTGGGTCATTGTCATGCTGGACTACCCATCCACGACCCATTTTCAATGCCCTGGCTGAGGGAAGGAGGTTCTCACCCAATATTTGACGGTACATGGCCCCGTCCATCCTCCCTTTGATGCGGTGAAGTTGTCCTGTCCCCTTAGCAGAAAAACACCCCCAAAGCATAATGTTTCCACCTCCATGTTTGACGGTGGGGATGGTGTTTTTGGGGTCATTGGCAGCATTCCTCCTCCTCCAAACACGGCGAGTTGAGTTGATGCCAAAGAGCTCCATTTTGGTCTCATCTGACCACAACACTTTCACCCAGTTGTCCTCTGGATCATTCAGATGTTAATTGGCAAACTTCGGACGGGCATGTATATGTGCTTTTTTGAGCAGGGGGACCTTGCGGGCGCTGCAGGATTCCAGTCCTTCACGGCGTAGTGTGTTACCAATTGTTTTCTTGGTGACTATGGTCCCAGCTGCCTTGAGATCATTGACAAGATCCTCCCGTGTTGTTCTGGGCTGATTCCTCACCATTCTCATGATCATTGCAACTCCACGAGGTGAGATCTTGCATGAAGCCCCAGGCCGAGGGAGATTGACAGTTCTTTTGTGTTTCTTCCATTAGCGAATTATCGCACCAACTGTTGTCACCTTCTCACCAAGCTGCTTGGTAATGGTCTTGTAGCCCATTCCAGCCTTGTGTAGATCTACAATCTTGTCCCTGACATCTTTGGAGAGCTCTTTGGTCTTAGAGCTGAGATTAGGAGCACTCCCTTTAAGAGTGTGCTCCTAATCTCAGCTTGTTACCTGTATAAAAGACACCTGGGAGCCAGAACTCCTTCTAATTGAGAGGGGGTCAAATACTTATTTCCCTCATTAAAATGCAAATCAATTTATCACATTTTTTACATGCGTTTTTCAGGATTTTGTTGTTATTCTGTCTCTCACTGTTCAAATAAACCTACCATTAAAAGTATAGACTGATAATTTCTTTGTCAGTGGGCAAACGTACAAAATCAGCAGGGGATCAAATACTTTTTTCCCTCACTGTACCTCTCCCTTTGGGATAGGATGATGTTTATAATGGTGCCTGTACCGGTGCTTCCCTTTTTCATCCAGTAGATGTCACTATCTCATTACACATGCGCTAGACTCCAGCGTGATATGACGGGACATGCGGCTTCAGTACGTGTTTGCAAGATGCAGCAGGAGCTTACTAAATATTTGGGTTTTATCAGCCAACATTATGATTCATGATTGGTCTTTGGGTTAGGCCACATAGTGATAGAGATCTATCAAAATGCATCTCATTAAGACCCTCCAACACCCGGCACAGCCACACAACTTAAATTGTCACGTATACGAGCCGGCGTTTAACCCATCAATTGCTATTGTTTCAGCTCACCGCTAAGTTGAAGAACAATTGATTGCGAGAATTGCACGTCTTACCGTAGCGATACTAATTTGACCAGATTGTTACCTGGCCTAACCCAAAAATCATTGAAGAATCACAGGATTTACATTTCATGCATTTCATGATAATTGTAAACAATCTGCAAATGTTACATTTAGGCTCATTGAGCGAAAATGAGCTGTACGAATAATATGGAATAAGTGAGATGGTAAGAGGTGCACAAAAAAGCAATAATGACCTGGAGTTGTGACAATCAAATATCTGTGCGTGGGAGGGGTTGAATCGTGGCATGCTTAATAATGACTCACGGGCAGTATTTTCCAGTTGCAAACAGATGACGTCCGTGACTCGACTTGTGCGAACTTTTGCGCCACGATAACCTTGAAACCGTTCGGTTCGTTCGTCTGGCGGAGTTTCCATTCAACGTCGCTTGCTCGCTCCGCAGCCGGGGAACCAGCAGCGGTGAGGTGAACTCGCTTGACCCGCGCCTTGGTGTGCACCGCTTTGGCTGCAGGGGACCAGGTGGCCATGTACTCGGAGCTGGGCTACCAGGCTCCCGTGCGGGACGTGCACTTCCACCCGCACGAGCACATGGTGGCGTTCTGCTGCCACGGGGACGCGCAGCCCGTTCTTGTCTTCGCCTACGACCACAAGGGTGGGCCCCGCCGCGTTGACGCTGACGTTCGTCAGAACAGTTGCTCGCGTGCCAGCTAACCCTCCAGCTATCTATGAGCCAGACGGGGTGTGGTGGCATACACCTGTGGTCCAAAGCTGTTTTTGTTGTAGGCACGGGCTGATGGATCCTGCAGATTTGAGAAACTTTCACACCCGCTGGGCTGCGTGACGGCAGCCGGGAGATGGTACAGCAAGTGGGTTGTGAACCCGTCTGTGCACACTGTTGAGCATTATCCCATCCTTTGCATCGGATTCATCCATATGGCCTGGTTTCCTCCCAAATATCTTAATGAAGCCCTTCTGGAAAAGAGTTTTGAGATTTATTGAGGCTTTTCTGGATGAATTATGATTTTCAGCCCTTTGGCAGTCAACTGCTTGTTCAATGCCACCCCATGCCATGTCAGTCATGAGGTTGATTTACCATCGTCTGCTACACTGGTCCTGTGATACAAGGGGAGATATGTGGTCTGCAGTGTGACCTATCTCACTCCACTGCTAGCAATTTTACTTGTGTGCAGAAGGTATGCCAGTAGACTGATATGGATGCTTCGCTAATATGCAGTATTTAATTCTGCTGCTTCTCTTTCCAGTACCTGTAAATAGTCCGCATGTAAATAAACGTCGCTGAGAAATTTTGATCTGGAAAACCCAGAGTGCAACGGTCGTCTCGGCAATTGAACAAACTCCTTTATCATGAGACATGATCTATCCACTGTTGCTGGATCAAGGCCTCTCCACACCATACACATTTTTTATTATTAAAATGTATTTAAAGTCTGCCTCCCTATTCAAATGAACATGGACACCCATTCCTCTTATTTGCAAGCCTAGAGGCAGTGCCAAGAATTCCACATTCCCATGACAAGAGGCCAGTCTGTCCTTAGCAACATCACTGTTCACTTATCACGAAGTGCTTCTCATACGAGGAGGGGGGATGATGGGTTGAGACATAGCCGAGGAGGACTTGAACTCAGGGCTACTTGGCTTCCGCATGCTCTTGAATAGAGGTTATCGACTTTCGGACCGACCAGTTGCATGTCGCTCTACGTGTTCACCGCGGTAGTGTAGCGGTTAGCGCGCTGCACTACGAACCCGTCGACCCGAGTTCTATTCCCAATTACGGGCAACACCAGTGACAATGATCTGAATTGGTCCTGGGCCTCACCTCAGCTTCAAATGAGTTCCTGATGCAATGTGTAAATATCGGCACTAGGGAGATAAAGGTGGCCAGGTGTGGTGCTGACCAACCACCCCCTCGTGTGCCGTGCCCGGCCTTCATAGGTGCTCGCTAACAGCACTTGCCACCAACAGTCTGTTCAGGCTATACGGGGGATCTTTGTCTTTTTTTTGCATCGCCCAGTGGCACAGATGGAGGCCCGCAGCTACCGCGACGTGCAGGAGCCCTCGTCGGCCGCACCGGGCCACATGGCGGGGAACTCGCGCGGCCCGCGGTGGCTCGGGTCCACGGGGCCAGCGGGCCCCGCTTCGTGGACGGCCGTGGAGACGCTGGGCCACGGAACTGGCGACGCGGCGGCCGCTTCCACGTCGCTCTTCCCTTCGCGGATGCAGAGCGTTCGCCGAAAACTCGACGCGGTGCTCACGGTAAGCGTGGGGCTGCTGTGGACGCCACAAGCGAGCCAAGAGAGAACAAACAAATACAATATTTGGCAATGCGTTGGAAAGGCGCAATGTTGGCAGTGAATCGCATTAGCCAACCACACTTGAGCCTTGCCCTTATCTCTAACCACGTCAGACATAAAACTCACCAACTTGTCCCTATCCTTACCCATAATCATACACTGTCCACCAGATCCTAGCCCTACTTCTAACCCTAATCACACTTGTCAACCAATTCTTACCACTAGCCCTCGCCATTAGGCTATCTAACAAGCCGCTAACCCAACCCCTAGCCGCTAACCACACTTGCCAACTGCAATCTTAGCTTTTAATCATAACCACATTGCCAACCAGACTATAGTCCTACCCCAAACTATTACCACAGTATCTAACCATACTCTATGCCAATCCATGCCCTACCTTAATCTTAAGTCCAAGAAAATTGATTCCTAACCCCTTTGTCCTAACTTTAACTTAACCTCATCTCTATAACCCTCACCGTAACGCTTAGGTTTGGTCGGCAAACATTTTCACGTGGTTCAGATGTTAGCGAGTTGATGAGGGCAGTGTGCAGCAGTTACAAATCAAAGGGAAACCACCCTCTCGGAAGACTTTATTTTCAAATTAATCTCATGAGATTTTATTCTCCCCGATATATTAACCTCAATCTGGCCTTCTTACCTGCTCTTTGTGAGACATGCCCCAGAGTTCTTACATTGTCGGGATATAACGACTCAACTCTCCCGACCCCTCGCGATTCAAGTCCATTTATTGCCAGTGCAGCACATGTAGAATCCAAAGGGGTATCCATTTGTAGGCTTCTAAGTGATATAAACGTTCCGTATATCCAAAAAAGATTTACAGTTAAAAATAATAGTGTTTCAGTCTGTGCTGCGTTACTGTAGCAATGTTATAGTTACGCTCGGAATGCACCATTGCAGAGCAGACGTGTGTATGTATGTTGAATTTCTTTCGCACGGTACACAGCCAACCGTGCTACTCAGAAGTGCTGGGGAAGGACAACAAATTAAACACAGAAAGCAATTCTAAAGAAATTCGTTTTAAATATAGATTTAAAAGTGCATAGCTCCAAGTGGCTTCCTCATATTCGAAGGAAGAGCATTCCGGACGGCCGCGGGGGCACGTCTGCAAGCGTGCGATGCAGTCATTGTTCTTTGGGGGACAGCACACTTTCTACCCCAGCCTGAGCTCAGAAGTTAAGATCGGTCTTCACAGTTATATCACACCACTATGAATAGGTATGAAAACTGTCCGAGTTCGTTATTGCACTCTTCTCGTATTTGTTCGATGGTTAGCATGCGCGCCTTCACCTGCTTGACAAAGGCACGTTACTCTCGCCGTGGGACGATTGCGTGCGCTTAGCACGCGTTATGCGAGAGATGCCTGTAGGTGGCGCTGTTGCTCACAATCCGTCATCATTGTCGAACTTTATCTACACCGAGTATTCCAACACGGCCTTCATCTCCCGCTTTGCAGTTTTCATCCGCACTGCCGCAAACGAATAAAGCATTAGCCCATGAGGTTTACGCACTGAAATTCTTACCATTTTTACAGCTACGACATGTTTCAGCAGTTGAAAGCCAAACAATAAACACCTTAAGTTTAAATTTCGATTTAAAGCTTTCGTGACTGCAATGATTCATCTTCTTTGGTTCTTTCGGTAAAGTCACGTAGAATTAGAATAAAATAATAAATTGAGAATATTATTGTGTTATTTTATTTTATCAATTTATTATTTTATTCTCATTCTACGTGACTTTACCGAAAGAACCAAAGAAGACCTTAAGTTTAAATATACACCAACTCGAATATTACGACTCTACTTTAAACTCGTACACTATAAAACCATATCTAAACTGTTAAAAAACGTAACCTCAATGAATTAAATATAACCCCAATCTGTAATGAATTTAAAACTGTCTAAACGCACCTACAATCATAATTTATATACCCTAACTTAAAATAGGTAATGCTAATTGCTAACCCACAGCTTTAAAATGTTGACCGAGTTTTCTAAAAGGCTTTGAAAGCTTGTGTTCAAGTCCAAAGGTGTAGTTCTGGATGTGACCTGGCTTTCTGCTGATAATGTACATTACAGGAAGTGAGCCATATTTGAAACTTTATTTATCTCTTGCATGCATACTCGATATAGCAATCAAATCAGCATCCCCCCCACCCCGCACCACGCTTCATCAGTTCCTTTAAAACAATCAGCTGAATTGATGTCACTATAACGATTACTCTTAAAAGTGACAACACATTATGCCTACTTCCCACATTTGACTCTACACATTTTTCTTACACAAGCCCCTCGGGCATACAGCTTTCTGGGGGCGGTCCATCTTCGCAGTATTGGGTTAATGCAAGAAAACTGGAGCAGCTGCAACATTCATTGTTACATTAGCAGAGTTAGGTTTGCTTGAACCAATCTCATAAAAGTGTTGTTGTCACTGCCAGGCCAAACATGGTCTATGCATTGGTCACTGCTGATTAAAACACCAGAATCAGAATCTTTATTTATACTGTGTTTTGACTATCGGAAATCATAGGCTTTGGAAATAATAAAAAAATTAATCTTTGGCTGCATTCAAGTTGTACGTTTCTCGGACATGAATGGAATTTTTTTGTGAAGGAAGTAGATCGATGCAGCACTTTTGCTTTGCATATGAGCAAGTATGAGCCATGTGTTATCCTTACCACAGGCAATGTTTCGCAACCACGCCCTTATTGTTTTAAGGCTAACCACAAATCCACAAACCCACTTTGCTTGCTTTGTGTTGTATGAACCTCTGTGGTATCTACAGCGATAAGATTAGCAGTGCAATACTCTGGACTTGGTTTTAAAGAGGTTTGTTTTCTGATCGTATGAAGAAAGGTCTCCTATTCTGTGGTTATCATAAGTCTAAAATAAGGCTAAAACGTGATTAACTTATTATTATGAGTATGAGCTGATTTTTTAAATTCCTAAGCTATATTTTAAATACATTTCCTTAGTGACTAACTTAAAACAAAATTAAGTTCCATTAAAATGTTTTTTACAATTCGGTATACGTATTCAAAGTTTCAAAATTGTAACTTGTAAGTTACAAAAAAAATATGTAAGCTTGATTTAAAAGAAAGCATTCGCTCGATAAATTAAAATGCTATTTTAGATAAGCCTCTCCCGTTAAATGCAACATTTGCATGTTGTTGGTAATCCTCGGCATAGATAAACACATTGCGGTTCGGTTCGCTGGTGTGGTCTGTCTCAGGACTCTTTGAAGCCAGGAGCAACAATAGCGGATTACGACACTGGTGAGTTTTTGTTTGTTTGTTTATCTTTACGATTTTACAAGCCCCGACTAATCAGAGCAGCACACATTGAGCTTCCAAATAACAAATGCTTTTTTGTTTGACAGCGCAACTTGGTGAACCCTCGTGGACTTTTTGAAATTTGTTTTCCCCGTCTTGCATAGGAGTTTAAATTTGTTAAAATACTTTTTTTTTTACCACGACGAAGATGTGAATTAGGGGTGTGTTAATGTACTGATGCATCAGATGAGAATGCTTCTTTGTTTTCTTCCATTGTATATCAGTGTGGATGCCACATTCGAAACTCTGCAGTTAGCAGTGCACCACTCTGTGTTCAGAGAATGACTGCAGAAGTTGATATCAAAAAACTGCTTCTGAATGAAATATATCCACACGAGTGAAACACACTTTTTTATACCCTGCAAAATCTTTTTGTCACATCTAAGTCACGTCTCAAAGCTGAGATACGGCAAATTAAATGAGAAACTCAAATGTACGTAATTTTGTTTTTGTGCACTCATTGGACACCAGACTGAGAGCATCTACTCCCTACACTTGAGTGCTTCATTAAATCACGGCTGACTAAAGCCCAGTTATCAACCCATTATCTCAGCCATTCTCGCTCAGTGTTTTGGCCCCTGAGCCACTCGGCGACTTTTGTTTAATGTCGATTCCTCAGCTCGTAATGCACGCATGACACGTGTAGAAACTTGTTGATTTCATTTCGAATTTGGTGCACCAAATGGATTCGTGCGACTCCTCCAGCCACTCGAGGCTGCTGTGTTCACCACATCGTGTGAAACACATTTAATCGCATCCCTCTATTATGGCAAATTGTTAAAAACGTGAAGGTCCGTAATGTTACACCATGATTCGCATTGTTCACTTGCATAAAAAAATAATGCAGTACAGCTATTCAAATGGTTAAGTGTACATGACAAGCGTAAGTAGGTAACAAAACAGTTAAATGCAATGTGGTTTTTCGCTCGTTACAGGATGAAGCAGTGGTCATATCTTGTTTTATGTTTCATACGGTAGATATTTCATGTTCTTATGTCGGAGGTGAGTCTAGCATAAGGGTAACCACTGTTAACTGAGTGAACTCTCCACCACTGGATTTTAGCTATGAGCCGCTTTTGTCACCCAGCCAGTTGTCAACACAATCAGGTGGCATTTAAAGCTGGATAACACCTTTGGATGGAATTACTGCTCGTCAAAATACATCCATTGGTACAATTAGGCGATCCGCTGTCTTTCGGTAAAGTCACGTAGGTACAGTGAGGGAAAAAAAGTATTTGATCCCCTGCTGATTTTGTACGTTTGCCCACTGACAAAGAAATAATCAGTCTATAATTTTAATGGTAGGTTTATTTGAACAGTGAGAGACAGAATAAGAACAAAAAAATCCAGAAAAACACATGTCAAAAATGTTATAAATTGATTTGCATTTTAATGAGGGAAATAAGTATTTGACCCCCTCTCAATCAGAAAGATTTCTGGCTCCCAGGTGTCTTTTATACAGGTAACGAGCTGAGATTAGGAGCACACTCTTAAAGGGAGTGCTCCTAATCTCAGCTTGTTACCTGTATAAAAGACACCTGTCCACAGAAGCAATCAATCAATCAATCAGATTCCAAACTCTCCACCATGGCCAAGACCAAAGAGGTCTCCAAGGATGTCAGGGACAAGATTGTAGACCTACACAAGGCTGGAATGGGCTACAAGACCATTGCCAAGCAGCTTGGTGAGAAAGTGACAACAGTTGGTGTGATTATTCGCAAATGGAAGAAACACAAAAGAACTGTCAATCTCCCTCCGTCTGGGGCTCCATGCAAGTACTCACCTCGTGGAGTTGCCATGATCATGAGAACGGTGAGGAATCAGCCCAGAACTACACGGGAGGATCTTGTCAATGATCTCAAGGCAGCTGGGACCATAGTCACCAAGAAAGCAATTGGTAACACACTACGCCGTGAAGGACTGAAATCCTGCAGCGCTCGCAAGGTCCCCCTGCTCAAGAAAGCACATATACATGCCCGTCTGAAGTTTGCCAATGAACATCTGAATGATTCAGAGGACAACTGGGTGAAAGTGTTGTGGTCAGATGAGACCAAAATGGAGCTCTTTGGCATCAACTCAACTCGCCGTGTTTGGAGGAGGAATGCTGCCTATGACTCCAAGAACACCATCCTCACCGTCAAACATGGAGGCGGAAACATGCTTTGGGGGTGTTTTCCTGCTAAGGGGACAGGACAACTTCACCGCATCAAAGGGACGATGGACGGGGCCATGTACGGTCAAATCTTGGGTGAGAACCTCCTTCCCTAGCCAGGGCATTGAAAATGGGTCGTGGATGGGTATTCCAGCATGACAATGACCCAAAACACACGGCCAAGGCAACAAAGGAGTGGCTCAAGAAGAAGCACATTAAGGTCCTGGAGTGGCCTAGCCAGTCTCCAGACCTTAATCCCATAGAAAATCTGTGGAGGGAGCTGAAGGTTCGAGTTGCCAAACGTCAGCCTCGAAACCTTAATGACTTGGAGAAGATCTGCAAAGAGGAGTGGGACAAAATCCCTCCTGAGATGTGTGCAAACCTGGTGGCCAACTACAAGAAACGTCTGACCTCTGTGATTGCCAACAAGGGTTTTGCGACCAAGTACTAAGTCATGTTTGCAGAGGGGTCAAATACTTATTTCCCTCATTAAAATGCACATCAATTTATAATATTTTTGACATGCGTTTTCCTGGATTTTTTTGTTGTTATTCTGTCTCTCACTGTTCAAATAAGCCTACCATTAAAATGATGGACTGATCATTTCTTTGTCAGTGGGCAAACGTACAAAATCAGCAGGGAATCAAATTATTTTTTCCTTCACTGTATAACGTATAAAATAAATTAAATCACTCGTGATTTAAAGAGTATGGATTCCTGCAGTCACGAAAACTTCAAATCTAGACCAAAGATATTCACAGCCAACACTGGAGAATAAAAAATAAATTAGGAAAAACATGCTGACAATATTATAGCGGCCCCCATGAAAATGAACTCCAGGGAACAGTGGAAGAAATGGTGGCTGCATAGTTGGGCCAACGATTAATATGAGAAAAATTAAAGTAATATCCAGCAAGTTTGCAAAACTAAATAAAGTAGTTGTTGGATGAACGCAAGTGGAACAAATAGCAGAATATAGGAATAGGTTTTACCCTTTTAACTGGCACAAAAACTGACACCTTTATTCAAGGCATCATGTTTGCAATAACCACAACACAAGCAGTCAAAATGCAAACAAAAAAGACAACTCTGATAATATTATGCACTGTCCTTGAATTTGATTGGTCCACACCCGAGACAGCTTTTCTTTGAGCCTAGTCTCCATTGGTGTTGGACCAGAAGACGCCAAAAGGCGTACAACTCAAAAACAGCGCACTATCAGAGTATTGAGGGCTCGGGGTGAGCATTAACATTATGAGACCTCCTTTGCCAGAAACAAGATATAGGAATAGGTTTTACCCTTTTAACTGGCACAAAAACTGACACCTTTATTCAAGGCATCATGTTTGCAATAACCACAACACAAGCAGTCAAAATGCAAACAAAAAAGACAACTCTGATAATATTATGCACTGTCCTTGAATTTGATTGGTCCACACCCGAGACAGCTTTTCTTAGAGCCTAGTCTCCATTGGTGTTGGACCAGAAGACGCCAAAAGGCGTACAACTCAAAAACAGCGCACTATCAGAGTATTGAGGGCTCGGGGTGAGCATTAACATTATGAGACCTCCTTTGCCAGAAACAAGATATAGGAATAGGTTTTACCCTTTTAACTGGCACAAAAACTGACACCTTTATTCAAGGCATCATGTTTGCAATAACCACAACACAAGCAGTCAAAATGACAAAAGTTGTCTTTTTTGTTTGCATTTTGACTGCTTGTGTTGTGGTTATTGCAAACATGATGCCTTGAATAAAGGTGTCAGTTTTTGTGCCAGTTAAAAGGGTAAAACCTATTCCTATATCTTGTTTCTGGCAAAGGAGGTCTCATAATGAAAATAGCAGAATATGTGTACCAAGAACAATTATTTGATGTGGATCGGGATGAAAGTTATTCCATGAAGTAGTGAATGAGTGGAAATTCTGAATTCGATAATGATCAGCGACATAACACTGTAGCGGGTACCTACAAAATAAGTTATTCAATTGGTGCATAGAACCTGCCTCGACACAAACATGGAAAATGGATAAAAAGCTGAAAATATGCACAAAGCATTTAGAGATGCATGCTACCAATTACTAACACCAATGAGAGGCATCCTATTGACTGATCAATAAAGTAAATGGCTTGGGCAGGTTACATCGCTCAAAGGGATGATGACTGATGGATGATTAGACTGGTCACTGAATGGCAGCCAAAGGAGAGAACATACCCAGGAGCATGACCATCTTGGAGATGAAGAAATGAGGTCTGCTCACACCCAGGATTGAAATGGATTGCGGCATCGCAAGACCGTGAGGGATGGCGATGGCAATGGGGGGGGGGGGTGGCTTTCATCCAGCAGTGGATATATTATGGCCGATGATGTATGTTCGTTGAACTTCTTTCGCACTGTACGTAGCCAACCGTGCCAATCTGAGGTGCTGGGGAAGGACAACACAAAAAACAGTTCTAAAGAAATTAGTTTTAAATTCATATTTAAAGTGCATAGTTCCAGTAGCTTCCGAATATCGGCAGGAAGAGCGTTCCAGACGGCCGCAGAAGCGCATCTGAAAGCGTTGCGATACGGTGACCGTTGTCTTTGTTCGATGGCCCAGCCAGAAGCCGCTGCTGCGAGGATGACTGGAGTTGGCATGACGGTTTATGCTCCATGACCGTGGCAAGAGCCCGATTCATAAAGCTTATACCTGGCCTCATGCGTTTTACGTTGCATCGTTGCGTTGCAGTAATGAGATTCCGTGGTCTGTGCTGCCGACAGACCGAACAGTTGGCTCGTCATTGGCGTGGAACAGCCCGGTCCCTCTCTCCGGTGGGGGTCACATTGCCCAGGTAAGCAGCACCACACCACCCATACCTCGTCTTCGTACTTGACACCAACACTGTTACCATCGATTACACGCCTGGAGCACGGGAGGGAGGTTGTCTTGAGAGTTGCATTGCTCATTGACAATGCATTGAACCAACATCAGCGTAGGTGGGTGTTTAAAATGACCATTATTTATAATCGGGGGAAAAGTCCATTGAGCCCAGAAGTATCTTCAAGGGAGACCCGGAGAGAGCAGAATAGTGATGCCAGTCATTGTAATTCCAGAGCAGTGAAACGTATACATGGACACATTTTTAAACATGAGCTATAGTAGACGTAGCCACACTGTAATTATTCAGGATATTTACTTGAAATAGGATGAAGGCTTTTTTTCAGGGTCAGATTGGTCTGTGTATGTGTGAGTCAGTCGTTGGGTGTATGTGTGTGTCTGTCTAGGTGGGTTAATTTAGTTGGGTTGTGGGGAGCGGTAGTGTAGCGGTTAGCGCGCTGCGCTATGAACCTGGCGACCTGGGTTCGATTCCCGCTCACGGCCAACACCAGTGACGATTATCTGAACCGGTCCCGGGCCTCCCCTAGGTCGACTCAGCCTCAAATGAGTACCTGGTGCGGTGTGTAAACATCGCCACTAGGGAGACAAAGGCGGTCGGGCGTGGTGCTGGCCATCCACCCCCTCGTGAACCGTTCCGGCCTTCATAGGTGCTCGCTAACAGCATTTGCCCCTACAGTCTGTTAAGGCTATATGGGGGATCTTTGTTTGTCTAGGTGGGTGGGTAGGTGCACGGATGGGTAGGTGTGTGGGGGTGTGTGTATACAGGTGGTTGGGGACTGTGTAGATATTTGTGATTGTGTGTATAGGTGGGTGAATGTGTGCAGGGGGGTGGGTGTGTATAGGTGTGTGAATTGTATAGGGGTGTGTGGTTGTATGTAAGCAGGTGGGTTGGTAAGTCAATGTTTTTGTGTGTATAGGTCATGGCTAACAGTGATATCTGAACCCATGTCTGGGCCTTCCCTAAGTTGACTCGGCCTTCAATAAGTACCTGATGCGGTGTGTAAACATCATCACTGGGAAGACAAAGGTAGTCGGGCATGATGCTGGCCACACCTCCCCCACCACCCATGCACCGTTCTGGCCTCGGTGTTCACACACAGCACATGCCCCAACAGTCATCGATAACCCTAAGTCTATATAAATCTGTGGGTGTGAGACTATGTATGTATGTATAGGAGGGTGGGTTAATTTAGTTGCGTGCAGATCGGTGTCTGTGTGTGTAGGTGGATGTGGCGCTGGTGACCCACCCCTTCGTGTGTGCCGTGCTGGCCTTCATAGGTGCTACTCTTTGACAGCACCTATCCCAACGTTCTGTTAAGGCTATGGGGGGGGGGAGGGTCTTTGTTTTGAGTGTATATGGATGCCTGTATGTGAATGTGTCTGTATGTATGGGTGGGTGCATGTAGTTGCGTGTGCATAAGTGGATGTGTGTATAGGTGGTTGAGTGTCACCAAACACTCCATCCCTTAGCTCCCCATAGGTGATGGGGCAGTTGTTGAGACAGTGGAGAAGTTTTCATACCTGGATAGTGTGCTTATAACCAGCTTTGGTTTGGCAGTGTAATATTCACTGAATCAGTCGAGTGACATTTTTTCATCAGCTGTGTAACACTGTGTGGAAGCTACCTGGTCTGTCATGCCATACGAAGCTCCAGGTCTTCTCAGCTGCACTTATGCCCTCCCTTTTCTATACTTGTAAAACGTGGACCGCTCTGAAGAACATCTGTGCTGGTTTGAAACATTCAGGCTGGCCTGCCTATGATCCATGCTGAGTTTAACCAGGCTGGATTATGTGAGGAGCTCACAAATCCTTGAACGATCTGGACACATTCCCATTGGTGTGCTCCTCTGGCAGGCGAGGCTGCATTGGCTGGGTTATGTAGTCCACATGCCTAGCCACCGCATGCCCAAACAGCTTCTGTTTGGCCAGATAGAGGAGGCTAAACGGGCGTGGCACAGCAAGAGATGGACTGATGCTGTAGCAATGGTGTAAAGATCAGCCTCTATGGAGGAGGCCCTTGAAGGACGCTACTAGGCAGTTGGATGCAGTCGCCCTCCAACAACAGCGAAGGACAGAGTGAAGCTCACAACAAAGAGTGGAGCGCCGGGTGGCGAAACACAACAATTTGGCACAGTGGGGAGCACAGGTGGGGCATCTGCCAGTCATCTCAGCTAACCCATGGCACCTGCTGGGTCTGTCTCGTGCCCTCCTGCCAGCGAGCCATTGACACTTTACGTGGCCTCAAAATCCACCTAGCCTGGCACAAGCGCCACGGTGATGTCAAGCGCCACTTAGTGGCGAATGGCGGTTGTTGTTCTGTGTAGGTGGATGTATGTGTCTTTTGTCTTTGTATAGCCTTGTGGGTGATTGTAGGTGGGTGTGTGTGTGCATGTATAGGCATGTGGGTGAGCATGGGTGCGTGAAGGTGGATGTGTGTGTGTATAGATTGGTGTGTGTCTGTATAGGCTGGTGGGTGAATGTCGTGGGTGTGGGTATATGTATAGGCTGGTGGGTGAGTGTAGGTGGGTGTGTGTAGGTTTGTGTATATGCGGGTGGGTGCACGTAAGTGGGTGGCTGCCCTGGGCTTGGGAGTGCTGATCGTAGTGTCCCCACGTTTGTTCTGACACCACCTTGGCATGTCACCTGACAAAGCCAATATTGTGCTCCAAAGAAGAGAGCTATGTGATCTCTTTGAACTTAAAGCTAATTAAAAGATTAAACGTATTAACTTAGCCAGAGGACAGTTTAATCCTTGCACATGTACTATATATACACACACATGCACATTCTTGAATGGGACATTTATCATTCCATAAGGAAGACCAAATACACTACCCCCGTGCGCCAACTAAAGTCATAATAACCATGCAAATCGCAATCGATCCCAGTCATATTTAATGACAGACGCCCGCTTACACCAATCATTGTCGTTCAATCAGTCATCATGAGCGTCAAAGCAATTATCATCATCATGTTGTAGATACTGCTAAAGTATTTTGTCACAATCTTGATTTGAAGCTTTCGTGACTGCAGGAATCCATGCTCTTTGGTTCTTTCGGTAAAGTCACGAAGGTAGAAAAAAAGATATCGCGACGTTTCGATCGCAACACGAGCGGTCGTCCTCAGGCGGAAAAAAATTTGTGGGTAAAGTATTTACATGCAGCAATACTCGACATAGTTCCCTAATGACACCTGCAGTTTAACACAGGCGATAAGAACATTACTTGGCACTTCAATTCATTAGTGTTATCCCCTTGCCCATGATAAAAAAAAAAATATTCTCACGCACCATTCTGAAGACTGCGATAAGGCACCGTAATGGTTTTTTTGTGCTGATTATACAGCGCTGCGGCAATGATTCATTTTTACGAGGTATCCGTCTTTCGGGAAAGCAATTGAACACTTAGTCAGGCAGGTGTCGCGTAACTGTAATTACTTGCAAAAAATTGTTCTTGCTCTGCTCAAAATCCAAAGTGTTCATATCGATACCCAGTGTTTAAGCCATGACTTGGCTGCCCAGCAGTGGCGTGGACTATTTTTTCCCCATGGTGAGTCACAATTGTGGTGAGTACATGCAAGAAATTCAGTAGTGCAGATGTTGCTTCGAGACACCGAATATTTGCGCTTAAGACTTTGCTGGTACACCATTTAGAAATATGGGTGATAACTGTTTGCGGTTCACCTGTGGCTGTTCTGAAACACCGTTTCAGGCACATTGCGTCTGTAAATAGTCTACATGAGGGATGGTCAAAATCAAAGATTGAGATCCAATTAATACAACATTTATTTTCTATTGCTCTAACCAAGCAATAGAAAATAAGGGATGTTGAGGGAGACTTGATGAAGTACTATAAAGTACTATTCTTTACCTCTTGTGTACTTTCAATTTCTCATTCTCTAAGCCTTTTTACCACCCTCATATATATTTGCCCTCTGTTAACTGAGGAAAGTCTTGTTGAGTCTAAAATCTCATTTTCAGAAGGGCCCCGAGTTGGAGTTGTTGGCAATTTCCATGAATACATATTTGGTGTGTGTGTGTGTGAAGAAACCAGCATACCTGGAGAAAACCCCCATGGCATAATGGACATCTGTGAAAAAGAGCTTTACAGCTCATCGGATTCCTCCAGTATAAATAAATATTCTCATGATTCTGATGTTGAACTTCTTTCGCACCGTACATAACCAGCCATGAGTATATGGCATTCGGTGCCCCAACACGGAGAGAAATAAATCCACAGATAGACCACGCAATCAACTGAACTGCCAACAGCCCCATACCTACAGCACCTGGTAAACCCCTTGGTCTCTCTTAACCAAGTTCAACTCTGATGAGCTTCCGAGATCCAACGAGGTTGGGCATATTCTGGGGCGATTTGGTCGGAGGAACATTTGCACTGCGTCGTACGATCATAATTCATATTAAAGCTTGTACAAATTAAACTCCTCCACGTAAAAAATCCGTGGGCTGCTGGTTACGATTTGTACGCAGAGTGACATTGCGGCAATGCCACACCTCATTTGTGGCCACAGCTCCACCACCACTCATTACTAAAGACCACATACCCTACCATGCGCTTGTGCCAGTCTGCACCTGCCTGTGTGCGGTGAGACAATTTTGCGAGTGCACGTGTGGGATGTTTACGATAAGGATCTATATAATGTCGAGGTTTCTCTGAAAGAGAAGTGGAATTTTTGCTGAATGTGCAAACTGGCTGGCAGTGACTTGGCAAACACGAATGCAGCACGCGAGTCAGGGGGCTTATAGTTTACACTTCTCTTTAGCATTATGGTCGTATTTATGTCTCTTTTATACCTCCGATTAGCACGGTTGGCTACGTACGGTGAGAATCAAGTTCAACATACATACATTTGATTACATTTAATTTGGCCATTATGTTAATTTAATAAGGAAGCAACGTTACGTTGATTTTAAAGTGTATGGAATGTTGTGGGAATTGCCTGTAATTAAAAGTTCTTCATAGGTATTCTGCCCAAGAGCAGGTCCACGGTGAAAGGTCCCTCCATCCCATTCTGCTTCCCTCTCTTTACACCGCAGACGCTGACTCCACACTTGGGTTCTGAAGGCAGGGGGGGTTTGCCATTGCCTTCCTCTAGTTTTTCTAAAGTGACACCTTTGTCGGATACAGTTTAGTGTCATGCCCAGGAAGGGCTGACACTGTGACGTTATAAAAATGTTGTAAAATGGTTGCGAGGTAATGAGCACCCTTTTCATTTAGCACATTTATTTCATCACAAATCTCTCCCCCGTTGTCACATGCCTACACAAGCCCAAACACAATTGCAAGCTGTATTCACACAAATACAAAATCCCCCGTGTAGCCTTAACAGACTAATGGGGCAAGTGTTGTTAGTGAACACCTATGAAGGCCGGCACAGCACACGAGGGGGTGGGTGGCCAACACCACGCCCAGCCGCCTTTGTCTCCCCATTGGCGATGTTTACACACCGCACCAGATACTCATTTGAGGCGGAGTCGAGCTGGGAGCAGGCCCAGGACCGGTTCAGATAATCGTCACTGGTGTTGGCCATGAGCGGGAATCTAACTCAGGTTGCCGGGTTCGTAGCAGCGCTAACCGCTTCACTACCGCCCCCCCCCCCCACACACACACGTACGCGCAAAAACGCTCGCGCACATGCACCTCCCAACACAAACGGGGCCACCGCTAACACAGCGCATGCAAACACAAATACCACTTGCAGCCAAATGTGCAGGCGAGGAGCGGCCCGCCGCGAGATAGCTGAACACGCTCGCGCCACGAGCCTTGCCCGGCACCTTCTGAAGCGGGCAACCGCCGCGTGTTTGTGACCGCACGCAGGGCGGTGGCCAGGGACCGCGGGGCCACGCGTCGCTCGCGCCTTCGCTGCTGTCCCCACACTCGTGGACGCCCGCCTCTGCGTCGCTCGCCTCCCGCATGATGCCCAACCCCGCGCACCAGCCAGGTTCGGTGGCAGTGGGTGGGGGGGGGGGGGGGGATAAAGAAGCGGAACGTGGCAGCGGTGTGCACCGGCTTGGGATGCGTCACCTGATACTCAGATTCGAAGGTCAAAGGTCAAACTTGTCTTTTGCGCTCATCTCCATCGTCTGGAGATTCCACGTTCCTTCATTCTTATGGTGTAGGGTAGTACCCCCCCCCCCCCCCCCCTCCATAACATGATCACTCTTGTTTTTGGCACAGTCCTACCTATTTTATTGACCACAGAGAGATGATTATAGGCTGCGATTTAAATGTGTTACTTGTTTCCTTCCAATTAATTCAAATTATGTTTGGTAAATTTATTTTAGGGAGTATTTTGCATGTGGGAAGAAACAGGGGGACCCAGAGAAATCCGTACGTGTAATCACATATGAGAGGGTAATTCTCAAAGGTTCGTACAGATTGGTTCAGGTTTTAACCACCCTGCAGCCGGGCAAATTTAGGATTATTTTCGTGATCCATGAACACTTGCCACTAAAGCACCGGCTTACAGGCAAGCGCTACCTATTATTAAACTACTATTTTTATTTTACCAGGTAAGGCCCACTGAGCTATAAAGCTCTTTTTCAGAAGTGACCTGGCCACAATTGATAGCTCAACACAGTAGCTTATCATGCTCTAAAACGCTTGTTTCTAAATGTGGAGGGAAAAACCAGAGGACCCGGAGAAAAATCCACACCTACAGGGAAACATGAAAACTCCAAATATACAACAGGTGTCAGGGTCGGTATTGAACACACGAGCGCCTGCATTGCAGGCGAGGGAGTAAACATCTTGTGACCGCGGCGCTACTACTTGTGGATTATTGAGTATTGAAACAATTCCTTGGTTTTAATGTGCGAGTCCCTGCATATTTCTTAACGTCGCAAGCCGCAATCCTTCCTATGTACCATTTTGGGCATCTTGTGGTGACAACGAGTGGTGGTTCAGTGGTTAGCAAACCGCACAATAAATCTGGTGACCGGAATTTGATTGCCGGAACATGGCTAACATTGGTAGCCAAAAATATCCGAACTGGTACCCGCACTGACCAGTGTGGGGTAAAGTATGGTCAAAGAACCCACATGGGGAGACATTCGCCAAAAGAGTTGTAAAACATTTCTCTTTTTAAAGAGTCATGCATGAGTCACACGTCCTTGCCAGCGGCAGTGTGTGTGTGTGTGTGCTGTAACTGTGTATATACACAAATAGTTTATATATGCTCGCACAATCCTTTTCAACTTGGCCACTGTCCCCACGGAATAGCCAGTCCCCCTTTAAAGAGCTTCCAGAACAAAGCATTGTCTAGTTTACTCATTTAAAAAAATCCCGCTGCTAAGTACCCAATGTGCATTCATCCCTTTATACGAAACAGTCTGTTATGGTGATGGCATCACCTAAAAAACAGTGCTGAGGTAGACACCTTGAACCCACCTCCACTCTCCTTTCTCCGCTGTGGCTCCCAAGAACCCTCGTATGCAGTGTGGTGTTACGAGCTTGGCACGGGGGGATAAGGGGCATGGGATGAGATGGGATGGGGAGGGTGCTTGAGCCAGGAACGACAGCCGAGGGAGACGACAGTGTCATGCAGCGTCACTCTCGGCCCTCTTCCCGTACCAATCATGTGGTCAGCGGTAACAGTTGGTTTTCACTATTTAAGCACTGGTTAAATGCGCAACACCTGTTCGCACCCATCCCTCAAAATATATCCTTAAAACACCTTTGCCTACACCTGGGAATGTTCTGCTGACCGACAGATAGCACTGTGAGAGTGAACTCTACTGTGATCGGGAAACCCAACTGTGACAAGCAGGTCCATGTTCTGAGGGTGCACGATGTTGGTGCTGTGTCTGCCAGGTGGCCTCTTCAGCCCAGTGGGGCGCGTGGGGCGGCCCCCGTCCCTGCGGCTGCACATGGTACGTTCCGTCGGTCATTTAAGAATAGAAAAAATTGCCATCGGACATTTTAAGACGAGTAAAAAGGATGTGCGTGGAATGGGTCACTTTTTTTAGATGTAGCGGTGAGCTTTTGGAATTTTGTGAGTTCAAACAAACTCTTCCTGGTATCAGTTGACAGATAAAACATTTAGTATCTCTTCATTGTATTTTTGTCACTGCAGTACAGTAAGAGGTTTAGTATAGCATCCAATAATTACAGTAAAACCTACAGAAAAGAACAATGATTTGTTTTTGATAAAGCACTCCACATGCCAGGGCATCCCAGAGCACTTTAAATCGCATCTCACCTCGAATATTTGAAGGGACACTCCCAGTGGCAGCTGTCCCTGTTAAAGCACATGGTGACTCGGCACCTGGCCTGCCGACGGGCATCAGTCCGCCAGTAGGAGGTGATGTTTAATTCCCATTGAGTAATTTGCGGGTAATTTTAAAATTTGTGGCACATTTGGCAGCCCGATGCCGGCACAGGATGGCCTGCTCTTACCCATGACATCACACACTCGTTAGCATCCACTGTGAGTGAAGCAGATGGCGCGAAGTATTAATACGGTTATTACCCCCGCAGGATTATACAGGGCAGCCGCTGGATTCGAACCGTGAACCTCTGCAACAAGCGACGAACTCGCTACCGCTAGGCCATGTCGCCTGACAGAAAGCTGATGTCGTTAGGGGGAGTCCCTATTTGCTCGAGGCGACCAGGTGACTCGTGGGGACTAATGCTGACCCGCCCATCCTGTGAAAAAGAGCTTCATAGCTCATCGGATTCCTCGAGTTTAAATAAAGATTATGATTCTGACAATGCCATGTCAGAGCACAGAGCCACTACCGCTGAGAACTTGAGTTCCAATCTGTTTGTCAGCCACCCGCGTTTAAACTGGATTCTGATGTTTAAACTTAGTTACCAATGGCTGTACAAAAAAACACATTAAATAAACCGTTTTCATATAATTTTGGTTATTCCTGGTGTGAGATTTTTTTTTTTATTAAAATGTGATTTACATGTGCCAAACAGGTTGTGTTCCCTGGTGTGCATAGAGAGGCTTATTGAAGGGACTCAGAAGTGGTGTTGTGATATCTTCTTGTGTAATGCGGCTGAACCTGCATTGAATTCATAATATTACACCAATAGCCACATATTTGTATATCAGGGAGAAAAAAGAGGCAATAATATGAAGGTTAAAAAAAAAAATTCTTAGAAAGCCAGCTAAAAAGCCATATGTTTACCTGTATTAATGTCTTGTCACAGGTGTATCAACAATTCACTTTACCTTGCACTTGGCAGATATAGATTGTTAGGACTTATTTGTAGTCGAACTTTAGGCTCTTGGTTAAAATAATAAGCACTTATTGCTCTATTATGGTCGATTATCGTGGCTTCCAGATTGGTACTAATTGTCTCGGTCACAGAATTACAGCATGGGACTACAGCGCTTCGTGTCGCCACAGAATTTAACGGAGAAATGTATATGCGTATAGCCGTAACAGACTTTTGTGAGCAAGCGCTGTTCGTGAGTGCCTACTAAGTCCGGCATGGCACACAACATGGTGAATGGGTAACACAGGCTATGTCGCCCCCCCCCCCCCCCCCCAAATTCTGGTATTTACATACCGCCACAAGGTACTCATTTAAGGCTGAGGTGACCTAGGGGAGGCCCAGGACCGATTCATCTATTCATCACTGATATTGGTTATGAGCGGGAATCAAACTCAGGTGGCTGGGTTTGGAGTGCGCTAACCCACTACACTACCGCTCTCCACAAACACGAAAAAGACAGAGATCCCCCGTATAGCCTTTTACTTTTGGAGCAGCTGCTGTTAGGGAACACCTATGAAGGCCGGCACGGCATGCGAGAGGTGGGTGTCCAGCACCACGCCCGACCGCCTTTGTCTCCCCAGTGGTGATGTTTACACACCGCAGCAGGCACTCATCAGAGGCTGAGTCGACCTAGGGGATGGCCCAGAACCGGTTCATATAGCCCGTCGCTGGTGATGGCCATGAGCGGGAATCGGACACGGGTCGCCGCTTTTTTTTAGCAGCAACGCGCACACACACACACACTCGCGACACTCTTGTCAGAAGTGTAGCTTGAACGGTGCGAGTTCCCGTGTACGTGCTACTCGCGCCGCCAAGGCGAAGCTGGCAGTCGGGCAGTGTCAGAGCTCGGCGTTGTAACGCGCGCGACCCACCTCGAGTGGGGTGGTCAGCTAGACTCGCTGCCAAGGACCTTTTAGTTTCCCAAGGATGCGCCTGGCGGGTGCTCGGGTGTCTGGGTCAAGAAGCGGGGTTGCTGCTTCATTTGCGGAGAGTATCACGAGGCGTGCAAGCAGCCACATCCGTTCCCCTCTGCGCGCTGCTTTCTGTCCATAATACAGGTTTTTTGGCTTTCTGCCGTTGGGAGACCTGTCCTTGCACCACAGCTTTCACTCTTCCTGACCCGCTTGACCTGTTGAATCTGAATTTATATTCCAGTCTCCGCTTTTTCAATATTTTGTTGTTTCTTTTATATTATTTTGGTTCGAGTGTTCGGTCCTCCAAGGACTGTGTTTTAATGGTCACGTGCACAAAGAGGAACGCAGTTATGCATATTTTATCATTTGTCCGCCACACATGAAAACCGAAAATGTTATCAGAACTTCATGAATATAGTTATCATTCTCACATTTTTTATAACATTGTGCGTAATATGATATGCATGATGTGTTGATTTACTTATGCGCAATGTAAATTTACATACAGATAACCACATTATTTTCATATTAATGATTACTCACCGCTTAATTTACATACATATAATTCACTCTGTGCTAGCCATAGAGGATCACCACTGAGGATGTGGCACGATGAGATTTGCCCGTGAGAATTCGCCAGATGGGTTATTGGCATCAAAAGACGATGTGTGGTGGCACTGATGTGGGGAGGCCTTCATCCTGCAGTTGATTGATCATGGCTGATGATGATGAAGATGATGATACAAGCTACCCAATAGCAAATCATATGCCGGTATAATGAAACAAGAGGCTAATTAAGAATAGTTTCAGGGTTTTATTACTGTCATTGAGAGGATAGAATCTGGATTTTTTGGCCCACTGACCCTAATATGTACAATGCCTAACGCTATCACATGCATCACTTTGATGCTGGGCTTTGCTTCAACAGTTTCAATGCATTATGGCCCAGTGTAGACAACACCTGGTATTGGACCATAGCACAAAATCGTCAATTTCCTTGAGTAATTCGCACAATGCTTCCTTCCGAAAGCGTCGTTTACACCCGGTGACAGCCCATTGAGGCGTGATGTGCCGCTTGCAAAGGAGACCTGGGGATACAAACCAATGTAACCTACATGGATCTGCCTACTTTACACGCAAACTAACACTTCCTTAATGTGCAGGTGACGAGGAATAGAGCTGCCTGATCAGCTTGTCGTAGCCTCTGAGGCCGGGATTATTGATGGAGTGCCCACGTGATCAATGATGGAGTGCCCGCGTGTCACGTCCGTTGACTTGCCCTCTCCCTTCCCTTGCTACGGTGACGCAGAACGAGTCTGGCCCGGGGGCGGCCTGCCTGAGGCTGGAGGCGGAGGGTGACCCCGCGGTGCGGGAGACGGTGAGGGCTCGGCCTAAACACTTGCTTCCACGCGGAGTTGCGCTCGGTCAACTGGGGAATTAATTTAGAGAGGCGTAGTAGCGAACATTATTTTTCAAGACATTGTTTGCTCACCGCGGAGAACACACGGGCAGTTCACCTGCGTGCGCGAACCGCGAGCCCCGCCGCACCCGTCGGCGACGTTTCCCCGCTCGAACCGACGGCGTGCGTTGGCCCCCGCCAGGTGGTGGCCCTGTACGACTACACGGCGCGGCGCTCCGACGAGCTGAGTCTGCGCCGCGGCGAGCGCGTCCTCGTCGTCTTCAAGGACAACGAGAGCTGGTGGTTCGGGCAAGCGGACGGGCCCGCCGGCGCTCAGGGATACTTCCCGGCGAGCTACGTCGCCGATCAGAGTGAGCAACGGGGGGGGGGGGGGGATTTATGGTCTCAATCATCGTTTCGACTTGTGGTGATGCGTCGCAGTCGTATCCGTTCCCGAAGAGAGAGAGAGAGCGAGCGAGCGGATGGCTCGGAGGCGCGAGGAACCACGGAGAAGCTGGAAAAGCAGCAGCCGGGTACCAAATTTCCCCCCCCCCCCCCCCAAGCTCTGCGGTCCTCTATGTATTAAGGTGTTTTCAACCAATTAATGAGCGCTTCCACGTGGAAGGAAATGGTAGCACCCAGAGAAAACCCACGAATGCGAGGGGGCAATACTTTCCTTACGTATGTATGTATGTTGAACTTCTTTCACACCGTACGTAGCCAACCGTGCCGATTCCATGCAGAAGGAACAAGTTGCGAGTCCACATCTTGCTGTACCGCTGTCTTCTCCTGGCGAGCCGGTGTATGGCTCCTCCTCGACTCCCGTGGGAAGGGAGTTTTTCATAACTTTTGTGTGATCCACCAACCCCAAGCCTCCGCGGTCCTGGATTGCAGGCGTGTGCAGAGCCACAACAGCACTCTTGTGGGATAATTCTTGCCTGCGCTGTGCCCACAGCGGTCCGACACTCGTTTGAAACTCCACGAATGAGAGAATAGATTGGGAAGTCGCGGTCAGACGACTCTAGTGAAGCCGCTGCATTGATTAATTGGATTTTATTAGTTTGTATTCATTCAAATATTTCGCATGGAGAAATCCCTTGAGATGGATCAATTCGTTCGCAAGGGTATCCAGGTTACCAGTTGAAAATGCATCGTCAAGCCATTTGGGAGTGACATCACAATGACCTCACTCAGGCACATAACATATGGCATGCCTGACTAATTTTATAACTCACAGTATAACACTATAACTCAGAGTACAATAGTATATGTTTGTCCTTATTAACAAAACATCGAATTCATTTCGATTTAAAGCTTTCGTGACTGCAAGGATTCATCTTCTTTGGTTCTTTCGGTAAAGTCACGTAGAATGAGAATAAAATAATAAAAACTTCGTGAGAATTTTATTGTGTTATTTTATTTTATCAATTTATTATTTTATTCTCATTCTACGTGACTTCACCGAAAGACCCAAAGAACATCGAATTAATGTCAGACAGCCTGGGTTACGCACCTAGGTACAAATGTACAAGATACTAGTTATTATTTTTTTGCATTTTTTCTGAAACGAGCGATTAGCTCCCTTGTCAGAGGCCGCACATGATAGCTCATCAAAGTGGTTTACCACGTGTGGGAATTTACAGTAGCGAGAGAGAGAATGCCCAAACTCCTAATATACAACTGGCATTATCAGAGTCGGGATCGAACTGAACCCACAACCTCATGCATACCAGGCGAGTGAGATGACATCATGGACTGTTGACCAGTGCAGGGAATGTTGGTTCTTGCTATGGGAATGTGGACATTCCATCATTTTCTCAAGGTCTCCAGCCTCACTGCTCTTCCAAGCAGAAACAACTGACTTATGATTGTTTAACCTTACGCTGATTGACATTAGTCCCGTGTTGCATGTTCCCTACTGTGTGTGTGCATCCGTACCCCATAACCCTTCATCAGTGTGAAAGATTTTCACGTTCTGATGCAACGAACTACGGCATATCAGTTCCTGCCATTGTTTAATTCATATCGAATTTATAAATGTTACAGCTGTCATTGTAACATTCGACTACTCTTACCTTCAGAGCATTTATATATTTAAATCACTCTCTTCATTTTGGTGCTGCCGGGGACGTGGTGTAGAGGCTTGAGTGCCTTGCATACCAGAGGAACTCTGCTGGATAGGGGCACCTGCATCATTCGGGTGCTCGGTGAGAGGCGAGATAAAACACGGTTGCTTCACCAGCCCTTACCAACCAGCACAGTGAAGTATGGTGAAATGAACAAACCCCAATGACCCGACACGTTTAGATCGAATGGCGACGGCACAGCAAGGCCCTCTTGCAGCAACAGCTATACGCAGGTTCATGTAGCTCAATGGGGCTGCCGCGGTGGCGAGATGTTAACTACCTCGCCTTGTATGCAAGAGGTCGTGGGTTCTCGCTCTCAACTCTGACGCCTGTATATTTGGAGCTTGCGTGTTCTTCCCGGTGCTCGCGTGGGTTTTTCTCCGGGTCCTCCGGTTTTTCCCTCCACATTTAGAAACACGCGTTTAGAGTATTTTGGCTGCTATAAATTTGCACGTGCTAAAGCCACTTCGTTGAGCTATCATTTGTGGCCAGGTCGCTTCTGCAAAAGAGCTCTATAGCTCAGTGGGCCTTGCCCGGTAAAATTAAAATTGTTTAAGTCTCATTAATAACGTGTAAATGTAACCAATTTTTTTCGGCACGTTTTTTGTTGTTTGCCCGGAGGAATATTGTTGTTGAGCCCACAGCCCGGCTGCGTGCGTTGCCACGTGGCTTCCCGCCTTCACCGCCCACCGCCGCATGTTGCCCGTGATTGCCGACGTCCCGTTGCATCGCCCCCCCCCCCCCCGCCTCTCCCCAGAGACCTATGAGGACGAGGAGAAGTTGGACACGTGGCAGGGAAACTCGGACGCGAGTCGCGACCTCTCCAGCCGCAGCTTGCACAAAGCCAACTTGGTAACCCTAATAAAGGTTTATTTTTTTGAGGGGGGGGTGGGGTGGGGTTAGATCGGCAAAATATAGTTCGCACCAATATAAAATTTTACCAGGTAAGGCCCACTGAGCTAAATAGCTCTGTTTTTGAAGTGACCTGGCCGCAAATGATAACCCAATCAAGTGGCTTATTGCGTGGAAATTTATAGCAGACAAAATACTCTAAACGCATGTTGATTCTAAATGTGGAGTGAAAAACCGGGAGTCCCAGAGAAAAATCCACACCAACACGGGGAGAGAGACATGCAAACTCCACATATACAGGCGTCAGGGTCCGGATCGAACCCACGACCTCCTGTATACCAGGCGAGGTAGTTAACATCTCCTAGCCACCGTGGCACCCTTATATTGCAAACGAATGGGGAAAAAATATAATTTGATATAATATATATAAAAGCGAAATTGACGAATATGTGTGTCTGTTCGAAATGTTGAACATACTTCCTGACATGCAACAAACTTGAAATTTTGCATGTGGGTAGCTTCCAGACTGTACACAATGCAAAAAGTATCAAAATAGACTTTTGTATTTTGGAGAGGTGGGGGGGGGGGCGCAATAATGGATGTATTTTGCACGGCAAGTGAGCGGTGACGTCACATCTGTGATGTCACCCGCATGCGGCAGCGTCACGCAGTGTGCCTGCTGACGTCACGCATCCCCCCTCCCCGCCACCCTCCGCGTAGGCCGTGTATTAATCCAAGACAAGAATCCAAGTCTCGGGCGAAGCCGGGTAGTAAAGCTAGTTTGATATAATTCGTGGAACCGACCGCTGGTTGTTGAATACAGGTGAATGAGGAGGTTGCCAGGAATTTCATGGCAGGATAGGGTAAGCAGCATGTAACAACACATTGATACAATATCAATTGGTATGTTCACGATACACGCACCGAATCTTGTGTGCGAGAAACAACTGTAGTATTTTCGATTCATTATGGGTTGTATGTCATGGGTTAACACAACCCCTTTCAGCCACTAAGATGCGCTACGTTCATAAAATAAAAAAAAACAGACTCTTGTATTGCACAATAAAGAGCTAGATCGCGTGAATATAAATACGTCGCTAAACCCGCCACCACCCCGACACAACCAATTAGTGAGGTTTGTCACGTAAACACAATGTGCCAAATCGTTACTACTTCAGCACACCGGTTGGGTTTGGAGAGTAGACCCTGCAGCGCGATGAGTGTTCGGCGTTTCCTTCCCGACAAGTGGTCTCACCGTCTAAAAGATAATGCACCAATTCGTAACGCAAATGCGGCTTTGTGTTTTCAGAGTGTGACATACGACGTATTAACAAAAAAAGGAAGCGTCTAATTCAGTGTGTTCCTGCAGCCAATTCCAAGATTTTACAATTCTTGCGACTTCCGTGCTAAAATCGTAAGGCTTTGCTAATGACCCTTATATTAGCTGCTTTCTGTTCGTGTGATGTGCACGTGGGAATGTGAACCTGTACACATTCGCCTGTTGAGACAACGGCCAAAATCCATGGCATGGGCAGCTTTCCCCATCGCTGGTGATGGAGCTGTTCAGTCCAGTTTTGCCAAAAATGGTACCGAAGGGAAATGTTCACCAATGCAGCAACGTACAAACGACTGCACCCACACTTCACCCCTTTGGTTTATAACTCTTGTTGATATGCTATAAGTCAACGAAAAGTGGTTTCCCACTCGTACGAGCATAGGAAGGTACTCGTTATCCCATTTACATGCTGGAAAATCTACATTCCCATGGTGGGGACAGGTTATTTCCATAAAACAACCACGAGCGACTCCCAAAAAGTGGTACCCATTTTATCAGCCCCCTGATGTTGACCTCGCAATCTCCAATTGCAAGCCACGCACCCTCCCCGGTTTGCTATCCGCACAGATATTATTCATAGTATTAAAATGTCGATAACCATCATTGCAAAGCGCGAACATTGGTTCTCATTACAATATTATTTCCTTTATCATCGCCATCGTTTTACAATATCACACTGCCGTTCATAATGATAGCCAGCAATAGGCAGCGAATACGAAAATCCGTTTCTGCCCACTGCAATCTTTTTGCGGTTAAACAGAAAGAGTGCCCTGTGGTCACAGCACGCTTTGCCGGCAGCGAGAGGTGTTGGAAACGCCGCTCTCCTTAACGATTTATGTCACCGCACACGGGCCTGGTAATTCCACCGGTAAAGTGATTTGAAGCGTAGGTAGTCGATGTGTTAAGGCTTCACTTCATGTTCGTCTCTATGTGTGAATGAGAGTGAGCCTGTGCTAACTAATGTTTTTTTTTTATACGCCACTAACCCATTGTTACACCAGTTGGGCTACCCAGGCGACGCTTGCAAGCAGCCTGACTAATACTGAAAAGAAATGGTTCCATGTTTTGGAAAAGTTCCCGAGAACACTGTCACCTGTAGGATGTGCAACACCCACGCACTCGCACACACCTAACATTTTCCAAGGCTTGGAAATGACGCGTCACAATTCAACGACGGTGTGTTTCTCAAAACTCACCACACTTACGAGCATGGTGCACGTGCACTGATATTCATTTAATAAATACGGACATCCCATTTGTATATTTTTTTTTGGGGGGGGGGGGGTGGGTGGGTTGGCAATTTGATATTCACGCTGTACTTTATTTCTACAAAATTAATCGCAAATGGTAATTTGTTTAAAGATTTGGAGTATGGCATTGGTGCGCAGTGGTCTTTTCTTACAGCGTGATTTTGACCAGGGCAAGGGGTCTTTAATGCGGACTTATTGCTTTTGTGCGTGCGTTGGTTGTTCCTCAGTCATTGCTGGGAGGTTATGGGTATTCAACTACAGACTCCGCACAATCTGGCGAGCATGTGAATACATTCGCCATTCAGCCTTCGTTAAACTCGATCGAGCGCACAGCGCACGGCACGCACAAGACAGCCTTAATTTATTGCCGTTATGATTGATTAAACCCAGCTTGCTCATGTGTTTGATGGGCCTATAAATGTTCAGTTATTCTGTTCCCAGTGATATTAGTGAACAATTGATATGCACGCGATAAGCGGCTAATGACTCTGCACGGGTGTAGTGGCTTTCTCTACCATGACCAAATATATACTATCAATCACATTCATTAAAAGACTAATCAATACCAAATGCCATTATTGCCTAACCTTTATAGGTTAGATGATGCAAGACATTTGTGAAAATTGATGCAGTCATGTAATTTTGCAAAAAAACAAACCAAGACCTCTATAAGACATTGATACATAATTACAATAAAAAATTAGACACGAATCTGGAACGGCTGTATTGAGATAGCACGAAGCAAGTAACAAATCCTAATTAACAGGGGAACCAGACAAAGAGACGTGCTTTGGCCAGATATTCACTGCTGCATTCGACGATGTTTTATGAAAAACGCATTGAAGAAATAAAGGCATAAACGCAAAGTGAAAAAAATATATGAACCGTATAGGATTTTCTATCACCATAGTCAAAAGCAACCCATTCAAATTAACCGCGGGACAGGTTCGAAGCACGTAATTAAACGAGGTTGCAAAATCGGGGCTCAAGATGAAATGAGCAACAACAACAACAACAAAAAAGTCACGTGCAACAAGTTCTCTAAATGATTAAAATTCACTGGTGAGAAGGGCGCGACCGGCAAACGCATCGGAGAGCATTGAAGAGGGGAGCATGACAAAGGGTAGCGTCCACCGTGGAGATGGAGTGATGAGACCAACTCGCGTGTGGACGTGCATCACCATGACGGGATGGCCACAGCCTGGTGGTCCCCTCATCCAGCAGTAGATAGATTATTTTCTATGGTGATAAACAGGCTTTCGCGACGAATATTATCCATCATAGAGGTTCTTTTGGGTTCGATCGCGTAAATACGAATGTGTTGTGGGTTTACTCTCCAACACACCGGTGTGCTGAACTAGTAACGAATTGTACTCTCTGATTCTATTCGGTAAAGTCACGTAGGTAAAAAATAAAATAACAAAAATCACGTTAGGGGATAATTGGCTGTGTCGGGTGGTGGCGGGTTCAACAACACATATTTACGCGATCTAACCAAAAAAACCTCTGTCGTGGATCACGATAAACTTATTATTCTTCACTCATGCCCAGTTTATTTTAAAGCACACCTGAGGTTAAGCTACCAAATCTGTGTGCAACCTACCCGAGGTCAAAAATATGGCAAGGACCACTTTTATAAATCGAAAAAGAATGAAACACACTCGAGTGCTTTGCAGGTTTATTTAGGGGCCTTGTGGGGGTGAACGAATGCGAAGGAGAAAACAAAAAACGATGACAATCTCAGCAGTGAGAGTTGCTTCCCCGTAACGTCCCATTGTGTGTGACGTTATGGGGAGGCGCACAAAGGACCTTCAACCAAGACCTCTCACCCCCCCCCTTTTCCTGAGCGTGTGAATAGAACCTCTCTAACTTCAGCTTTTTTCCTTTATTAATTATTCTCAATGGAATTAAATGGTGGGGGGGGAGGCGCATAAAGACACTTGCGCTTTTGTACAGTGCAACACTTTTGTATTTGCCATTTCATGATTATTAACGTGGCAGTTCAAGATTATGGGTTTGGGCATAGCTGTATTGTCTCAATGTCTCATAACGTGGCCATAACATGTTTTTAGATAGAACCCATCTTGAACCACTAGACCAGAGACATTGACCACTGGTCACTTTCAGTTACTTCGACAACGCTAGAAAGGTTTTCAGAAATTCAATGAGCCGCACGCATATCTTCGATTTTATCTAAAAAATAATCTTTACTCTGAGTTTTTAAACTTAATTTTTAAATAGATTTTATACTTAAAGATTTCGTGACTGCAGGAATTCATATTCTTTGGGTCTTTCGGTAAAGCCACGTAGATAGAAAAATAATAAAAATATTTTTCTATCTACGTGCCTTTACCGAAAGAGACCCACAGAATATATTTAATACTGTATTGCAGTTTTGTTTAATATTATTATTTTTACTACAGTGGATGTTTACATATTTTTGTATTTATTACAAATGGTTAAAACAAGAATGTAAATCCCTGCAGTCACGAAAGCTTTAAATCAAAGGTTAAAACATTGTTTTGGAAGTAGAGATTTAGATTTTTGTTTTAACGGTGTGATATACATAATCACACTACCCTGTCTCCAAAATATCAGTGGAGTTATGGAATAGAGGTATCCTTATCCCAAAATAAAGGTATCCTCACCACAAACCTCCACCTATTAATACGTATGCCAATCTGTCCATGTTCCGTAAGCTCTTTATAACCTAACCGCTTGTCTGTGAGCTTCACCATTGCTTTGCTTTCCTTAATTTGGCTCCGCGTGCCGTGCGTGGGACAGTACTTTACGATCGCCCGCCTCCCGTGCCGTTCCAGACGGGCGACGCTGCCAGCCGCTCTGAGGCCGTGCCAGAAGCCGGGACGGCGGACAAACCGTGAGTGGTCGAACGCCACTCTTCCGCTCACCGCGTTGGATGGCCTGCGCGTGCGTTCGTGCGCGCGCGTGCGCACTGCGTGGGGTTAATGAATGCACGGCCGGGTGAATAATTTGCGCCGTGAAAGTGGTCTCGCTGTCGAGATCAATAATCGGCCGTGACGCTGACAAGCTTGGGCCCATTGACGGCGGCGTACTCAGAGCACAAAGCGCACTTTGGTTGGGGGTCAAGGTGTCGGGCCCGGAGGTCGTCGGCACCCGACAAAGACGGCGATTGTGAATGTGTTTTTTTAAAGGAGCTATTTGTGGCAGCAAACTTTTTTTCGGGAGCCTCGCAAGGCTCTCGATTGATTAGAAACCTATACATCATGCGAATGGAAACGAAAGCTTTAGCCACGGACGTTTTCATCAGTTAATATTCTACGTTTTAAGTTCAGGATTTTTTTTTTGTTTCCAACAGGTGTATTAAGGGGTTGTGTGTGCTGTGCTGTGTTGTGTTAAAATATTCATTAGGTGGCTCGTTTTAGACCTGTTACAGGTGGTGTCTTGCTAACCACAACCCTGCTCTTTAAATTGAACAACCTCTTTTGCACTATTTGCTGCACATGTGGATACGATTGTATACGATACCCTTCCATTCAGCAGTGGTACACAACAATACTAGAAGACTGGCTGAGGTTTGGCACAGGTAGTTTGTACAAGTGAATTTAGTTTTTTTATAATCTTTCCACTTTGAGGACAAAGTGAAACTTGTATGCCAGTTCATAACGGTAGTTTTTTTTTATTGCACAGCTTATCACTTATGTTTTGATTCATTGCGTTTTTTGGTGTTGCAATTATTGGTCACCCAGCCAATCGTACAGTCTCTTTGGCGTGCGTGTGATAGCGGATTCCCATGTCACGTTGATGCGCACAACTTGTAAGAGCCTCGCGGTATTGACTGGCAGTAGCCATAAAGAATGACTTGTCAATGACTCCCCCCCCCGCCTCCCCCACTCCAGGAGAGCTACGCTGAGACGAAAGAAGACAGTGGCCAAGTCGGATTCTCTTTATCCGGCCGTGCCCACCAAAGGTCCAGAGGTGATCACAGGAGCCGGTCACTCTCTGGTGGCCGGGGACACCAACCTCGAAGCAGCGGTGAAGAAACCGCGGAAGAAGAAAGTAGCAAAGGAGAGCATGGACACAGGAGGCAAAACCAACAGTGCATTTGATCCTGAGTAAAATGCCGTGTCATTTCGTAGCCGTACTCCACGCTAAGTATGCTATGTCTGTATACGCTACGCGTAGACATAACGGATGCGCATTTGCACGTACACTTTCTTATTACGTATTCATCTGTTGGGCGACAAGTCCATTTCACAGTTTCAGCGAATAATATCCCAGAGGTGGAGGGTGGGTGGCAGTACGAACGTTGTCATCCGAGTTCGGTTCCCTGCATTGGCTCACATCAGTGGTGAATGATGTCTGTGCTGGTCATTGGAATCCTCCCTTAACCAACCTGCGCTGACCAAGCTTGGTGAAGCATATTCAAATAACACGCCGTGACTGTAGGGCGTGGGTTACGGCTGACAGGTCCAGTAGCAGAGACGCAGGGGATGTGAGTTTGCTCATTTGTAGTTTGCACTTGCGCGGGCTGGCTCAAAGAGCGTGGACAGTGTTGGCCTGTGACTGACTTTGTTACTGCGAGGAGTGGAGAAAGCCCCCTTCGTGGGTGACCGATGTTAGTTGGGAGGCAAGGTTGAGAGAGACGCTTGCACCGAGTGGATTTTCAATGAGACCATCAACTGTTAACTTTGTTATGATTTGTAGTCTCCTTTAACCAGGACACGGTTTGTTAAATGTCCTCATAAGCTAATTCATGTAACTTTTTGTTACATTTTAAGTACACTATGTAACGTATGAGATTGAGTCTGAATAATGATAACCAGCAAACTTGCGCAAAAAAAATTAACGCTGTACAGTTTATGTACTGTCTGTGTGGAACTCTTTTATAGCCTACATGGGGTTTGTATGTTTTCTACACTTTTGTATTTTAATTCACAGTACGCCTCAAAATGTTACGTATAAAAAAAATGTGAGCGATACTTTTAAAAGATATAACAGCACTTTGCTTATTGTTACACCGTGGGAACTAATTTATGCTTTGGATTGTTGATTTAATTTTTTTCTAAAATCAGTATTAAAATTTTTGCAGTGAAGCCGATTCCAAAGCCATTTTATATTTAATTTTATTGTATTGTGCTCAGTAACTTTTGTGTCAAATTCTTTTATTATTAATAACCCACTTGTTGTTGCTGAGATCCATGATTAAACCTGGATCTCGAGTGTCATGAGTTGATTAGCTCAGACCCTGGTCACTTATGACCACACACAAAAAATAAACCTAAAACATAACATTTTCGTTTTTTATTTAGTTTTACTAAAATCCAGCGCTTAGACTTAAACACATTCATATACGTATAGGTTTTCCCACCATGCGATGGCCGTTTCTCTGTATCCAGGCATTTGTGGGAAGGCACGTCAAACAAGTGTGCCTTAAAAAGAGTGATTGAAAGGCGTCACAAGTCGTAAGTCCGAAAGCACCTCCTGTGGACTGATCTTTAGCACATGGTGGGGCAGGGTGGGGGGCCATGCCTTGCTCTGCGAATGGACACATCGGCCTGTGACAAAATGCCGACAAGCACGATTTGAATGAAGTTGGGAGCAGAAATTAAATAACACGGTTATGTTAATGGCCGTGTTTCTCTATATTAGTCTCCGTGTTGACATGAGATGCAACTCCTCACTCACTCTTCAGACGTAGTATTGAGATTCCACTGCGTTAAACCTTGTTTGAGAACGCGGAGGTGTGTCGACTGTTAAACTATGATTATACAGTGCCAAATACAGTGTCATTGAAATATCAGGATAATTCAGGGGTGGGAATTTTGGCATATCCGTTTTCTGAACAAACCTCATTTCCATTTAGACCAAATGTAGCCTCTTTACAGCTTGTAATTTTATTTCAGTGGTCAACTATTAAAATTGTATTGAAACACAACTACTGTAGTGTATAATGTATTTAACTAAATGCAAATAGAAGCATTTGATCTGTAGTGGTGGTAAGAGCAGTCCTGTGCTGGGCAGTAAACCATAAACCTTTTTTTATTTTACCGGGCAAGGCCCACTTATTCTTGGTTCTTTCGGTAAAGTCACGTAGAAGGGAAACAATGAAATAATAAAAATATAAACAATGAACAGCAAGAAAATGTTCTTGCTGTGGTTTTCACACCTGATGATGATTGCTTGTGTTGCAGTCGAAACGTCGTGAGAATTTTATTGTTTTATACTTTTATTATTTTATCGTTTCCCTTCTACGTCACTTTACTGAAAGAACCAAGAATATGAATCCCTGCAGTCATGAAAGCTGTAAATCAAAATTTAAGGCCCACTTAGTTATATTGTTCTTTTTCAAAAACGACCTGGCCATAAATGATAGCTCAACGAAGTGGCTCATGCGGAAATTTATAGCAGCCAAATACTCTAAACGCGTGTTTCTAAATCTGAAGGGGAAAACTGGAGGACCTGGAGAAAAATCCACGCTACCACGGGGAGAGAGACACGCAAACTCCAAATGTAGAGGCGTCGGGGTCGGGATCAAACCCACGACCTCCTGATTATCAGGCGAGGTAGTTGTCTCGCTGTTACACTGCATGGTGTGCTGGGTTCTCCAGTCCCCTACTATTTTGTGCCCTGTAAAACCCCTTTGTATAGGAAACATGCAATATCCACCCCACGTAATTTCGAGGACAGAGTTATTTCAGAAATGCGGTGTTAAAATGCAATAAGTGGCGTTGGTATTGTGCCTACAAAATTGTCAATGGTAAATACCAGCCAGAAAACTAAAGCAGTAAATGTAATATTTGTATCACAGATCAAGGCTATTGTAGCAATGTGACTATATCCTTTGGCTTAAACCTGAATAAACACATCTATAGTACATGTGAGTGTAGAGCTCCATCTAATTGTGTTATGGTCTCCTGTCGACAAACGGTATTTGTAATGTGTTTATATACCCAGTAAGCATCAGCAAGGATTATTTCAGCATGTTTAATAAGAGGACGGCACTCGTTCGTGCTTCACGGTGGCCGTGGGGGGGGGGGGAGTGGGAGTCCCATTGCGCTTTTAACCAAGTCCCCGTGGGACCGAGTACTTAGCAGACCTACGTTAAGTGTTCCACGCGGACCACTTCGTTTTGAGATCCTTGGTCTCCTCGCTAATGAAACATTCATGCGATCGCGCGCCTTACAAAGACCACAATGAAAAACCCGTAAGGACAGCGAAACGCGTGCGCCTATTGTCATGCGGAGAAACAGGTGGCCCGGGGCGAAATTTGTTTCTCCACCCCCTTGTGTTTCCCTCCCACCCGCAAACCAAATTTTAATTCGATTCGGCTTTGGCAGGTGCCAGTCTGTGGACCTGACAAGACACCCACAGATGTGGGCGAGAAAGTGATAAATAATACAGCATCGATTCGCGCACAAACGAAGCCACCACTCACCCCGCCGCCACCCGTAACACCCCGAGAGCCTCCTCCTGCTGCTGCAGCCCCTCCGCCCATCTCGCCGTCCCCCGATTGGGTTCATCAGCAGGCTGAGCGGGCCTCCCCCTGGCCCGGGGACGAGACAATGCGCCGGCCGAGACAGATGGCAAACAGGGCCCGTGGCAGATGCCTGCCATCTCGCGCCGAGGTGGGTGCCTCATTACTCCGCAGATCTCCTCCTCCTGGCTCCCCGCCTTTTCTGCTTTCCTTTCAGCTCGTGCGTGTACGACCGCTTTGCAGTGAAACTCATTATATTCGGCACATGTTTTTTTTAGAAGTGGTTCCTCGATGGGGGAGGGGGGGGGAGGTGTTACACAGCTCCCCGAGTAATTTTAAACACTTGGATTTTAAAAAGTGTTTTTGCCAATCCACATACTCGGAACCATTACCGAGTGTAGTTCCTTCCACGGACCTTAATCCACATCAGACGTCAGGGATGAGAAGTATAAAATGGTAACATCTTGAATGAACACAAAAGAAGCAACTATTTTTAAAACACACTTTATTAAGACAACTGAGCCACATCCACCACTTTGTTTTCACTTGTAAAATGTAGGTTAGCATTGTTTTGCAAATGACACTGAAATGGTCGACTTAAAACAGGTGTTTATCAGACTTTAAAATTTTCCTTCCAATCTGATAAAAAAACCTAGAAAATATGCATTTAGAGTCTGACAAACTCTCTAAAAAAATTGTGGCACAAACAGCAGCGTCCTTGGCAGTGTGTTTCGTGAACAAAACATGGTCCCTTCAAAGCACATTCACTTATCAATTACAAAATGAACAAAATCCTATTTGGCAGTGCGTTACATTCAGGAAAAAAAGCACGCTGGCAGTTTGAACACACAAAACAACTACTGGCAATCAAACCAACAATATTAACTTGCAAACAAATTAATTGTTTTTAAGGAACCAAACTTGTATTCCTTCTCAGCTGCTGCTTAAAGTAACTATTGGTAGACAGTGCAGTACCCAATGACATACGAGCAACTGTTTCGAAAGCACGTGAGAATCTGTGAAGGAAACGTGACATCGATAGGTTTACATCTCCACCTTGCTGGACACCGGCTATTAACGCCACAGTTCTGTTGTTAAAAAGACAGATGATTTAATCATGGCAGTTTCCCGGTACATTTAGCAAGTTACAAAAAAACACCAAGGAAATCCAAATGGCAGATATCAATAGTTATGGCTGACGAGTCTGCGTAAAGACCGTCTAATATCGGTCAATTAAATTTCCTTTTATTTTTACTTGGTAAGTTACGAGCTCTACGGATAGTGTTGTGTTTGAAAAAGAACAGCATTGAGTTCAGCATTTATGAAAATTAAGAGGATCACTGTCGCACACGTTTGGCAATGGAGACTGCCTCAACAGCCGAACATATTTAGGGTCAGTGGGTGACCGTACACTCGGAATCTGTAGTAGCTTTCACTTTTAATTCACAACACTTAGTGCTATCATGCTGTAGCGTCTATATTTGTACAGCGAAACAGAAAAAAAGGTGCAAACGTAACGCTTAAAAAAACACCTCACGCACAATATACAAACTATGAACAATCAAAAGGTCACAACACACATCTAAAATAACTAGTCACACCCCCCCCCCTACCTTATAGTTCATCACCAGTAAGGGTGCAACACACTCCAAACTTTACCAACTACATTCTATCGTCGTGCAGTGCACGTGTGTCGTGCGGTTCCCTTCATTTTTGCCTTTCGAGGTGTGCTCGCCATTCCCAGTGGCTGTGTTGTCTCCGGGTTTGGCAATTTGCCTTCCCCAGGTCAGTGCTCAATGCCCACTCCGGTTTGTCATAACGTGTCTCACCCCCCCACCCCACCCCCAACGTTTAAAGCCCACAGTGACACCTTTCTCAAGTCGCAACGCGAGTCGTTTGCGCCACAAAGGCTTTGTTTACAGAGCCGTGATAACATTGGGTGCACGCTTTCGAGGCGGGTTACGCGACTACTGAAGGCTAAAAAAAAACAACCGATCCATTAACGGCTTCTTGGAACGCGTTCAGGTGTCACCGTCGAGGGGGGCTGCGGATGGTGGTGGTGGGAGGAGATTCTAAAGCACGGGTTCCAAATGCAGCACGCGCGTAAACTATGAAGTGCAGGTTTTTTTTCACGCATCTGTTGACGAGCAGGCGCTTGTACATTCACAATGGCAAATGTAGGGTGACGAGAGGAGCGTGCGCGTGCTGCTCGGGTAAGTTTACGCACGCCAACGTTTCAATCGCTGCCCCAATCCTTGCTCGAGTCCCGAGCCAAAGCGTTGACGGTGCAACACGACTGCGAGGTGCTTGCGCGCACAGCTGTTCTAGAAAGCCTCGCATGTCACGAGCGCCGATTTCTTCATGCTATTCAAAACAATTGTCTGCAGCGCTATTTTACTTTGGTTCAAGACTCTTTGACAACACGTTCTCGCCACTGGATTTGGGGACAAACATTTACGACGACGACAAAAAAAAATACCTTGCCCTTGTTTTAACTTAAGGAGTGTAAAACATTACTCATTAACAAAAAAAATGAATGACCTTTAAAAGGAACATACATTGAATAATTACATTGTACACAAGGAACAAGTATAATACAATAACTACATTAAATACCACTGGTCTGGACACTGCAGCAAATTACCTTTTTTTACTCTTTCGTAAAAGCAGCACATCAGTATTTTGTACAAAATTAGTTCCTCAATTACTGGCTTTTAGCCAAATAACATTTAAATTGATATGAAAAGTTAATTTACCATACCTTTACAAGCAACATCTGTATACTGTCAAAATTTAAATGAGTACCACGACATTCTGTATAAATGGATACAAAAAGATAACCCCTGCCAAGTGTTGAACACTTACAAAAACTCCCAAGTTTGAATTGATTTCAAGTCAAATACACGAGAAACGCAGGCATTTCTCAATGAAGAAAATAGTTTCTTCAAAATAGTCAGTCTGTTGTAGCAAACATCAGTCGTGTTTTTAATATACAAGACCGTCCGCTATGCAGCCTACCCAAGCTTGTAATGTAACGCAATGACTGCGGTGCTGACATTCACATTTTGTGAATTAAACCTCTCAACCATCTGCATCCTTAAGCAGAGATGAATCCGGGTGATTTTTACAGGAGCAGAAAAAACACAACACCAGACGGGCATCGCTGCCCAACTTGTGAGTGGGGAGCCTTAAGGGTGACAACTATGTCTCGTAAATCGATACAAATCAACAGCAAGACCCCCCTCCGGCCAGAATGTGGAAATGGCCACTCCTGCCCCAAACAGTGTCGTAAGAATTCCCGCTCCAATGGATACAACACTGCACCGATTTCATTATTAGCCATAAAATACTGCTACTAATTGCTGGAATAAGTGCAAGTTAACAATATTAATAATTACATTTAAAACGATGGGTAGATGGACGTATACTCAACGAGTGTTTCGCCACTCATGCGAGCCCTAGCCCGGACCACCTATTACATCTCCCATTGTGCGCTCGCCTCTCTGGAGCTACAAACCCCCCAGGGGATGTGACCATGGCCCTCATCGCGGTGAACGTTCTGCAGCACTGGAACTACATTCAAGGTGGCCCAATAGCAGAAGCAATGAACAACACAAATATACACACGCACACATCAAATGTATGCGCTCTCACTGCCTATAAAAAAATATTTTTTTGTTGTTGTAACAGGTGTCCGTTATACAGACTTTCATTGACTTGAGCAGTTTGTAATTATGCCTGTGATTACTTAAAAAATGCATGTTTAATGTCTTGGGAAGCCAGTGGCAATCAACTTTCACCAGCAGCGCAACTTGGAAATACAGGGGTGGGCTATATTCGCCCAAACAAATATATGCCTTTGCATGTTGACAATAAATAACACAATTTTCTAAAGTAAATTCCAATAGATTTTAAGGCGGTCAATGTAAAAATATTGATATGTAACAAACCTCGGCGATTTTGTGAGTGTTATGGTTGAGTATATTTAGAGTTAAATCTGTACCCTAAAATTTCCTAAACTTCAGTTCGTTGAACGCTCCCTTAAATTGTCAAAAAAAGTAGTAAAAAGTACATTTAACTAAGTGTAATATATTAATAGATACTGTATATTAAATATGCTTACTTCTGCATAAAGTTATGCTAGCCTCATTAACCCAGAATGTGTCAAAATGCCCCCAAGCAGTCTATTTTTTTAAAAGCCAGCCTGGTAAAAAAGTATTTCTTGGCTTTTCTGACCGTACCGACAAGTGCATAAACAAAAAAAAAGAGCTTACAAAAAACACATCCACCGACTCTTGCATCCAACAATGTATAAAACTTGCTTTCAAACTAGAACCTTACATCACTCGCATAAGCGCCCAATGACCACCAATCACACAGCGACCCATGTTCGGGTCCGTCAGTAGAGGGCGGCCTTTTTTAAAATCAATTTCACCATGGGGTGAAGAAAGGGGAAAGCAAGCGATAGATTTGCTTGAAAATCGAACCGGACAATCGAGCGAGGCCTTCGGGCTTGCAAGCGACCGAGCTCTGCGGGATCTAACTGGTAGGCCAAGCGGCGTCTATGCGAGTGGCTTCGGTGGTGGGATGGGGGTGGGGGGAGTGCTCGCGAGGCTACAGGTAAAGGCTGCGAGGAACCAGGCTGCTCATGTACTTGCGGGCTTGCTCCGTCACTGCCGCATGCTCCTCTGCCGTCTTGCCCAACGGCGTCACCTCCCAAGACGCCGCGGAAACCGGCTTCACGGGGGGGGGGGGAGCGAGGGGGCGCGTGGGTCGACAGGAGGGTGGCAGGTGGAGGGGGAAAAGGGGGGAGGCGGAGAGGAAGAGGCCAAAGGGGGAGAGAGCGGCAGAGCGGCACCGAGGGAGGATGGGATGTGAGTTGGGGAGGTGACGGTAGAAGCAGATAAAATGGTCAGGAGTGACAGAGTGGAAGTCGTGCAAGGGGCAGAGGAATGACCGAGTGGGAGCAGACAGGATTTTGGTCAAATACGTAGGATTTGGGTAGAATGTTAAAGTCGGGTTGAAACAGGGGAGCGGAAAAAAAACACAAGGAATTGTTAATCATTAGCACACCGAGAACCAACACCAAGAGTGAAGAACACATTTTTTTTCTCAAAAGGCAAAGTAGTGCAAAGCAGAACAAAGTAAATAAAACTCTCCAATTACCCGGAAGGTGTCCGCTTCTGAAAATAAGCAATTCAAAAGGTTGTATGCAAGAGGAAACCATTCCTTTCCACACCCCAGTACAAAGCAATTAAATATTTTCATTTTACAGAGGTGAGGGTACGATGCATACACACCGCAGGCAGATCGGTGCAGGGGTTTTAGTAACTTTTTTTTTACAGATTCTGTTAGCAAGAGGCAAACATGAGCACAAAGGACAAAAAAATGGGAGAGGGATTTAAAATTAAGCGGAAGCCGTGCCTTCATGGCACAACATTTTTTTTTGGCCCCTGAGTGCCCTCGGTCTGAGTTGAGGTGTCATGTCCTTACAGGAATGCTTGCAACCACACGAGTGTCAATGAGTGTACATTCATGTCTACGCCAGCATGAGAATGTGGCAGGCAGGCAGCGGATACGCATGGAAGCACCTGGAAAAGCCCTGCTTTCTCAGTCTCACGCTTAAAGCAAATACAGGTGACGCAACGGGCACCAGTTCTCGACCGTGTCTGACGGACGCGATTTCTTTTGTGTGGCTAAACGCGTTGTCCCGTGTTCACCGTCCGCGCTTGCCTCTGTGCGAGAGTGCGTGTGTGTGTGTGTGTGCGAATGCACGTGGGCAAGAATGAGCAGAGGCGAATCTGCCCTGGTGGTCTAAGCTCTGTTCTGTTAAGAGCTTGAGCGATTGGGGCGAGGAGTTTCACTGAGATATGACCTCGGCAGGCAGGGTCCACGCATGATCCGACATGCAGAGCGTAGGAAAGTGCTGAGGGAGTTAAGAGCACAACGTTACTTCCCAAAACAAATACAATTAAAACAAAAGTCAATGTATGCTTGTCTTTAAGACTCCGTTAACAATTACAATGCAAATTTAGAATGCGTTAAACGCGATCCGGCGATTGTTATGAATAATAAAAAAATGTTCCTGATTTTACAAGAAAGCAGGAAAAGTTCAGCAGACACTTGTGCAAATGTTTAGCTTTGTTATCACAAAGTGGCAGGCAGTGTAAATTGTGATGTAAGCGTATGCGATTAAATCCACTCTGCTCGGGGGGCTCGGGTATCAAATGCGAGTTTTGGGGAAATTGTGCGTTAATTCCATGGGCTTGAACTTGCAACGGCATTCTGCCTCCAATTGAAAGTAACCACGGACGGGGAGACAAACTTTTTGCGTGCCGCTCGTTTTACCTGGACGCTGATAAGTGTTGGCCCTTCATAGACATGCACCAAAAGCTCAGCCAACGTCCATGAGAAAGCATAAGTCAATGTGTAAAGGCTACTTTAATTTTAGTTTTAGGTGGAGGCACAGATATATCAAGGAGATTCATTTCGTTACTTATACCCTCCATGACAACACTAATATTGTATTTTGCATTGCGTTACGTAGTCTAATATACTTTTGCATCAAGTATGTGTGGGTAATGCAGACTTGATGCCTTGGTGTTTGAACATCTAATCACCTCCTGTTTTATAGTAGAAAGGGTAAAAACCTATTCTTATTTTTCGTCAAACTAGGATTCGTATCTAACGGAGATGGTATGTGGCTCTAAGCACCTGGCAGTACACCATCATTGCCTAAAGAAAACCTGATGCAGCTGATGAGACACTGCATGTCAAAACCAGTCCAGTTTTCTTGTGTTGAATAAATGTGTAGTAGTCGTAGATGGAGACGGAGTTGTAGTAGGAAGCAATACTTTTATTTATGTCTTTAACAACGACTCACTAGGTCCTTAACACGAAGGGGTAATGGCCCCTTCTACCCACAACCTGTGGAGGTACAGCCTCCGGGCTATCGTACCCTAGCCGTTGGCCCGACTACTCCTATAGCCCTCCGGCTAGCTGGACCTAGGGGAGGCTGACCCACCGCTGGCACCGGTGGGTCTCTGACCACTGGCCCGTCCAGACACGGCCCTGAGAAGGACGTCGGGCTGAGGGAACCTCAGGGTCCTAGCCTGCTGACCACTGGCAACCGCACTGAGCCCCAGTCCTCAGAAGGAAGTCGGGGCTTGGGGTCCAGGGTCTCTTCTTCAGGCGGCTCCTCGGCCTCGGCTTGAGGCGAACTGACTCTGCTCTCAGGAGCCCGCCTGTTATACGATTCCCCACCGAGGGGCGGGGTTCTGAGGGATCACAGATCCCTCGCAGCCCCCTCCCCTCAGGAGCGGTTCTGGCCACAGGAAGCCCAACCAATCTGTTTGTTTGATCCCGCTTTCTGCCTAGGGCCAGGGTTCTGGGGGATCCCACACACACACACACACTTCACAGCCTCTACCCCTCAGGCGGGGTCTTGGTCAGGGTTATCAATGACCCCGTTCTGGTAGGTACTGTGTAGTGTGTGCGTGTTTACAGAGTGACCACCACAAATGAACCAAACCCACTCTCACAAGGCTGTGCAGCGAATGGGATGTAAAAAAAAAACCCTCATTTTTTACATGGAGGGACAAGATAGGTGAAGGAGGCATAGTTACATGCTTATTTAATGTGCTAGAGGCTCGCTGATTAACCACAGCACACCAAGTGTGCACAATTGCACAGGTGTCTTCAAATAATGTGAACGTTCCAAAAAGAAGAGCAAGCCAGGGACAGGCAATGAATGCCCTTACGTTGGTAACCGCTCCAGAGCTCGCGTGGATGCTAAGGGCCGCAAGCGTGCAGGGGAAGCGGGCGGGGAGGAACTGAGCTCACCGAGGGTGTGTGTCCCTCCGTCCGGGTTCGTAGCACCGCTGGAATTTGCCGCCACCTCTGCACGGAGCCCGCGCTTCGGTCCTCCCTTCTCTCTGCCTCCACCCCCGGGACCAACAGCCCCTTAGTCTACATGCACACACGCATGAACACACACACACACGCGCGCAGAGCAGGGGCGGTAAAACAAAGTTTTACAAACGGGTTATCGTAAGTACGCACTGATTTACACACATTGCATGTCTTACCACGCAGCGATCCCTACGGATACAACACATAGTATTACTCGATTAGATCGTACCAGTCTCATTAGATATATTGCTTGCATGCTTTTTTTACAAAGACAAGTTCCCCTGTATAGCCTCAACAGACGTTGTTAGCGAGCACCTATCAAGGTCGGAACGGCACGGTGGCCAGCACCACGCCCAGCCACCTGTCTCCCTAGTGGCGTGGTTTACACATCGCAACCAGGTACTCTTTTGAGGCCGAGTCAACTTACGGGAGGCTCAAGACCTCCCCTAAATTTTCTTTGGTAAAGCTGTGTTTGTGACGTGACCTCACAGGTTCGGGTCTGGTGAGTGAATATTTAATGCATGACCAGGTATTGCAAATGTCGTCAACCAATCAATGCATTACCTAGTTCAAGTTCTTTGCCAGGTAAGCAATAAAAAGTAATAAATACATAAAATGTATTTTACACCACTCCCAAAGGTTTCCCATGCACAAGAGTCAGGTGACCTCAACTGGGTCACCTGGCAGGCTGTACTTATTTTATGACCACAGTAAACACTGTTGTTTGCACTTCATTTAAGACTAACTACAGTATCTTAAAGGGACAGCAGGACAACTCTTTCGTGCATATTTATAAATACAAATGCACTTCATCATCCTTTACCTTCTGATTCACTAGACTAGGTTATCCAATGGAAATAAGTACAACTGTGTAATGTCCTGCCATTGCAGGGTTCCAGCGAAGCTGGAGGCAACGAGCTAGTCATCACTCCTGAAGAAGCAAAACCCATTTTTAACACTTTGCATTTCCAGAAAATTGTCAATCTTCCATCAAGCATTATTGCACAAATGTAAACGGAAATTAAGTTCTATGTTTAACGAGTTTTGTCTCAGCTCCTGCGGGCAAAGAGGATTTGCACGATTCCTCCAAGCCCACCACGAGTTAAAAGCCCGGGACGGCGGGAGTGTCGCGGGACTTTGCAAAGCTGCTTCCTCACCAGTACGCCTGACAGCGCCACTCCCTCGGCGTCGGGCAGCAGGGTCTGCGACGGCTCTGGGCTGCACCGCTCCCACACGTCCAGGGAGAGGGAGCGGCGTGCCGACTGGGATGGAGAATCCGCCTGTAGCGCGCAGCAGCGGCAGTGCGGGGGGGGGGGGGAACATGCGCGCGCCAACGAGCGCTTAACATCACGGTGCTACCGTCACGATGCGCGGTCGCGGTTCGATTCGAGAACCAGTTCCATCTCAGCGATCAGGAAATTTCCGCTCTTTATACTTGCCTCGTTCATTTCACCTGTAGAATGTCACGTGCAATATTTATACCGTCTCGTACGTTTCTGCCCTCTCGCTCTTCCGTACCGTCTATCTCATTATTTCTACCTTTTTTTTTTGTTCCGTCTCATTTATCCAGTCTCATTCGTGCTGGTATTATTCGTTCCTTGAACTGAAATTAAAATACTGGCATTCATAATACATCTAAAATTAATTATTTCTCAACACATGCAATTCATCGCACGTTTCACGAGCTTCAGAATACACGTTAATTAATTCTTGTATGGCCGAGCAATTAACACGTTATTTACTGCCACAAAAGGCACGACTTTTAGCTTCCAAGTGGATTACAAAGAGTAAAATTAAATTTCCAGTCAATGAAGAATACCGTAACAGATAACTCTTAGCCAATCTACATTATACGGCAGTGTTATCATCATGCTATAATATGACTCGGTTTACGAAGCCAATAAAAGACAGTGGAGCTGTGAGAACACTAGCCCTTTCATGGCGAGGTGTCATATACAGATGTGCTCTTTGTTTATGACTCAGGCACAGACACTTTATTTTTTATTCCGACAGGCAAAAACCCTGTTGCAGAAATATAACCTGCAACCTTACAAGGTGCATTACTTTTGCCTGCACCGCCACCATAGAGCGCCGTTCTATCGCACCACAACGTCCACCGAGTGTGGCGCACGGTCCCCATCGCTGGCGACCACGGAGGCGCTACCTCGCGCTTGATGTGGACGGGCAGAAAGTGTCCCTCCGAGTCCGACCCGTGCTCAACTTCTACTTTGACCACATCGGTCAAGTCTTCGGACAGCTGACTCGTGGTCTGCGGCTGGAACAGAACCCAGGGGAAGGTACCTGTTACAAACTAAACATTTTTTTGGACGGGAAACTTCAATCGCGTCCAGTTCAAACAACCGTTATATACGCTTGCCCAAGAAAGCCCGAGTCTCATGCATACTTTAAAGAGGGGCCATGACATGAGATGCACAGGCAATTTATTTTGTTAAGAAAAAAGGAGTGTTCAAAAACATTAAAAACGATTGGTCAGCAACTTATTTGCTATGCAGGCGCCTTATTTTACCCTGTACGTTGATGTCTCATACATGTCACAACTCCCTGTTTGTATGATCCGCCAACCCCACTTCCAGGTCACTGGTGTGATTATAGGTGTGTACAACCACACCTGGTCTTGATGGGGACTATAAAAACGACCTTTAAAACAACCTAGTTAATTTTCAGGCAATGGTTCCTTGGTAACGTTTAGGTCCAAGGAGCACGATTCACAATGCCCCACAGCTGTGGGGCCCTTATCTGTGGCAATAAAACCAAGAGCAAGGCTGCAACGTGACCCGGGTTATGACTTCACAAGGTGCTTTTATCCTGTTCGTGCCTCCTTCTCGCGTACCAGTATTTTGAGAGGCCCGTACTTCCGCTCCTGAGCTGCGAGTGCATTCTTAAACGGTGTCGGGGTTCTGGGAATCGCCTCCACCACCCACTTCCTCGGTGTCCTGAATCTAAAAACATGAAACAGAAAATAACTCTCGATTACCGTGAAAGTCCGTTTGATTCAAAATCTTTTGAGTTGAAACATGTCACGCAAAAAAATATAAATTCTCAGTGCTCTGTGCAAAATTACATTTTTCAGTCTTAAAGCGAAATCTAAAAAAAATGTTTTCCCAATTTCTCTTTCTTAAAAATATAAATTATGTGCAGAGGATTCTCCATGTAAGGCAGAGCGACAAACACTGTTACCCAAACCCTAATTGAAGGCATGTCAGGCGCACACAAGGCTCGGGCTATTTGTACGGCTGAACGCCACTCGAGGCCTGCTTTCGGCTGCCCATCAACCAGCCTGTGTAACCCTTGGCCAGCAGCCCCATCCACACACACCACCTTTACTTTCTCCATTTCCTCCTGTTCGATGACCAAAGGTCCTTTGATCAGTGTCTCAATTGCACGAAGCAGAGAGGATTACTCGAGTGGTGCTGGAGCAAACACCGCCTTTCCCTGAGCAAACACGAGCACCTCGCTAGCCTTTCCACGCAGGTGGTCAAGACAATTGACAGGGCCCACACACATTACCCCTTCCCCCACTCTCCACGGCTGATGCCTATAATAAAAAACGCTTTTGGGCAATTGCAAATAATATAAAAAATAAATATATTTTTTGACAAAAAATGTTTGCTTTGCTGGGTTGTTTTTTTCTCTCTCATTTTATATTCTTTTCTCCTTTGCTCACGGTACACAACTCTTGGAGAAGGAGGAGGTGGTGGGGGGGGTGTTTAAAACTGCAAATTGTGTACGTTTAGTGGCCGGGGGGGAAAATTATAAAGCAGTGGCGGTGAAGCTTGTCGTGTTTTCACTTTCAGCTGAAGATTAATGATCCCAGCGGGCGAGGGAAGGAGATGGGGGAAATATGGACGAGGGTCACGACCTGCCCACCTGTGGTGACTGCCACACCTCTGCGTATCCCGTACGTGAGAAAAACATGCGCGCTCATACAAGCGAGGAAGGTACACACGCCCTGAAAGGGGGTCCACGGTCTTAGCGGGTTATAAAAAGGTTCATCAACTATTTGCCCTAGCATTTCTTGTCAATGTAAAGCACCTGTATCAACTCACGTTTGCAGAGCAAACATGTTTAAATATTACCCTGAAAGGACAGATGTTTTTCACCTTCAATTCTCAATAAAATGATAATGCATTGCACTGATGATCTTTTGCCTGATCTGAGAAAGCCTATGGGCTAAGTTTTTGTTTTCCTGAGCAAACTTTAAAAAAGCTGATATTGTACTTGTATACACAAAAAAAAAACCTTATCGTAATTAGAATCATCAGTAATAATAAAAGAACATGAACGATGCACACTCTTTACTGGCATTTACTGGAATTGTGAATTTTATATATTCATATATACCTACTTGTAACCCAAAGTAATAGTTTTATTATCCCACGTGCCTTCAGTGACTTCACATCATCGTTACAATGTTTGCACGAGGCAAACGAAGCTCACGAGCTATGCAGGCGCATTTATTTATTTATTTGCAAACCTTTTGTACAAGTGCAATGTGTATCTCCATCCATTATAGCATAATAGCACTGCACTGCCTCCACTAGCACAATGATCTGGGCGATGATGCAACTGTTAAGCACTGACTAAATAAATGCACGACTCAATGAACTAAACAATTGCTCGCGTGCTGTGCATGTCAACACACGTGCCTGTACAGAATCCGAATATTTATACTGGAGGAATCCGATGAGCTAAAAAGCTTTTTTTTTTTACAGATGGCTGCCAACTTTTTCAAGTAAACTCTCATTTACTTTGATATTTTATGGAAACAATTTTTTTGGTGGTTCAGTGCTTTAAGTTGCGACGTTTTGTTTTTCTATCCTGTTTAAATATTTCACTTGGATAAACCATTGCAAGGGGTGTTCAGCGGTGTCAATTGACACATACATAGCAAACATATCACTTATAAAGTTACGCATTCATACAATGAAAATTGCACCGAGTCAAACACATAAATAAACACGTAAGAATTGAAACGGTTCACAACACCCGTTCATGTAGCAATAGTTGCACGGTGCTGACTGAACTTAAGGGTTGAACGTTGCTGTTATCGCTACCACACGGTAGCACGCTTCTCCAACTCACTCACACCTTTGCTGTGATGCGGATCAGACGGTGACTAACAAAAAAAAAATAATCAAATCGGGGGCCCAAGAGCGTTTGGCCAAAAAAAAAAAAACCACCGAGAGAGAAAGGTGCGCTGCTAAACACTAAACACGGCGATGGTATCTGTCCCGCCTCGAGTTCACGGCAGGGGCGAGGACAAGCGAGCTCGGGCTCGCGGTGTGCGGCCGCGTGCGAAGCCCCATTACCCGTTGTTCTCCTTCTGCACGCGCGAAGCGTGGTCCCGCGCCGTCGTCGGGGTGGTCGCTGCCGCCTTGAGTTCGCACACGGGCGTTGAGGTCAGTGTCGGGGAGTCCGTCAACAATGGCAAATCCAGCGGCATCAACGTGTTCAGAAACTGAAGGTGGGGTGGGGTGGGGGGGGGACCATAAGATTGCGAGACAAGGGGGAGAATAATAGTAATTGCCTGCACGCGTCATCATTGACTACGTGTTATCATTGACTACACGCGTCCGGCGGTAAAATGGGTTGGCTGCAATTTTAAGGTCAAGCGCGATTTGTAAAGCGTTTGTTTTTGGTGGAATGTAAGGTGGGTAGCCAGATTTTTTTACTATTTGTTTGTTGTGTAAATGCAAGTCATTTTTTTCGAGTATTTATAGGAACGGCATTTCTATTACCATTAGAATATATAATGTGCTTAAATTTCGATTTTAAAGCTTTCGTGACTGCAGGGATTCATCTTCTTGGTTCTTTCGGTAAAGTCACGTAGAATGGAAACAAAGTAATAAAAATAAAACATAATAAAATTCTCACGACGTTTCGGCCACAACACAAGTAGCCTTCTTCAGGTGAAGGAACAGAACTGTCGGGACGACAGCGCTTCAATGAACGCTGCTAAGATTCGCAGCGTCTTTTAAGCTAGGTGAGAGAAGTAAAGCGCCTTGACAAAGGCACCTAGTACAAATCAAACAGGAGAATTTAGCATTGAAATAGCTGAGTGATTAGCTTGTGACTGGTCACAGAAATGGCTATGTTAAAGTCAAAGCCTACACATCCACAGAGGCACCGAGTACAAATAAAACAGGAGAATTTAGCATTGAAATAGCTGAGTGATTAGCTTGTGACTGGTCACAGAAATGGCTATGTTAAAGTCAAAGCCTACACATCCACAGAGGCACCGAGTACAAATCAAACAGGAGAATTTAGCATTGAAATAGCTGAGTGATTAGCTTGTGACTGGACACAGAAATGGCTATGTTAAAGTCAAAGCCTACACATCCACAGAGGCACCGAGTACAAATCAAACAGGAGAATTTAGCATTGAAATAGCTGAGTGATTAGCTTGTGACTGGTCACAGAAATGGCTATGTTAAAGTCAAAGCCTACACATCCACAGAGGCACCGAGTACAAATAAAACAGGAGAATTTAGCATTGAAATAGCTGAGTGATTAGCTTGTGACTGGTCACAGAAATGGCTATGTTAAAGTCAAAGCCTACACATCCACAGAGGCACCGAGTACAAATCAAACAGGAGAATTTAGCATTGAAATAGCTGAGTGATTAGCTTGTGACTGGACACAGAAATGGCTATGTTAAAGTCAAAGCCTACACATCCACAGAGGCACCTGGTACAAATCAAACTGGAGAATTTAGCATTGAAATAGCTGAGTGATTAGCTTGTGACTGGTCACAGAAATGGCTATGTTAAAGTCAAAGCCTACACATCCACAGAGGCACCGAGTACAAATCAAACAGGAGAATTTAGCATTGAAATAGCCGAGTGATTAGCTTGTGACTGGTCACAGAAATGGCTATGTTAAAGTCAAAGCCTACACATCCACAGAGGCACCGAGTACAAATCAAACAGGAGAATTTAGCATTGAAATAGCTGAGTGATTAGCTTGTGACTGGTCACAGAAATGGCTATGTTAAAATCAAAGCCTACATATCCACAGAGGCACCTAGTATAAATCAAACAGGAGAATTTAGCATTGAAATAGCTGAGGGATTAGCATGTGACTGGTCACGGAAATAGCTATGTTAAAGTCAAAGTTTACATATCAACAGAGGCATTTAGTATATGGACGCTAAAGGACTGCAACTACCCAACTATCATACAGTAAACCGATGTGAAAAAACTAAGTGTAAACTACATCAATATAATAAATGTACTCAATATATTCTTCAATAAGCTGAGCTATTAACACAAAGCAACTGGGTATACACTACACAATATAATGAATACCATATAGTAAACCAATAAAAAACTAAAATATAAACTACATCAATGTTATCAATAAACTCTATATACTCTCCAATCAGCTGAGCCACCAACAATAAGTCGTTATACATCACAATGCCATATGTGCCATATGTGCTTTTTATACAATGCAAAGCCCTTTCTAAAAGGTAAGAATATGCCATGCATTTAGCATATACATATCCAAACAAATCCAGAATACTCACACATTAGACATACTAACACACACATACATACAAATAAATAAAATGAAGCACAAGAAAGTTTGGCTAGAAAAATAATCACGGAAAAGGAATGTTTCAAGGTTGTATATAAAACCCAACAGTAAAGAAGACAATACTGCTGCAACTCTTTCACAGTGTCCACTTCAATATTTTGGATTCCCCCAACCCACACCTCCTGTCCAACAAGATAATGCAAATTTAGCTCAATGTAAAAAAAAAACCTAAATCTTTTTGGGAATTACATTCTCAAAGGCGAAACCCCGGCCGGACAAGGTCGAACCTTACCTGTGACGGAGAAAAGGGCATGGACTTTGTTGGCGTCCCCTTTGGCGTGAACTCGGAGGAGCACAAGTCTTCGAGGAGACCGTTCTTCAGGCGCTTGCGGGCGCGTCGCAGGAGGCCGGGCGGCGCCACGGCGGGCGTGCCGTCCGTTTTGCCGCCGGGTACCTCGTCTCCGGCGAAGCTGCACGCCGAGTCGCACGCCTCAACCTTGACCACCATCAATCTGGCGGCGGCGGCGGCGGCATCGCCGTCAGCGTGGCCACGGTCCAGCCCCTCCAGGAACTCCAGCGTGTGGAGGTCGCCGAGGCAGGACGGCTCCTGGACGCGTGGGGGCAACGTGTGAGCCACGGTGGCTAGGAGATGTGAACTACCTCGCCTGGTATGGAGGAGGTCGTGGGTTCGATCCCCGACCCCGACGCCTGTATATTTAGAGCTTGCATGTTCTCTCCCCGCGGCCTTGTAGAGTTTTCTCCAGGTCCACCGGTTTTTCCCTTCATATTTAGAAATGCGCTTTTGACTATTTGGCTGCTATACATTTCCACGTGAGGAGCCATTTCGTTCAGCTATCATTTGTGGCCAGGTAGCTTCTGAAAAAGAGCTATATAGCTCAGTGGGGCTTTACCTGGTAAAAGAAAACGTTTTATAGTTTGTAGTTTAGTTTAGCTACCCGACTACCACCACCCAACCCTGGACCCACTGCCAGTGAGAGGTTATCTCGGTCAGTCAAACAATTTTAGAGCTTTGTGTTTTGTTAGGTAGAGAATGAGTCACACCCCTTCCAACTCCCCAGCAATGTGATTTTTACTGTTACAATTTGGGGTTGCGATTGCATTCAAGAATCGATTCTTATCGATTCATGTATGCCGTTTGTAGTGTGTTGCTTTTTGTTGTCTTGTTTGCTTAAATCATTGATTCAGACACGCAGGAATTCAAGACCAAGAGTTATTGTTAATTGGCGAATAGATCAATCGCTTACACACCTTATAATTATACAAGTTTAAAGTTAACACAATATTTTCACGTGGAAGGTGACATCTGGGTATGGAGGAGAAAACCCACACAAAGAAGGGAGATACCATTCAGAAAATCCATGCAGCATTATCAGCTATCAACTAACCGATGGCTCGAAAGACCACCACAATTTTGCAGGCTGGTGTGTATCTCACACACGCGTCGTTTGCACTATCTATCAACAGTCACCACCCCCCAGACCGATTTTCTTTATGTATGAAGCTGCTGGCCAGTAAGCATTCTAGGAGAAGGAAAATAACGTCACTTACTGTGTCCATCCCGTGATAGGCTGGCGGCACGTGCACATTGTAACCCGTCTCCGAGATGCCAAAGTTGCTTTGTCCATCCAGGCAGAGGTAGCTTGGGGGTGTGAGTGCGCCTTCAGCCTGGGGAGGGCTCGTGTTGGTAGCGAGAGAGCAAGCGGGCCCCTGGGAATGCGTGAAGGCCGCTAGCGGCTCCTCGGGGCCACCCAGCGGGCCTGCCAGGCTGCCGTCTGACAGGATGACGTGGTCCGACAGGAGGGCAGAGCCCCAGCCCCCACCATACTCCATCTGCAGATACAATCGCTCAGTCACTGCTGGGTGCGGCAAGACCACAAGTGTGGCCCCAGAATGTCTAGAATGCAACCAAGGGTTTTTTGAACTCAGTGGAGATGCTGACCGTGAAGTTCTGCTTTCCACGAACTTCGTTTTCCGTGGACATCAGTAGCATGGTGAGCTCCTTTATGCGCTGCTCTCTATCTGGGTCCTCTTCCTCCCCATAGCAATTCTGTGCAGGTACAAAACACAGGACATTTTTAAGCGAAGGGAAAATGGTTCGAAAAACAATGCAAAACACACATTAATGGAATTGGCAAAGGCGATGTTTACCTCAGGAATCGAATGGCATTAGTCTTGTGTTCTTACTGGACATGGCAAGATCTCTTACATTTTCTTAAAAAAAAAAAATCCCTAAAACCTCTTAAAACATGGAACTAGGTTTTTGTCCAATGATGTTGAGCTTTCCATTGGTGACCACCAACATGTTCCACTCTCCACTTGTGTGTTCCATCGCCACCAGAAATATTTTAAAAACAAAAACTCAAGCCTCCCGGGTGGAACTGTGATTCCACATAGACTTTTATCCCCTATCCAGGCTCTTGGATGGAGTTCCAGCGGCCGCGGCCACTGCGGCTATGGCACGCAAGCGGGACTTCCCGCTTTTACTATTATACTGTTTTTTCATTTTACAATTTAAAGTCCACTGAGCTATGTAGCTGTTTTTCAGAAGCGACCTGGCCACAAATGACAGCTCAATGAAGTAGCTCAACGTGAGGAAATGTATAGCAGCCAAACACCCTAAAAGCATGTTTCTACATATGGAGGGAAAATCTCGAGGACCTGGAGAAAAACCACGTGACCACGGGGAGAACACGCAAACTTCAAATATACAGGCGTCAACAGGATCGAACCCGGGGACCTCCTGTGTGCCAGACGAGGTACTTAACATCTCACCACCGTGGCGCCCACGATTACTTGGGAGCCCAGGCGAACCCCGCTAAGCGTTTCACTTCTTAGCGTTTGCCCCCTAGGGATGGCGAGGGCTGGCAGGTTCCCCCCCTCACCACCGTAAAACGGCGACTTCCTTCACCATGCCGGGCCACCAAAGCTGCCTGCCTGCCTGAGACGGACAAAGCCCCCCGTGGACTCATGCTCATGACCCGGGCACGAGAAGCACTTTTAAAGTGGGCATTTTGTTTGCGCTTGATGGGGACGCGACACTGCGCAAATAACCCCTAGTGGAGGAAAGGCCATGTCTTCTGTGTGTATGTTGAACTTCTTTCGCACTGTATCTAGCCAACCGCGCGAATCGGAGGCGCGTACGTAGCCGAACGTGCTCTGGTGTCGCAAGAGGTGAGCAAGTTAAGGCATTTCTCTGGCCAGCAGCGTTACCCGACTCCTAAGTAAAAACTCACGCCCGTCAATGGCTCTAATACTGCTGAAACTTGGGTTACAGGCTACAACGGATTGTTTCGACTAATTTTAAGCAAATTTTGTTATATTAATCATCAAAAATATTATCTCGGTGAGTGAGCAGCTAACATTTATTGGTGATCGGAGCCATAAATATCAAACATTAAAGGAGGGCGCAAAGAGTATAAATCACGTGAAGGCACTGGGAGTCGTGATAATGTGTACAGGCGGCACGAGTTTTTGTTTTTTAGAGATTTACGGTGGTGTTGGAACGCGGAATTGGATCATGTCGACGACCAATGCGAGGAGACTTTTAACTCTTTTGCAAATAAATTCCTACTTGCATATATAAATTAAGCGCAAATGCCACCATGTATCAGGGTGCGTGGTCACACAGTGCAGTTTGAAGAGATAACCTGAAAGTTCATTCCTTGGCCGGTCATGTTGAAACGCACAGACACCTGGTAATTGTGACGCTGGGCGGCCATCTGCGAGCAAACAATCCAAGAAAAATAACCACACACGTGACTCAAAGGTTACGAGTAACAGAGCTTAAATTATATGAATGCTATCGTGAATTAAAAATATGAATGCTGACAAATCCTGTTTCTACAAACTGAAGCCAAACAACATTTGCAAGATAGGCTATTCAAGTTGCTGACTTTCAAAGAACACATTGCACTTCAAAGTAAGTATTTAGCTACACACATTTACTAACTAAACCTGGTTGAAATAATAAAATCTCCTTAATTATGGCCCTATTCTTATATATGGACAAGATCCTGTGCTTGGCAAATAAACCATTTCAAGTGTTTGCACTGAACTTACTGAAGTCCAATCCACTTTTACACACTGCATTCAGTTCAGTATTAACTTTCTGTCCCAATCAAGTGCTAATGGTCCTGTTCAGAGTGCATTCTTGAGGAAAAACAAGATCATCTGAAGACCATGACCTTAAGTCCAAGGGATTTTTGAATCCACACATCATGAAAACAACCAACAAACAGCTCAACTCCTTACAAGGGAGAAACAAATTATTTCCGAATATTCCAATTGTGCTATCAGTTTGATGTCATCAGAAAAATACATTTACATTCCAAAAACTTACAAAAAGCAGTGGTAACATTGCCCCACATTACAAAACTGCTTCTAAAATGTACGACTACAGCACTTCCAATTGATTTGTATCCACACTAAAACACTGCACCATCTTAAAAGCCAGGCCACACATGTTTATTCCAAGGACATTAACTTAACATTTTTAGTGCTCAGATGGCAACATGTTGACTAACCTGTCAATCCATTTTATTCCGCTACACCTGGAAACATTTTATTAAGCAAATCACGTGATGATGCTGCACTGGCATTGATGCACAAGCACAATTAACGAAAACAACTCAAACGTTTGTCAATAATGCTGCATTAAAAGAAAAAATAAATGTACTAGACGTTTCAGGCCATAGGTCTTCTTCATAGCACACGGTACTTTGAAGTATGTTTTCGAAATACCCAGGTTCCAAACTGTCATCTTGGTAATCCTGGCCCAGTGCTCCAACACACATTCACTCTGTTCCGTTCCGAGACGTCTGCAAGTTGCAGGGTGGGTGTCCCATTCACCGATCAACCTCAGAACGTGCAAGCGGTTCGGCGTTAATTTTATTTAGAGGCGTAGCGTTGCTATTTTTAAAGACACTGTACTGTAGTCACCGCAGAGAACCGTAGCCACACGACCGCACTCTGTGACTGCTGGCGCCAAGCTGTGCCACACGCCCTCCCGCATCGCCTTTTACTTCAGATTCCATTCGGAATCGATTCCGTTCCGATGACGTAAACGTACGTAATCGAAATGGACTCGGAAAAAAAACTGATGACGTACACCCTACGTCATCGGAACGGAAGAGGGTTAAATTAGCCCCCTGATATACCTGGCCAGGCGCTAAACACGTACCTCCTCGGTCTCTGGATATGGGTAGTACTGGAAGGTGGCCGAGGTAGGACAGTTGGAGCGATGGGGCACGGTGTCGCGGTAAGGGGGCATGGGCCCCGAACAGGTTGTTTGGTACAGCGCCGCTGGCAGCTGGAAGCCCGGGTCAGGCGAGTTCTGCAGATAGCCCTCCTGCTCCACTTTGCGTCGCATCGTCGAATTCCAGTGGTTCTTGATGGCATTGTCGGTCCTTTTGGGCAGAATTAATGAACACCAGTTACAATGAACAACTCGTGTTTTGGGGAAAGAAAAAAAACATGGACTGCATGCGACTTTATTCACGAATGTTGCATTTTTAAAACTCTGATCGACCACACATTCAGAACATGCTTTTGTGCCGAAACAAAATGTGAAAAAGTTTGTATTAACACTTTATTAACGTGATTGTTATGATGACTAAGAGCCACTCTGCCATCATCCCCATCTTTTCCCATAAACCAAATGCTGCCTCCATTAACACCACGACCAAAGGGACCTTTGCAGAATAAATGAATCACTTAATGTACTTCCTCTTTAACATTATTTCCAGAAATATTTTTGTATCAAAAAAGCAGGGGAAGTTTACAGTGTAAGGACACACATTTTTAAACAGTCCACAAATGAGTGTAAAGCATTATGTTGCATTACTATAGTCTGTTGAATAGAAAGGAAAATCTAGACTTATTTAAACATTCAAGGAATACGTTGGCATTTCTGCTCATGTTCTAATAAACAAAAATTAACACATTCATCGTTAATACTCCTTTCTAACAGGGAATGCACGGTGGCTGGTGTTCATTTATCTAACAGGTATTGCTCATGTCAACTTTATTAGAATCTCTCAGTTTTGTCAGGGTCCATGTTTAAAGTAAAGTAGGCTTTAAATTTATAAAGCCTACTTTATATTTTCCCTGTTATAAAGCAACATCAGTGATAAAAGTGGGGAGTTTTTTTAAATGTTATTTGTGATGTACTTTTACATTTTGGGTAATTTTCAAATTTGGGGAAATGTCTTCACACCACACAACAGCCCACCCTTGCAAACGATATCACAACAATTACGGTGCTTTTTCAATCTTCTGTTGGATGAAGGCCATCCCACACCATGTTTGTAGGTGTTGTTCGACCATACTCCACCATGCCGGTCAGTGTGGGATGGTGAAGGGTACCGACAAGGCCCAGTTTGCAGATATCACTCATTCAACGTGAGATCACCGATTCCACAGTGCGGTGCGCCTTCCACCAAACCTTTTAATTACACTTTAAGGTCAACAACGCTCGAAGAAAACATCACCCTGCAGTAAGAAAATGATCGACGGCTGAAGAAATGAAATCGACGACTGTGCAACCATCCCTCGGTGGCGAGTGCGCCGACCGGTCATTGCCACTCCGCTATGCAGCCCGTACCTGCCAGGCAGCAGCTTGGCGATCTCGGCCCAGCGGTTTCCGAGGCGCTTGTGCGCCTCGAAGATGACACGGTCCTCCTCCTCGGTCCACGACGACTTCTTCACCTCAGGGTTGAGGTGGTTGTGCCAGCGCTCGCGACACTGCTTGCCCACGCGGCCCTTCAGGTGCTTGGCGATGAGCGACCAGCGCTTGGGACCGTACTTCTGCACGAGCTCAATCACCTGCGCGGAGGGCAGGGACAAAGCTCAATGATGGAGCCTGCTAGTAATGTGACACGAAAGCCCTCGTTGAAGCGAACCAGGAGAGATTTTTCCGTCACGGATAAATTAGTACACACTTAAGGCAAATAGCGTTCCCGAGTGAAATCGTTCAACAAAAAAGCATCTCGCCAAACTATTATTCGGTTCAAAAATATCATTATTTTGTTATCTTCAAACCAATTTCATAACTCCAAAACGAATCGTGCTTGAGTTAATGAGACAAAAAGGGAAAACGCATGCAAGCAGCAAACAAGCATCCAAGATGTCAACACTCGCTGTTGAGAATGATGGACCTGGGCGGGGAAAGCACTGGAACAAGACAATGGGTAAAAGGTTACAGATCGGCCAAGAGGAAACAACGAAAGAGAAGGTGGAGCGATGCAATTGGGACACAGGAGAGAATGAAGTGGAATTAAGGCCGTGTTAAAATACAGGCAGTGGTATTACATTATAAAGGCTTATATCTGGTAAGGAACAGGATATGTGCTGATAATATTTTATTGAACTCTACAAAATGGTATACATATAAACCCACTGAAGAACAATTCCTTATTTAATCACAAAAAGGAACCAAGACTTTATTACTTTCACATTTTCACATTAACAGTGAACAGGCCCGCTTGCATACCTTATGATCCTCTTCCTTCGTCCATGGCCCCTTAATAAGCTCAGGATTGAGCACTTTCTGCCAACGGTGTAGGCACTGCACGTCGGAACGATTCTGCAAATAGACAAGAGAGCGTCCCGTTAATCGTGACAAAACACGCAGCACACGCCGACAGGTCCAATGAAAATATCACAACGCCTCGAGTGACTTCTTGTTCCTTGAACCGGAATGCACCACAACACTTGGGGAAAAAAATAGCACGGAAACTTATCAAACCGCGCACGAGGTCAGGGTTATTTTTCCACTGCCGAGAAAGGTGAAAAGGTAATCGAATGCAGTCACTGCAAGGGGGGGGGGGTGCTTACTGTAAAAAAGTTGGCGATGAACTTCCAGTCGCCATTCCCATGTTTCTCCACCAATCGTTTCAAAAGGTCGTCCTGGGTGTGAGAGCACAGTGCGGCTATCAGCACAATGCAGCGCTTTCCAATACAAGAAGCTTCATAGATTTCCTCGCGAGCAAATTTGACTGGAGAGGTACATTGAAACTTAAAAGCTATTTCACTGCGCAGTTTTAAGTGTTGAGAGACAAGCTTGAGTGTTGATGTTATTCGTGCCGTACATTAAAGATACATGTTTGTCAATGTCATCTTGAACACTCTAGGTTGTTGCGGAAAATATACTTGATTTGAAAATCACTGCAAAATCTAAACTAATATATATAAGTTGACCCAAATATAAATGTTACATCCTGGTAATGCTCAAGTTGCAACTGAATGTAAATTCCATTGGCTTATATGAGGCATGATAAGGTCTAAGGTAAGACAATTGCCTTAAAAAGCTGTTCAGTTAACTTTAGTTATCAAATTACAAGCTTACAAACAACATCAATGTACAATTACTGCCAAAAGGTCTCTGCTGAAGGCAGAACAAAAACATCTATTTGCGCTTCAATTCGACAAGTCAAAACGTTAACTTCAATCAAGTGAGTCCAACACTACAAGTCTCCTTTTCAGGAGAAACCAGGAAACAACGCAATGTGTAACAAGAAAATTAAGTATCGCATACCATTGACACAATGAAAGCACATCAAAACCAATCAATAGGCGTTATTTTGACTAATTCATGAAGATACTAACTACAACAAATGCATTCATAATTTCTTAGGAATTAATCCAGTTTATCATCCTCAGATGGCTCGGAGCAAGAGATCTTGGGATCTTCGGTTGCGGTTGCTGCGGTCAATTGCCAAGTTGATACAGCAAGCTGGGGTGGCAGGTATATAACAAAAAAATCCCATATTGATCGTTACATTCTTTGAGGTTTTGCATACGAATAGCAACATTGAGGTGGGTCAAGCAACATTCCTAAATTTTTCGAGATAGTAAGGTTACAAGGACATTCCTGCGAGTGCCAACAATGGGACAAATAAACTTAAAAAGTACTGGGCAATCTGCATTATTTGTAATAGGTAAAAAAACACTACTGACTCAAAATCTACGTGATCCTCGAGCGGTTATTTAGGAGCATATTAAATACAGTAAAGTGTTGCATTTCGGACGAGATGACACATGGCCTTGAAGCCCGCTTCTGCTGAACATTGCAGGGCTCAATTTAATCTCACAAAGGCTGGCAAAAGGAGTCAGATTGGTTTGTCCACAATGCTCTGCACATGTCGCAAATGATGGATAATATACCACGCAGGTCACTTAAACCATATTCGAGGCAATTTTTTTGAAGATGTTAATTTATGACAGAATTAATGATAAAGCAGAGCCTCAAATTACGTGCAAATATAAAACGTGAAATAAATACAACACAAATACTACAATATTTTTCAAGTTTAATTTGAAAACTTGACTACAAGGGACTTGCCCCATCACTCTTTACCACAGGGCTAAAAATGTCACGTAATTTCCACAGCGAGATGCTCCCCTACACTTCGCAGGGTTATTATTCCGAATCTTAAAATGTCCCGTTGTGACATTTGTACTAACTGCACTGCAGAACCTGGGCAGCATACATCCCTCCGGGCATATGCCATAGGTGTGACCTGTTGCATGTCATGCGAGTGACAAACTGCTGAAAGATTCCGAGCGGCAAAACCTTTCCTTTTCAACAACCAATTGCGCTTCAAACAATCTGAATCTGCAAGAGGTTGCGGACTAAACCACCTGTAGCAGCAGATTGGGATATACAACTATAGGTGACCGTGACATGAGGTTACACAACTCTATAGTGTAGCACAATCATGGAAGTGTTCGGATTATTGGGTTAACCTTCAGTCTTACCCGTTAATTTAAAGCTGCAGGATATCGGCTACTCGTGGTGTTTGCATTACAAACATTGCACAGATACAACCAAAGAACACGTGTCAACCCTTCTATTTATCATACCTTTAAAAGGAAATAACAACAGATCAAGTCCGTAACTAATAAAAGTGTTACACAACTATCAATTGTAATTTGTTAATACACTGGGATATATTATAGGCTTGTTATTTTTAACATTGCAATTGCTTATGATTTTTACAAAAATGCAATGTATTACCTAACACACTGTATTAATTCACGACAGCACAGATGATCTTTCTAAGTGATCATTTAAAACCAGATGAGAGCCCATTCAGACTAACAGTTTTATATTCAACTGAGAGATGGCGCACTACAGAATAGTTCAATATGACTTAATGTTATACACAAATAAGGCGACACAAATTATGAAATACAATTTATAACTTAAATGAAGCTCAAACAATTCCATTGGTACAGTTGAGGTAAATCATATATTCTCCCAATACCGAACAAATACACAACTATCAAAACATACTAAACACCAAACTCAACCATGCATTAATCCTCATGCTTTGGAGTCACAATTTAATTCAATAATATAATTGTTTCTAATTGTTGTAGTTTTGTCTGCCCCATTATCCTAAATCTGAACATTACCATATCATTATCACAACTCACAAATACTCACATCGTACACATACTACAATGCACGCACTGTGATAAATAATCGCAAACGGATGATTTAATGCACTTCATAAACCTGCTACATACAGAACATCGAAGCGGCCGTCTCCTCCAAGCTCAAAGCGACTGACGTTGCAAACCAGCAGGACAAGCCTGATGTTCAGAGCACAAGACGACGAACACACTAGCATCTTAAATTAAGATTGAAAGCTTTCGTGACTGCAAGGATTCATCTTCTATGGTTCTTTCGGTAAAGTCACGTAGAATGGGAATAAAATAATAAATTGATAAAATAAAATAACACAATAAAATTCTCAAAATGATGAAGGCCGCTTGTGTTGTGGCCGAAACGTCGTGAGAATTGTGTTATTTTATTTTATCAATTTATTATTTTATTCTCATTCTACGTGACCTTACCGAAAGAACCAAAGAATATGAACACTAGCACCTGGTCTCCTCCAACCTCTAGGCTCCCGACGTCAGAAACCAGCAGGACAAGTCCGACACGAGGCAACACACTAGCGGAAAACTTGCCTCCTCGCGGGACCAGCGCGCCTTGGAGCCGGGCCGCTTGCCGCTTTCCTTCTGGAGGCTCGTCTCGTAGTCGTGGTCTCTCACCTCCACCTCCTCGTCGTCCTCGTCACTGCTGCACGTGCTGCAGGGGAAGAGCAGACCCCGCGGCGCGGCGTGATCAATCGCACACCTCCTCAATGGCACAAACCCACCCGCCGATCGCTTTACAGACGATTAAGCTCGGACAGAATTTTGCAGTATAACAAAAAAAAAACCCATTGTAAAATGTGTGCGTTAAAGAATCGGTTCGGCTGTCAAATGCCGTGCGGGTTGAAGGTTCTACTTGGCGACTTCACTTTTCAGGCACATCGGTACGACTTCAATGGGCAGTTTAGTTGTCTGCATCGGTGCAAACGGCACTGCGGCCAATTCAATCGCGTCTCGTAATTCGCACCCACAGCCGACACAAACTGCCGAAATACGGGCTATATGAATATCACAATGAGAGCGTGACCGAACCATATCACGGTGACTTTAATCTCAGTTTTCTTTCCCACTTAAAACGAGACTTTCCAAGCGCCAAACGGAATGCTAAAGTGTGTGTGTGTGCGCACGTGCCCCCGCGTTGTTTTCATTCGTGACCATAAGACAGGAATCTTTCAAAAAGACTACGTGCAAGAAGCAAACGCGGCTGCACGTATTATTATGATTACAAGTGCACGTACGAAGTAAACTTCATGGTCGCGGCAGCCCGAGCGGATGAGCCGTGCGCCTCGTGTGTTTGTGTACAGTCTATCGGCGTGCAGGCAGCCTTTATTTCAGTCGACACGCCGCGTTCAGGGCACAAAAGGCGCACTAATCGGGGTCAATCACCGTCTCCGCCTCCCCCCTTCTCTCTCTCTCTGGCTCTCTCCCCAACCAACTTGCCCGGCTCCCTCTCTCACCCCACCCCACCCATCATCGGCACCCCTTCCTCCAAGTGGGCGGATTTATCGCGATCCCAAACTCATTGCACAAACCAAACACGGCCGCTCCCGACCCCTCGAGAATATCCCCAACTACTTGCCCCTGGCGTGTGTGTACTTAAAGCGTTCAACGCATAAAGGCGACACAGGAAACACCTATATCAAAACATCAATGACGACTTTGTGCTAAGGGCTTTGCATATAGGGTTATTTACGTGAGCATGCAATACACTCGGCGGTGTTAATAAACGCACATGTAATGTCGTCTACTGCGTCAACACATGCAAAAGGTGGATAGGATGCTGTGTACTGATCCCCATAGCTCACGAAGCTTTGGGTCACTGAAGAGCACCATCATTTACAAATGAAGACTCTGGATCATGCAAACCCAACTTGGCACAAGAAAGCCACAACATTTGCAGTGCACAGCTTTGGTCTTGTGTCTGCCTTTACATACAGAACACGCTACACAGCACATAACCCTTTTACAGTTATTTATGTAACTGCAACTTGTCACTGGAAACTTTTCAGTTTCGACTAAAATTCTGCCGCCACTATAACTTATTTGTTTTCACGTGTCCTGCTTGCAGCAGGCAAAATGAACAGCAAAGAGAGTGTATGGCTCTGCATAAGGAAATCATGCTTGTCACACGTGCATCTTTGCATAGCAATGTGAAGGGGAGAAAAGAAAATCACGTTTTATGGTCATTCCCACCCACGGAAAAGTCAAACAAGGTGCGCTTTGTGTACTTAGCAGGGTTTGCAGTGGACATCCAAAGCAACCGAGAACTTATTACGAGACTCGACAAACACTTTAGTGTATGTTTAGGTTGATGAAGACACCGAGCACAGACACAAGCATCGGACTATATCTGTGCATGTTGGTGTAAGAAAAGTGAATGAGAACAAGGAAGAGTGGCTTGCAATTAATTATTGGCAATCACTTTCCTTGGCTTAAACCAAAGTCTGCCTTCAAAGGGCTGTAACTACATTATATGGGGTAGATGTTATCGACTTTACAGCACTCGGTAAACCGACCATAAATGCGCACGAGGTAAAGTGAAACCAGTTAGTAAATACTCAACCAAAACCTTCCTCATTCATACTCAAAACTTGTCAGAAAAATTCATCAATTTTAAACCAAGTCTTTGAACCGTACTAACAACAGTTACAGGTAAAATAATACAGCTCACTTCCTTTCTGTCTCCACGCATACATGAAAACAATGTTTAGTACGAGAAGCCTCTTGGCTTTTCCAGATCAATATTATCCAACGTCATTTGTTGCAACCACCAAACTCTGGACCCCTTACCATGTTATTGGCGTGAGCACTCCATTTAAATTAGGTGCAACGATATCGCAGTGCCATCACGACGATTACGTGGGATGTTAAAGACCTAAGAATACCACCCGGCAAAGGTAACGTCAGCGCAGGAGCTGCGTGGCCGTTCGATTCGAGTTTCTTAACAGAGTTGCTTCAAAGCGGACTCAAGACACGCGTTTACGCCTGCCGCGAATACCAAAACCGTCGACCACGTTTGTACACAACCGCCGTCTTCACTGCTTTAATAGCAGGCAATTTCAGTGGATATACAACATCTAAAGATTACATCTTTAATCTGCTGCTACCAATCCATGCGGAAGACCTCTGGCGAGTGAACGCGACGGGTTTTGTTGTCGACTATCCTACTCTGCGATGATTTTGGGACGTGTTCAGGGCCTCGCTCGCTCATCTTCACGAAGTTTCTTTTATTCAGAAAATTGCGAGCCAACAAGTACTCCCCGTGCCAGTTTTTGTTTTACTTCCTGCCGTAAAAAAAAAGAGAGAGCCCGGCCAACAGCTTTCCTTCGCATTAATTACTGTAAACGCACTTGAAATAAAACGCACGTTTTTTCGTCTTCTTCCCGCCACTGGCTTTTTGGCATGCCGCGTTCACTTGGCGGCATTATTGTGCAACGATGACCGTAAAAGCCAAAACCTACGCACGATACGTCTCTTTGTCGAGTTCCTCATTTTGTTTGTCATACATTACATCGAAACTCGCACGAGTTAATCGCTGTTCAAAAAAAATATCCCAATGTATAAATTAACTCACTGCCGCACAACTTTTTTGCGTAGGTGGCCACCATTCTAGAGGTTGGGACTTTTTATGTAACTTATTTCAAGTGTCATATCACGCTAGATAGCTGCATTGCGCGAAGGTACACCTAATAAAACTCACATATTTCATATCAGACGCTGTAAATGTCTATTGCGGTATGACTACGGATGTAATGACTACGGATGTCAATTCGTGAGCATTCACTCCACATTATTCACCCCAGCCCCTCCTGTCCACGGAGCCGAGGGAATCGCACGAAGGCCATGGACAGACGATGAGCAACGTGCCCAAGAATGTTTGCACAAGCGCCGTCTCTTGAGACACACGTGCACTTTCTCTGGGACGTTTAAAGGCGCGCTCGGCATCACGCGTCCCCACCCGCCTACCCCACAACACACACAAAACCTTTTACAACAATAATTAATCACGCAGCACAAGAGTTAATCATGGGCCACATGACTGTGCGATGATGATGATGTGTGACCGCACGCCACGTGCTTATGGCGTTTAATAATCACTGTGCTCGGTTGTTGTTCGCGCCACGTGTTGAAGTGTGAAAGTCGCGGAACCGAAGGCGCCGTTCTGGGTTTAACAACCACAATGTTTATTATTCTATACCCCCCCCCCTCTCCCCCAAGGGCGACCAACACTGCCGCGGGCTGCTGTACGTTTATGTTGTCTTCTCGTTCCACCAAGGCGATTGTAAGTTTTCCCCGCAAACTTTGGGCGAGCGTGATGGTTATCAATGATAATCTCCTCGTACCGTCAATCATCAGCACGTCTGTTTACGACATCGTACTGATACTACAACAACACAATGCTGCGCCTGTGTGTGTGCGCGATCAAAGAATACAGCTAAAATTAAAGTTAATTTAACATGACCTGCCCCTACCAAAGCTAAGGCGGCTCGCATCTAGATACTATATACATCCAAATAGTTGTGAGTACCCCCCCAAACGAAGCGCTGTTATTAAACCAGCAGCAAGGGATTCCCACTTTGTGCGTATAACCACGCCGTACTGTACTCAAACACGCTGAATTATTGTACGCCAGAGGCAATACGGGCCGACTGTTCCACATCTTCACCTTAATATATGCGCAGCCGGTCGAACGAGATCTCCGCATAATCGCGCGAGTTTATTAAACAATAAAGACAACACGAAGAGCCGCAGCAAGCCAGCCAGGGCCGATGCTCGCTTTGGGACTGCATGCAACACGTGCTTTTTGACTTAGCACTGTATACTGTAGTACATGGGGGGGGCGTTGGTCACAGCTCTCGCTTGCTCAGCGTTTGACTCTCACTTCTGTGCGCTAGTCCAGTCAGCAGCAGCAGCCAAGCAGCGAGGACAACACAACCGTTTGGTCACCAACTTCATGAATTTGGTCACCCGCTTAACGAAGCATGGCGGGAGGGGGGGGGCCCACTCTTCACTCAACAGGCATTACCACCATCACTCCCCACCCCGCCCGCCTCTCGCCAGACGTCGGCTGCAATGAATGCAACCCCCTAGTAATTATGTAAGGGGTTCGTCGACAACGGGCCACGCTAATTGAGCCAGTGGACACAAAGACGCACACGGACATAACACGCAAGGACAAAAAATCCGCCGTGTAGCCTGAACAGACTGTCGGGGCAAGTGCTGTTCGAGAGCGCGGTACACGAGGGGGTGGGTGGCCAGCACCACGCCCGGCCGCCTTTGTCTCCCCCAGTGGCGATTGTACATAACACACACACACGCCCGAGGAATAATGTAGCTAGGTATAGACCAGCAGACGAGCCTTGGGGGGGGGGGGGGGGCGTTGAGCAAATTAGGCATTGACAATTTATGTAATGGTCTGCATTGTAACATCACAGTATTGGCTTGCACGATAGAGCGCTCCTTCTTGAGAGAGAGCGGCTTCAGGACCCTCGAATATCGCCGAATTAAAGTTGACGAGAGCCCATTCACACGGGACTTGACCGATGTTGCGGGGCGAGTGACATACGGTCAATAATTGCAGCGGTTTCACGGCTCAGCCGCGGATAATTTTACAATGACAAGGCACATGTCCTGCGTTTTTGGTCGGGACTACACGATACCATTAACGTAATTATTATAGCGCTTTGACCAAGGCCATTTACAGAGTTAACAATCATACATTAGGAATGTAATCGTGAAGATGAGGTGAACAAAACAGACGAGAGAACGGTAATGGGTGAACCTGCGATGCGTGAATTAAGTCAAACAATAAAAATGCGAGCAAATGATGGGATTGGATGGATGGGTAATCAGTGGTTAGCCATGGAGAAAGATTGTGAAGCAGGAACAGGAACGAAAATGGTTCGAGAAGGGGGAGGATAAAAGGGGGTTGTTGTCAGGTGAGCTTGGAGAGGGGAAGGTGAGTTTTTGTTTATGAGAGGAGCGGAAACTAGTCCGCAAAGATGCCTGCTTAACGTCCACCTTACAGCGGACGGCGACCTTGGCGTTCCAAGTCCTCTACACTACTGTCAGCTCCGACACCACTCAGCCTCCACTCTGTCCCAGCAGCACTCACACACCTGCACACAGCATAGCCGCAGACACGTGGGGGACGGTTTTGCGAGTGCTCTAATTAGCCACGTGGGGTAGGGGGGGGTCCATGAAGACTAACTCGGGACTTTCCTCTGTCCAAAGGTGCACAACATATGCCACGTAGCTCCCCCCCCCTTCACCCGTCAAGCGCACGTGGGGGGCACTCACTCGCCCCTTCACAAGTTCACGCGGTGCAGTTGCACTCACAGCAGCAGCAAAGAACACGCGTTATACTACTGTACGTACTGTACGATGCGCAGTAATGCTCGACACGAGGTCGTCTCGGGCCGACACGTGCGCCTTCGCTTACTCACCTCGCTCGCTCATCTTACTCACCCCACTCGCTCATCTTACCCACTCACCCTGCTCGCTCATCTTACTCACCTACTCACCCCACAAGCTCATCTTACTCACCCCACTCACCCCACTCGCTCATCTTACTCATCCCCTCACTCACCCCGCTCGTTCACCCTGCTTACTCACCTCGCTCACCCGCTCGCCTTACTCACCTCGCTCGCACTGCTCACCCCGCTTACTCACCTCGCTCACCCCGCTAACTCACCTCGCTCGCTCACCCCACTCACCTCGCTCACTCACCTCACTGGCTCATCTTACTCACCCCACTCGCTCATCTTACACACTCACCCACTCACCTCGCTCACTCACCTCACTGGCTCATTCACTAACGAGGCCATTCCGTCGCCGGTCACCGATTCGCTCACGCAGGCACTCCCCAAGTCAGTCGTCTCAAGTCACGCTCACCTTTATTCGCGCACCCGAGCGAGTCGACTCGCGCGGCGCTCGCGGTGTCACGCGCACGCTCCACCGTTCGTTCATTCATTCGCCTCGTCCCGTACGCGCGCGCTCGTGCGTGTTTGTGTACGCTCGTGCGTGTTTGTGTACGCTCGTGCGTGTTTGTGTACGCGCGCGTGTTTGTGTACGCGCGCGCGTGCATATGTTTGTGTACGCGCGCGTACACAAACACATGCACGCTCGTGCGTGTGTGTGCGCGCGCGCTCGTGCGTGTGTGTACGCTCGTGCGTGTGTACGCGCGCGCTCGTGCGTGTGTGCGCTTGAGCGTGTGTGTGTACGCGCGCGCGTGCATGTGTGTGTACGCGCGCGCGTGCATGTGTGTGTACGCGCGCGCGTGCATGTGTGTGTACGCGCGCGCGTGCATGTGTGTGTACGCGCGCGCGTGCATGTGTGTGTACGCGCGCGCATGTGCGTGTGTGCACGCGCATGTGCGTGTGTGCACGCGCATGTGCGTGTGTGCGCGTGCATGTGCGTGTGTGCGCGTGCATGTGTGTGTACGCGCGCGTGCATGTGTGTGTACGCGCGCGTGCATGTGTGTACGCGCGCGTGCATGTGTGTACGCGCGCGTGCATGTGTGTACGCGCGCGTGCATGTGTGTACGCGCGCGTGCATGTGTGTACGCGCGCGTGCATGTGTGTACGCGCGCGTGCATGTGTGTGTGTACGCGCGCGTGCATGTGTGTGTGTACGCGCGCGTGCATGTGTGTGTGTACGCGCGCGTGCATGTGTGTGTGTACGCGCGCGTGCATGTGTGTGTGTACGCGCGCGTGCATGTGTGTGTGTTCGCGCGCGTGCATGTGTGTGTGTACTCGCGCGCTAACCCGGTACGCGGCCTTCCTCCTCTCACCTGTTCCGCGAGCGCCTCGACATGACCGGGGTTGGGGGGCAGGAGACGGAACGGTCGCCGCGCTGACAAAACAATAAAAATTACCCAACTTAAAATTCGAATATAAATCGTTCTAAAAACAAGACAAATATAAAAAAAACTAATTTTAATATAACTTTGTCAATCGACAAAGCGTCTTGCTAATGTTAATCGTCTCGCTTTGGGAATTTTATTTTTACATAAAAACGTAGTCCGTTAATTATTTTAACCGATGTTTGTTTATTTCACGCGAGAGAAAGTGGAGCGCGAAATGCCCGCGAACGACGTCGGCGGCGAACTGCGCCGCGCTCGCGCCAAATCTCGCGCCCAAGGGCGTATTTGAATGTGGCGCATGCGCAGACGGCGCCGCGGGCTCGCGCGGTGGGCGTGCCCCGGCGGTTAACGGGCGTGGTCAGTCGGAATGGGCGTGGTCAAGCTGTTTTGGGGGCGTGGACTGTGGCGGTGGTGGTGGTGGTGGGTGGGTGGGGGGGTGGTTTTCTGGGCGCGCGCCGTCGGGGCGTTATGTGGGGACGCGCGCGCGACTAAAGTGGTGGGGTGGGGGGTGAGGTGGGGAGGGGGGTGAGGTGGGGGGGGGCTCGTCCTGATGGGCGTGGTGGGAGGAAGGGCGGGACAGGGGGGTAGGGGGGGTGGCGGGGGGAGGGGCAGTGGGGAGTGGCGGGGGGGCGGCAGTGGCGGGGGGGGGGGTGGCGGAGGGGGGGCGGTCGTGGGGGGTGGCGGGGGGCAGTGGGAGGTGGCGGGGTGGGGCAGGGGCGGGGGGGGCGGTAGTGGGAGGTGGCGGGGGGTCATTGGGGGTGGTGGGGGGCAGTGGGGGTGGTGGGGGGCAGTGGGGGTGGTGGGGAAGGACAGGGGCGGGGGGGGCATGGGGGGTGACGGGGGGCAGTGGGGGTGGTGGTGGGGGTGGTGGGGGGGGGGAGAGGCAGGTGGGGGGGGGCGATGGATTCTGCGCGTGACTTTAGGGTGCCGTTGGAGTTTGTGGTCCGCTCGTTATTGATGGGCTTCTCTCTCGAACGCGACTGATAGGTAACTAGTCACGTCAATTTAAAAACAAAAAACTAAATATTCCTCAGGAATATTTAACGATATTAATTCACACCAAGCCCTGTGGTGGCAACGTGCAGCCTCCGACTGTTATCCAATCCATCTCTCTAGCACGTGCTATGAAGAAGGGCCAGTGACCCGAAACGTCGCCTATTATCTACTTTTATAATTGACGAATGAGTTGGGGTCACGGCGGTAATGGCACGTGTGATGCCAGGTTTATAGACGGGGCTGAGTGGGTTGAGGCGGTGGTGGCATAATTGTTCAATGTAGTATCAGGCAGTGCCAATGTTGTTATTGATTCACACATCCGATGTGAAACCTTGTAAGTTATAAAGTGTATTCCCAGATCTACTTCCAGCCTGCAGTGAGAGTAGTTTGGGGTTTTGTGTCGTCGCTATCTTAAGCCACTGAACCCAGCGTTTGAAAGTTTATTTCTGTGAACGCCCATCCTGTGACCAACTAATTATCTAAAGTATGCTGTAAAATTAATGTTATAGAGCCAGTATTGTCAAGATTTGCTACACGCGTGTGTTGTTATGTGTTGGTGTTTTTGTGCCTGATAGCCAACATGTATTTCTAAATTATCACAAATTTGTATGAATCTTGCCAGGAATTACATTGGCATCATTCCTGGTGTATCTCTATGTGGATATGAATCAGCTTTGCATTTGTCCAATATATTTGCAGTTATCAAAAAAGATATCATCTCACCCACAATGCAGCAAACTACGTATCTTGCTAACTCCCTACATACATTACCCGTTTGGTTTGGGAAATTTAAACTTGTGGACGACTGGCTCTGGAGAACACATTTTTACAGTGTAGCTTACTGGTCATGCACATCTGTAGTCCAGCAACTTGGAAATGTGAGCGTGTGTCTAACCATAACACACATACACGGCAGATTAAATAAGCAATGTCTCATTCCCATATCTTGTCTCCAAAATAAAATATATTTTTACACAACCCACACTACTTTCTGGGAGTACTTTTTCAGAAGTTTTGGTTTCATACACGTAAACTATGGGCTGGTTGAGATTCAGTGTCTCATCAACAGTCGGGCTTACTTGAACAAATGCTGGTGAGCTGTTATGTTTATAGAATCAGAATATTTATTTTATCCTGGAGAAATTCGATGAGCTGTGAAGCTCTTTTTCACACATGTCCAGTAGATTTCACAGATGTCCAGTAGGTATGGACCCCACTTTTATATATATACATCGTAGTTTGCCTCAAAACTAGTACATAACGGGATCCTGTCCATGGCTAAGTCATACGTGGCTAAACCATAGCTTATA